AGTCGCCTGTAAAGTTAGAGAAGAGCATTTAGAGGGCATCCTGGGTCAATAACAGTGCCATATGGGACAACTAGTGTTAATATTTGGAGGGAAAATTTTATGTTGAGGCCGAAAGTATAGAATAAACCCTAGGCTTGGTCTCAGCCCACAGGAAGGGAGCATAAACTCTCCCAGAGCTGGAATTGCCTTGAGGCCAGAGTTGGCAAGGAGTGGCTTGACACCATGATGGGAAAGTCCCTCAGGAAGATAGGAATAGACAAGCAGCATGAGCAGCGCAAGAAGTCTGCTTACATGGAGAAGAAGGAGGTTCGGGAGAGGATTTGGTTCATTTAGAAGCTTGTTTAGGGCTAATAGAACCTGCGCAGAGGAACGGGAAGTACAGAGGGAGGGTTTGGTGTGGAGATAGGAAAAGGATTGGGCATAGGGAAGTTCCTTCCATTTACCAGTGTGCTCACAGAAATTGTATGAATCCCTTAAAATATTGGGATCAAAAGTGCCATTAAGTGGCCACTTGGAGGCATTGTCCAATGGTATTGGGGCCAGGTCTGATTACAGAGAAAAATGAGCTTTCGTGGCTTAAGATCAGGCGTTAGGTGGAGGGGCCCAAGGTTGGCCAGGAGACATCCCAGTGGAGAGTCTGAAGGAATTCTGGACGGTCCAACTCCCATGGTGAGGCCTCACCTGAGGAGAGATATGGCGGGCGTCCCCAAATATCAGGTCCTCAGGAGCGAGAGTAGATGTGGAGTACCCAGAGGGAATGTCTTTGCCACAGCGGGGGGTCCACAGTCCCTACTGGGGAACCCGGTTCCCAGGGATGGGAGCGAGCCAAGACCTAGTGCTAGGATTTCGAGGAAATGAGAGAGAGAGATCACAGCTCTGCATGCGAGAAGGACTCACCGAGAGAGGACCTTGAGGGATTGGCCGGTGGTGGATGGCAATTGGAGGTGCTCTGGGGCAGAGGAATTTCCCTGTGAGGTAGTGAGGGAGTGGTGCTTTCTTGGATCGGGAGTCCTGGTAAAGCAGCTCAGATCCCAGAGGAAGGGAATGGGAGTAGAGAGAGAGAGAGCAGGATGGGGTGGGGGAGGCCGGGAGAGCAAGGTCAGTGCTGGGAGTGCACCCCGATCTGAGTCACGGCACCAAATGTTAGGAAAAATGCCGCTCACAAAGAAAGCTCATGAGAAAAGTCTCACATCCATAGAGCAAAGTTTAATGGCAGGCCCAAACTGCCAGGCTGGCTGGGGAAAAGATGGCTCAGCAGCGATTCTGGGCCAGGCGTGGCTTTTATAGAAGGGGGAGATTAAGGAAGTTAGTGCATGCACGGTAGTCTCTAGTAGGGTTGGGGCTGTCTTAGAGTGTGGGAATTTCTGTTAAGGGTGGGGCTGTCCTTGGAAGTTTCTCAAGTGAGATCTGAGGATAAAATGGCCACCAATTTATAAATGGGGACATTATTGTTCCGTCAGGGTCTTAGTAACTATTTGCCCAGGCTGGCTTCAAATGGTGATCCTCCTGATCTGTGCTCCTGAGTAGCTAGGATTACAGGCATGAGCTACTGCACCCGTCCTGTCCAGTTTTTTTTTCCTTGTGGTCCCTTTGTCCTCACACTAGACAGGTACATCCCCCACCCTAGGGACTGGCAGAAGTGTGTTCCTGTGGGCCCATGAAGCTCTATACCAAGTGCTGTGAGCCCCACTTAAGAGAAGGTGGAACCAAAGTTGAAAGGACAGGAATCTACTTGGTTTCAGTTCTTCTCAGACAGCTCTAGAGAAGAGAGAAGCATTAGCTAAGACTTTGCTCTCAAGCCAGGCTGTGTGGATGTGAGCCATCCTTTAACCTTTATTGCCTTTGTGACCCTGCATTGGGTGCTTATGTTTCCTCATCTGCAAAATACAGTTGATGACATTTATGTCTTGCTGTTTAAGTGAGATGACTCTTAGTCTTCAGTCAGTAAGAAATCTGCCGGAATCACAGGCTTGTACAGTCTGTTCACCATGGAAAAGAAGCAAGAGGAAAGAGCCAGGGAGCCTTCATTGATGATTAATAGTGCAGTCTTACACACACATACTCATCCTGCTGGAATATAGACAGACATAGGACGTGTAATACTGCTGTCAGGACAAGGAATTACTGAACAAGACATTCAGAAGGACAAGTTACTTTTGAATGATATCAAAGGAGCCTATGTTAGGGTTTTTTTTTTTTTTTTTTTGGCTCCTACAACCCCCTCTTTTTATTTTCTAAATTATATTTCTGCACAGATTTGTATTAAGGACATAGAACAATTTGGCAATAATTTGAAATAGTCCTTTAAGTCTTCATACTAGAGAGAAAAACAAAATTGGTATTTCTGTGACTGTTTCTCCATTTAACTCTATCTTCTCAGATTCTTTGAGCTGGTTTCACATCCCAGGACAGTCTTTCCCTCGGTAGCTGTCAGGGCATCTCTGTCTTTCTGAGACTCCATGTGTTAATTAGGAGCACTGGTAGTGTTCACACTGGGTTCCGTAGTCTCATTATTGAGCAGCAGAAGTTATGGACTCCAGCTTGGGGAGCATGGCTCAAAGGGTAGAACACCAGCCTAATAAGCACAAGGCCCTGAGTTCAACTCCCAGTAATGTCAAAAAAAAACCCTTAACATAGAACTTGTGGGTTCAATTCTCAGCACCACCAAAACAATACAAGCAAAAAGCTAAAACCCCAAAAGCTAAAATCAGACCTAGAGAGTTCAGTTCTGGCAGAAACAAGTGAGAGATGAATAGAATTCTTCCCTGTAACAGTAAAAGAAAGAACACACAGCGTGAGCATCTACTCCTACAATTATGTGGGTAACGGTAGGTGCCTAGCACATGTTAACTGCTTATGTTCATTTACACTAGCGTCAGACGTGAGCACCCTCTGTGTACTTCCTTGTCACCTCCACATTCTTTACTCAAGTGTGTCAGGGGGCAAAGAAATAACTGGCCATGTCCTTTCTAAGTTCATCCAAGCCAGTTCAGCCATATATTGGCCCCATCCTGTCCTCTGTGTTCAATGTCTTGCTTCACCAGCTAGATTCTCTCCTCTTTCACTGTGTTGGTCCCTTCTAAGCAATTCTGTTCCCTCCTTCATCTCTTCTTCCTAGCAGGGCGTTGCTCATATTTCATGGCCAGACTTCTATAGAATGACTGCTGCCATGGCTTCTGCTTCCTCCACCTTCATCTTGTCATCTTCTCTCCTTAAGAGCTTAGTGATCTTGCTTGGCATAGTGGCACACACCTATAATCCCAGAAATTTGGAGATGAAATTTGGAGTTCAAAGCCTGGGCTACATAGCAAGACCCTGTCTCAAAAAAAAGCCAGGCAGTGTGGTGCATGCCCATACTTGCAGCTATTAGAGAGGCTGAGACATAGTTTGAAGTCAGCCTGGACAATTTAGTGAGATCCTGTCCCAAAATAAAGTTAAGAAGGGCTGGGGATGTACTTCAGAGGTAGACTTCTTGCCTAGCATGTGTGAGTTCCTGGGTTCAATTGCCAGTACCAATAAAAAACAAAGACAAACCCCAAAACCAAGAAAACAGAACTTAGCGGTCAAACTGAAGGTGTGGCTCAAGCAATAGGGCACCTGCTTTGCAAGCACAAAGTCTTGAGTTCAAACCCCAGTCCCACCAAATAACAAACCCTCAGTGGCCAAATGCAGTGGCAAGTCTTTGATCTCATCCTACTAAAGCTGTCTGTCATTGTTCCTTGAAATGCTAAGCAGTGGTGCCATTTCTCTGCTCCTGTCTCTCTGAGTGTTCTCAGTCTCTGTCAGCCCAGCTGTCACTCTGCATCCTTTACATTTTCATTTTCCCTGGACTTCTGTCCTTAGCTCTCCTGTCTCTTCGTTTTCTCTTGGACAGACTGTGCACTGTAAGTATAACTTCTGTGCCGTTGACTCCTAGGATTTGTGTCTGAGTGTGTTTAGAGGTCTCAGGGGCATGTCCTAAACTGAACTCACTGGCTTCACCTCTTCTCTGCTCCTGTGTGATTTCTGAGTACTTTCATGCCATTCTGTCCAGCTCTGCCTGCATAGCTTACTCTTTAAAGTAGGCTGATATACTTCTGTGTAAAGCTTTTCCAGTTTCTCAGTGAGATAAGAAAGCAATACATAAGCAAAATGGCTGAAAAAGAAATTAAATATTGGGCTAGATAATTTAGAGGTCTGTTCTAGATCTAAGGGTCTGGGTTCTTTGTCTTTTTTTCACTGGGTTAAAAATTACCCTCATATGTGACTGTCTCAGTCTGTTTTCTGTTACTATAAGGACATACCAGAGGCTGGATAACTTATAAAAACAAAGAGGCTTATTTTGGTTCATGGTCTGGAGGTCCAAGGATAAAGGGTCGTGTCTGGTGGTGGTCATTTGCTATTAAAAGGCAGAAAGGGCCAGGCACTGGTGGCTCATGCCTGTAATCCTAGCTACTCAGGAGGCAGAGATCAGGAGGATCACTGTTTGAGGCCAGTCTGGGAAGTAGTTTGCAAGACCCTATCTCGAAAAAACCCATCATAAAAAAGGGCTGGTGGAGTGGCTCGTGGTACAAACCCTGAGTTTTAAGCCCCAGTTCCACAAAAAAAAAAAAAGACAGAAAGGCCATCACATGTCAAGAAATGAGTTGCACTTGAGTATGGCCTGGCCTCTCTCCCTCTTCTTGCAAAGCTACCAATATTCAGTCATGGGGCCTTCACCCAATCCCAACCCTAATCACTTCCAAAGGTCACTCCAAAACACCATTGTTATGTTTCCACCTTCTTAATACCTCCCAAAGGGAGTTAAATTTCAACACAGGAACTCTTCTGGGGCACAGTCAACCCAGATTCACACCACAGCAGAGACCATAGTGCAACTCTGGAGAAAAGGAATCACAGGCTGGGGGAGCTCAGCGGTAGAGTGCTTTCCTAGCATGTATGAGGCTGTCCCCAGTGCCACAGAAAGACAAAAGAAAGACAGAAAACAAGCAGCCACTAACCGGCTTCCTCTTCTTTTTCAGTTTTATTCCTGTGAAATGGTGCTTGAGGAAGAGGGAGTCTATGGAGGTGAGAGGAGACGAGCGTGCGTGGAAGGGAGACAGCACATAAGGAAGGAAGAGCTACTGTTTCCGCCTCCCAGCTGCTGCTGCTTGTTTTTCTGCTGGTCTAGAGGGAGGACGGGATCCTGAGAGTGGAAGTGGGAGCAGGACCCCTGCTGAGAAGGATCACTTTAGGGGACAGGGGTGTGGTTCAGATGGTGGAGCGCCTGCCTATCAAGCACAAGGCCCTGAGTTCAAACCTCAGTACTGCCAAAAACAAAACAAAGAAACAGAAACCTTCTATTAGCTGGGCGCTGGTGGCACACAACTGTAATCCCAGCTACTCAGAAGGCAGAGATCAGGAGGCTCACGGTTCAAAGCCAACCCAGGCAAATGGTCTGCAAGACCCTGTCTCGGAAAACCCCATCACAAAAAAGGGCTGGCGGAGAAGCTCAAGGTATAGTCCTGGTTCAAGCCCCAGTACTGCAAAAAAAAAGTATAAACAAAAATCATTTAGGGATGCCAGGGCTCAGAGTTGGGACCACCAACTGCTCTGTTCTCACCTATAGTCATTTTCCAAGATTCCCACCAGGAAAAATGGGCCCAGATGCCTCGTATGCCTCCTGGGTCTCTTCCAGTCTGACCCCATCCTGATCCTTTAGCTATGTCCAATGTTGCTCCTTTTTCCTGCATGCTATCCTCAAGCCGTGGGGACTTTGCACATGCTTTCCTGCTGCCTGGAATGTTCTCTGTCTTACAGCTTTTTTCTGCCCATATCTTATTCCAACTCTAAGCTTAATTGTAACTTTTTTAGGGAAGTCTTTCTTTACCCTCAGTTGCAGTTAGGTCCCTGTAATATGTGTGCTCATGGCTTGCTGTTTGTTTTGTTTTGTGCTGGTCATTGAAGCCAGGGCCTCAAGCATGCTAAGCATGCACTCTACCACTGAACTACATCTCCAGTCCAGGGCTTGCTCTTTTACTTCTTTGGAGCCTGAGTGTAATTAAGTAACTAGTGTCATAATTTGATGTATCTCTCCCCCATTAGATGATAAGCCCTAGCAGACAGAACAGGTCCATTTTGCTCTCTGCTGTCTCCCAGTGCTTAGCACAGTCCTATACTAGGAGGATTTCAGTAAACATTTGCTGATTAGTGAATGAGTGGATGAATGTTTTCTCACCACTTGGACTTGGTCCTGTAATAAAACCCCCACCACTTACCACAGCGCGTTGTAGGCTGCCGTGTACACGGCTCCTTTCGTTACCAGACGGTGAGCTCTTTAAGGGCAGAGACTGCTTCTTACTCTTCTGGGTCTCCAGTGTTACGCACAGAACCTGGCAGGTGGCATCTCCTCAAGTATTCATTGCATGGCTGTGGCAGGCCTTCATTTAATGTGGGGCTGAGTACCTTCTGCCAGGGGCTGACACACTCTGTCCCCACAGATGTGAGCTGTGATGAATGGGCCTTCTCTCTGCTGCCTCTTGATGTGGATCTGCTCAGCATGGAACTGCCAGAATTTTTCAGGGACTACTTCGTGGTACATGCAGGGCTTTTGAGTCTTGGTGTCAAGGGATAGCAACAAACAAGGGGTTCAGTGGGCCAGAAATACTGGTGTAACCTCTGTCCTCCTCATGTAATTTCTCATGAGTGATACTGATTTGATGATTAAATGCTACATGTTAATTTGAGTGGGACTTCTTTGGGAGCTAGTAAAATGAACCCTTGCAAGCATTCCCTAGACCCAGGGCTTCTAGGGCTAGCCTTTCTCCTGACAGGCCTGCGGGGCTATCCATGTCTTTGTGGCCCGTGTGGTCCCTGCAGGAAGGAGATCAGCGTTGGATCAACACCGTGGCTCACGCCCTACACCTTCTCAGCACTCTCTATGGATCCTTTCCGAATTGCTACGGGATTGGCAGATGCGCCAAGGTAAGACTGCTCACAGAACTATCATCCCTAAAGCTCCTGCTTCCCCTATTCTTACCCACAACGATTATCCACGGGTGTCTGTCATATGAGGCATGTTCTTTACTTTGCTCTTATGTTCCAGAATAGTTTCCCAGAGAGGAGAATTTGTGTGGCTCACAGAAAGGCCAGAGCCAGGCCTTTGTACTCCTAAATTTTTTATCATCTGGGGTGGGGTAACACGCCTTCGTTGGTAAGGGGAGGGACAGGGAGGGTGGGAGCAGATGGGAATGGCATAGGTTCGCGGTGTTCACAATGGACGCCCCTCCTGGCGGCAGGATGAAGCGTTGCATGGAAGGGTTGGCGTCTGTAGGTATAAGCTGCAGTCAGCACCTGGACATGAACTTGGGAATGTCTTGGGCCCTGGCAGATGTCGTATGAACTGTGGAGGAAACTGGAGGACGAGGACAGTGAGACCAAAGGCCGTAGAGCAGAGGTTGGACATGTTTTTCTCCTGGACAGAGGTGAGTGATGCCCAGCGCTCTGTTCATCTCTAGGCCTAGAGGACACGCACATGTGGAAAGGGTGGTGGCAAAGTTAGGGCCGTGAGTCCCTGCACTGATCTGGAGCATGGGCACTTGAGCTGTGCAGAAAGTGCTTGAGCTGACATTGGGCAAACTGGGGACCTTCAGCATTGGGATCTTGGTTTCAGATGTGGACTTTGTGACAGCACTTTGCTCCCAGGTCGTTTACGAGGGCCTGGTAGACGACACTTTCCGCGTCAAGTGTGGTAAGTGCCCTCATCTTCTGCATCTTGGTGGGGGGGGGAGCTGTCACAGCCTCTGGTGCCTCCCACTCAGGGGCAGGGCTTGTAGGAGAGAGCACTGGTGGCCCAGGGAAAAGTGGAAGGCCTCAGGGGAGATCCGAATAGCTGTTCCCTCTGCCCTCAAAGGGAGTGTCGACTTTGGCCCGGAAGTCACGTCTTCTGACAAGAGCCTGAAGGTGCTCCTCAATGCTGAGGACAAGGTGCGAGAACGGGCAGAGCAATGGGCTTGCACAATGCAGGCCCCACTCTGGGAGGGGAGCCCGAGTCCCAGCCGGGGGCCAGGGGGATGTGGGGAGTGGGGCTTCCCAGCAGTGAAGGGCAGATGCAGAGCATCGTGGAGGAACTTGGTGCCCGCTGACTGGCAGCAGCTCAGCATTCCTGGTGCCTCCGCTAGCTCAGCTGCGCACTCTTCTGGGCTGTCACTCTGCTGATGAAGGGCCCTGCCTTCATCATGTGGTAGGGTCCACGTGGTCTTGCTCTCCTTACAGGTGTTTAATGAGATTCGTAATGAGCATTTCTCCAATGTCTTTGGCTTCTTGAGCCAGAAGGCCCGGAACTTGCAGGCCCAGTATGATGTAAGGCACCAAGCCCTGCTTCATTTTGTTTCCTCAGTGGCTTCCTTTCCTTTCTTTCTTTTTTCTGTGATGGTACTGGGGTTTGAACTCAGGGCTTCACACTTACAAAGCAGGTGCTCTACCACTTGAGTCACTCCACCAGTCCATTTGGCTCTCGTTATTTTGGAGATGGGGTTCACTATGTGCCTGGGCTGGCCTTGAACCACGATCTTCCTGATCTCAGCCCCAGGTACTAGGACTATAGGCAGAGCAACTGGTGCCACGCAGTGGCTGGTCCCTGTCTCTTCTCATGGGTGGGTGGCAACTGAGGGAGGCTGGTGGTTTCTCGGGTGCTGACCTTATGGGGACATCCCCACAGCGCCGGAGAGGCATGGACATAAAGCAGATGAAGAATTTCGTGTCCCAGGAGCTCAAGGGACTGAAACAGGAGCATCGTCTGCTGAGTCTGCGTAGGTGCCAGCCTGGGGGCAAGGGGCGTGACTGCACCCCCCCCCCACTCCCCACCCCGCCTCCCGACCTGGGGGAATGCTGCCCAGGGCTACTGCCTCCCAAGACAAGCTCCCTGTTTCTCAGTGAATGAATAATGGGCTCATTTGCTCTAAGTGGGATGAAGATTTGTGATTTTGCCTTAAGAGGTTTTTATTCTTCTGGACAATAAAGGGATGTCCTAGAGCCAGGCATGTGTCAGCTCCCTTTCTGTCCTATCTGCAGATATTGGGGCCTGTGAATCCATTATGAAGAAGAAAACCAAGCAGGACTTCCAGGAGCTCATCAAGACTGAGCATGGTAACTGTACAGCCTTGCTAAGCTACTCACTATGAGCCTATGCCCCCGGCACCTGGCCCAACCCCCTGAAAAGATATTCTCTGGCTCTTTTCAGCTGACGCTGGCTGTGTGGAGTGCTGATTCCTGCTAGAAAGCCTAGGGGCCCCTTAACCAACCCCAAAGATGGAGAAAGACCTGGGAGACAGATACCTGTTGGCATAGAAGTCAACAGTTGGGCTGATCCCCCAGTAATAGGCTCTCCTCTGATTGCTCTCCTCTGATTGTCACAGCTCTGCTAGAGGGGTTCAACATCCGAGAGAGTACCAACTATATTGAAGAACACATTGACCGGCAGGTGAGCAGGGGGCTACCAAGGCTGGGAATGGTGTTTGGAGGTGGGGTCACCTAAGTAGAAGGAAATGAACACGAGTCATGAAACTTCAGTCCTCCTTGATTCTTTCTTCCTGTGCAGGTGTCACCTATAGAAAGCCTTCGTCTCATGTGCCTTTTGTCCATCACTGAGAATGGTGAGCCCAAAAGACTAAGAAGAGAATGCCACACTGAGAAATCCTCAGGGACAGGGGAGAAGGTTTTGAAAGACAAAGTATCTTAGCATACAGTGTTTCCCTGTGATTTCATGGGTTCTTTTTCCTTTAAAATAAAGCAGTGTGTGTTGGGCGAATCACTAGGAGGTCACGGGGTAATTTCTTGTCCCAGCCCTACAGGATCACTTCAGAGCAACGCTCATCATGTAGGGGCTGCGAGGTGCAGAGCCAAGCAGTATTCCTCTGACTGTTCCATTTGACTGCCTGTCCTCAACAAGTTTTCCTGATAAAAATACATTTTAGGACAAAGGGACACCCTAATTTCATAAGCATTTCCCTAAGCTCAGATTCTGCACCTTTCATGGTAACTTTTTTTTTGGTGGTACTCAAGTTTGAATTCATGGCCTCACACTTGCTAGGCAAGGCATTCTACCACTTGAGCCACTCTGCTAGGCCTTTTTTGTGTTGGGTATTTTCAAGATAGCATCTCTTAAACTGTTTGGGCTGATCTTGAACATGACCCTTCTCCCTATCCTGAGTAGCTAGGATTACAGGCGTAAGCCCCAGGTACCTGGATACAATTTCTTTTTTTTCCGGTACTGGAACTCAGGGCCTACACCTTGAGCCACTCCACCAGCCCTTTTTTGTGATACGTTTATTCGAGATAGGGTCTCATGAACTATTTGCCCCGCTGGCTTGAATCAGGATCTTCCTGAGCTCTGCCTCCTGAGTAGTTAGGATTACAGGTGTGAGCCACTGGCAGCTAGGGCAACTTTTTTTTTAAAACAGGGTTTCATTATGTAGCTCAGACTGGGATTTTTTTTTTTTTTTCTTAGTGCTGTGAATCGAAGCTAGGGCCTTGCACATGCTAGCAAGTGCTCTACCACTGAGCTATACCCCCAGACTTCCCAGGCTGGCCTTGAACTCGTGATCTTCCTCAGCCTCCTAAGTGCTGGTCTTACAGGCATGTCCCTCCTGTTAAAGTCTTAACAGTTCCAAATTCTTCAGGGTTGCTTTCAACCAAGAGAAGTGTTTTGCTTATTTGATGTACATTTTTTTTCTAGCTTTTTATTTCTGGTCCTGGGGCTCCAACCCAGTGCCTGGTCCATGCTTGGCAAGTGCCGGACCACTGAGCTACATCTCCAGCTATTTTGCTTTATTCTAAACCGGTTGGAGGGTAGTTGGGACCCATTTCTTACCTCTAGAGAAAAACATCTGAAACTATACTTTGGAAGTCATTTTTCACATTTCTGTTTCTCCGTAGCTGTAAAGCAGTTCCAAGGAGAACTGTCCCTTAGCTGAAAGAAGTCAGGGTCCCCACACTCCTGGCACATCATCACTGGCATTAGTTCCAGTGTCTCTTTCCCGGCACCCTGTGATTCAGAGGTTTCTCTTGGAGCTGTCAGACCTGGCTGTTATCTTTCAATAACCAAGCTTAAATTTAGCAGTCAGTTTACACTCAACTACATCCTATGCAAGGTCAACATTTACCTAATCTTTCTTCCTGATTAAAGTGTTGTTTTAAGGCATTGGACATTTTAAGGCACGTTTACTCTTTCTCACACACCTGCCTTATTTTCCTCACTGTCAGGTTTGATTCCTAAGGATTACCGATCTCTGAAAACACAGTATATGCAGGTAAGGCCTGGAGGATGTCTTCCTGTCAGAAGCTGATGGAGAGATGTTGTTAGGCATTTTTGAAAGAGGCATAAGAAAAATAAGTCCCCTTTCCTGTCCCCAACCTGTTTCTATTCTAACCTCCCTCTTAGAGGTTAGGACTCACTGGGGCGAGTCCTATTTTAGCATACTTCTTCTCTCCCCCTGTGGTGGGCCACCAGTGCCAAGAGAAATTTAATCAGTTCCGCTGTTGGACCCAGTAGTGAGCTCTTTCTCCTGGGAATCCCCTTCATTTTAGCACCTTGTGAGGCATTGGTTCAACTTGCCCTCCTGGTCTTTCTCCAGCCATGAAGCCTTTCCCAGATCCTTACATCCATAGCCTTCTCTGTTCTTTAATAGTTTTTGGCCGCTTTTTCCCATGTTTGCTATTGGGTTATTTCTGATATGAAAATCCTATCCACAGCAAGTGTGAGCTCCTTCAGGGCAGAGGCTACAGTGTGCCACTGTGGATTCCTTCTTCCCCTCACCTCTGTATTACCAGTGGTGCTAGAGTCTTGGTGGACATTCAGTAAATACCTGACTTGCATTTCCTTCAGAGCTATGGCCCTGAGCACCTACTAACTTTCTCCAATCTGCGGCGAGCTGGGCTCCTAACAGAGCAGGTTCCAGGGGAAACCCTCACGGCAGTGGAGAGCAAAGTGAGCAAGCTGGTGACCGACAAGGCTGCAGGTGAGAGGGGAGCACAGGTGATCCCCATCCCTTACCCCCACTCCTATGAGTTTTTCCCTGGGGTGGGGGGAGGAGAGAGAAAGAAGTTGTGGTTCCTATTACTGTCATTACTATTGCTGCTTCTGCTAGTAAGATCAGTGTGTGATCCCTGTTACTCAGGAGGGCAGAGATCAGGAGGATCAAGGTTCGAAGCCAGCCAGGACAAATAGTTCAAGAGACCCTATCTCGAAAATACCCAACAGAAAACAACAGGTGGAGTGACTTACGTGGTAGAGTGCCTGCCTAGCAAGCATGAGGCCCGGAGTTCAAACCCCAATGCCACCAAAAAAAAAAAAAATCAGTTTCGATATAGTATGTGTTGACCATTTATGTGTGGTTTCTCATTTGATCCTCATAAAGACTGCAAGCTAAGTTTCCCCCATTTTACAGATAAGAAACTGAAGCTGACAGAAATTAGGTGACTTGTCCTAAGTCCCTCAGTAAGTCAGGTCAGTTTGACTCCAAAGCCCCGTCACTTGATTTGAAATGTAGCCTGCATTTAGTAGGCAGCTGATTCGGTAGGAGGAGATGGTGGGTGTGGGGAGGTGTGCCAGATGTCTTGATTACTTCTGTGAACTGTAGGTGAACAGCTTCAAGGGGGGGTGTCTTTGGGCGTGTAGGTCCTGTCATGTCCTACATGGTGTCAGCTATGGCAGTGTCACAAACCTGTAGACCCTAGATGGAACTAGCACAGATTTCTTTCCCAGGAAAGATTACGGATGCCTTCAGTTCTCTGGCCAAGAGGAGCAATTTTCGTGCCATCAGCAAAAAGCTGAATTTGGTATGTGGAGCAGAGCTGGACGGGGAGGCTGTGAGTTCTTTCTTTTGTGGAGTAGTTGGAATCTGTATAAGGATTTATGTCACTGCGTTTTTGTGAAGATTTGTTAGCTTTATAGTGTGAGTGTAGCTCAATAAGACAAAAGACAAAGGTAAACATGTAGTAAGTACCTGCCAATGGCAAAGGATGCTGGGAAGTGTGGCCTCCCATCCTATGAAGGGATGGAGGGAAAGACAGTCCCTTCACAGGGACGTGGGAGCCCACTGCAGAGAACTGGAGCGCATTGGATGCATGTGGTCATCTTGGTCGAAGGTCTCTTCTTTTTCAGGACTGTTGCTGGCTCTCCCTGTAGCTGAAATAGGAACTGTTGTTTGGGACATGCTACTTTTACCTGACCCTTTGAAGGGTTAGGGAGCTGAGTTGTCACTTGCCTGATGTAGTACCTTTGCCCCCTAGATCCCACGTGTGGACGGAGAGTATGACCTGAAAGTGCCTCGAGACATGGCTTACGTCTTCAGTGGGGCCTATGTGCCCCTGAGCTGCCGGATCATTGAGCAGGTGGGAAGAAGCTGCTCTCACTCCATTCTTATTTCATTCTTTCTCCTTTCTCTTGGTCCCTGGCCCACTAACTTACTCCTTAGTAACAAGCATGAAACATGACAGCCTGGCTGCTGCCCTCTTTATTTCCTAAGCCTGCTACTGTCTGTAGTTGCTAAACCAGTGCTTACCCCTTCCCAGGTGCTGGAGCGGCGGAGCTGGCAGGGCCTTGATGAGGTGGTACGGCTGCTCAACTGCAGTGAGTTTGCATTCACAGGTACGTGGCATTGCTGGAGAGGGGCAGGCTGCATCACTCAGCACTGGCCGGTCAGTAGAGAGAGCACAGTCTTCTCTGCTCCCCCAGACATGACCAAGGAAGATACAGCTTCCAGTGAGTCCCTGCGCCTCGTCTTGGTGGTGTTCTTGGGTGGTTGCACATTCTCTGAGATCTCGGCCCTGAGGTTTCTGGGCAGAGAGAAAGGTAAGAGAACAGAAAGGTGAGAGGAGACCTGCATGGATTCTGGAGACCAAAGTGCCTTGCAGAGGAGGCTTTTCTCCTGGCCTTGGTACCACCTGCCAGAGCCTTGCAGGCTGCTAGAACAAGGAGCCCAGTCTCAGTGGGCTTGGAAAGTTGTGCTCAGGAGACTGAGACTCATGTATCTGTATGCTGGTGCTGTGACCCAGTGGGGACTGTGGAACTGGAGGGGCTCAGTGTCGTTTCTGCTGGGGCCTGACATCTGCTCTTCGTCATTTCTGCTGCTGCTCTTGACTCCTAGGGTACAGGTTCATTTTTCTGACGACAGCTGTCACAAACAGTGCTCGCCTTATGGAGGCCATGAGTGAGGTGAAGGCCTGAAGATTTCCTGGGCAGTGTTGAAGTCTTCCCTGGACATGTTCCCCAATGGGATGCACCTAGCTGCTACAGTGTCCCCCAGTCACCTCAGAGCTGGGGACCAAGGAATTTATTTGGGACTTAGAGGACACATCTGAGGAGAGAGTTCATGTTTCTCCCCTGGGATAATCCTGTTTTTGTTTATGAAGTACAGTCCATGCTGCTAAGACCTGCTGGGGAAGTCCAGTTTGAGTATCATTGTAAATAAAGCCTCTGCTCTCAATGTAACATCTTGGAGTTCTGGACACACACACACTCCATCTTCCCTGGGAAAAGCACAGTGGGGCCGTCCTGGGGCTTCATCGGCTTTGTGGCCTGGACTCCGTAGCTCTGGGCCTGCTCCATGTTTCTTGTAAAAGTCACTAGCTTGCTTTGTAGCAGCTTCCTCAACTCTTAAGAGGAGGAGGATGGGATTGGATGGGATTGGATGTTAGCAGATTCTAAAATTTTACTTCTAAAATTCTGTGATTCATTTTCCTCTTTTTATTTTTTTATGGGACTTGTGTTTGACCTCAGGGTTTCGTACTTGTGAAGCAGGCACTCTACCACTTGAAGCAACCCTCCAGCCCATTTTGCTCTGGTTATTTTGGAGGTGGGATTTCTTGAACTGTTTGCCCTGGATGGCCTCAAAGCAGGAGCCTCCCAATCTCAGCCTCCCAAGTAGCTAGGATTACAGGAGTGAACCACTGGTGCCCAGCAAGTTTTTTTTTTTTGTGGTACTGGGATTTGAAATCAGGGCCTACACCTTGAGCCACTACACCAGCCCTTTTTTGTGAAGTGTTTTTTTGAGATAGGATGTTGAGAACTCTTTACCCAGGTTGGCTTTGAACTGCATTCCTCCTAATCTCTGCCTCCTGAGTAGCTAGGATTACAGGCACCCAACTTCCTTCTTGAAATTCTTTTTCATCTCCCATGATACTTGTTTTTGTCCTCCTGTAATCTCCCAGACTGCCCTGTCTCCTTTGAGCACTCCTCTGTCTGTCCCTCTGTCCATCCTTTGTTGCTGTCATCTAATTGCAGATCTCCAGCTGTTCTCGCTCCTGAGCTCCACACTAATATTTCTTACCTGGCCATTCATAAACTCAGTCATCCAATATAAACTCACACAAACTCCGAAACTGAATCTTTTGTCCCCACTTTAAGCCCCTAGATCGCTCCTCTCTGCCTGAATTCCCTTGACTGACGCTGCCATCTACCCAGGCTTTATAACAGATTGTTTCCTCTATCCCCTGCATTCAGGTGGTCCCACCTTTCTAGTCGTGTTTCTGGATGCTTCTAGTGCATCCTCCTCACCACCATGGCTGAAGTCTTTATTGTCTCTTTGTCTCTTTCTGGATTTTTATAAGACCATCCCTCCCGTTACTCTGCCACCCGTGGGTTCCCTACCCCGTGGTGTTGCCCCTTCTCAAAAGAAGGAAAGCGAAGGCTGAGTTACTGCATTCTTCCCATAGAAGAATGGCAGTGCTGTACAACAGCATGGTCCAAGGGAATGCATGCCCCAGGCGTAGCGAGGCTTTTCTTTTTTGCGACAGGCAGTCTCCTTACGTAGACCAGACAGGCCTTGAACTTTGGATCTTCCTGCGTTAGCCTCCTGAGGGCTGTGGTTACAGGTGTCACCACACCCCAAAATTCTAGCTAGAATTTTGACAGTGTTACGCCATGCATGCAGGATCCAAGACACTGCTGAGAAGGAATCAGACATCAGAAGTGACTGTGGCAAAGTAAATAAGCAGTGCCAGTGCATTGCACTTGGCGTCCAGTGGAACTAAAACCTGGCTTCTAATAGGGTCACATGCACACATCTGACAGTGCTGAGTATGTGTTCTGGATGGCTATCTTTGCCATGGCTTTGTGTCTTTATAAGCTTCAGAACTAGTGTTAAGGGCATAAGAGCAAACTTGCTCTATCCCTGGCTGCTTTACAGTGCTGGCCCTGGGAACATATCTGAAGATAGAAAATTAATCAAATAAGAGTACAAGTAAATTCAAAAACTCGTGCCTAGAAAAATGAAAAAAAAAAAAAAAACCCCAAAACTTGGTGCCTATGTTAATGGTGTGAATGTCTGACACATTGCAGACAAGCTAAATTAAGACATGAAGTTTTTCTGAAAGTAAGAAAAAACACAATTCTAGACGTGAACCAAAGCATCCTTTACCTTCAGGGGAAAAAAATGAGAATTTACCGAATTTATAATTGGCCAGTATGTGAAAAATGTGCAGTTTCAGTTATGATCAAACAACTGCGGATCACAGAAGGAAATGCCATTTTTTGGATGAGAAAAGATGCCTAAAAGTACAGTTAGATTTAGCACTACTGGGGTGATGAGACAGGCACTGCAGGTGAGGCTTGGTGGGGAGGGCAAATTAGCAAATACCACCTCTTCGGAAAGAGAGTGTTTGGTAATTCCACTTATAGGAATCAGTCATAAGAAAATAATGCAAGATGCAAAGATTTATGTGTGAAGACACTCATCTTGGTGTTACTGTAAAAATTGCGATCTAAACACCAGCAAAGTAGTTGAACTGAAATAGCTACTCCACAGGATAGTATGTAATCGTGAATCAATGTGAAATGTAGCATTAGGGTTGTAGCATGTAGAGTGCTCAGTGACGAAAGGAGGATACAAAAGTACTTGGAAGCCCAGCAGCGGTCGGGGCTCAGGCCTGGGTTCTAGCTGGAGATCAGGAGGATCGCGGTTCGAGGCTAGCCTGGACACGTGGTTCCAGAGACCTTATCTCAAAAATACCAATCACAAAAAAGGGCTGGAGGAGTGGCTCAAGTGGTTGAGCGCTTGCCTAGCAGGTGTAAGGCCCTGAATTCAAACCGCAGTACTGCCAAAAACACAAAACAAAAAAACTTCAATGTGGATTTCTTAGGTAATTTGAAAGAAAACCACGCCCCGGCGATCTCCCCGTTTATTCACCGAGTACCTGGGCAAGTCACTTAAGTCTTTGAACGTTTTCTGCTCTGTACAAGGGCGGCATACTAACAGGTGTGTCCTAACGATTACATGGGACAGTTTGTCCAGCAGGGTTCGGTGTCGCTTCCCTCCCTTTGGGGTGCGGTTCCTACATCTGGGGAAGAGGCTCATCCCACAAAGATCAGCCCCAGATCGCTCCCTATTTGCTCCTGCCCGACTGCCTCTGGAGCTGGCGCGCACTGCTAATCCGAAGGGCGCGGGTCAGGCGGGACTCGGATGACGTCATGTACTCGGGCCGCCCTCCAGGAGCGTTTTGGTTGCGCTGCGCACGCGCAGACCCGCTGTCTCGGGCTGGCCGCGACCCTACCACGCAGTCTCCATAGCCGCCGGGGGGCGGGGCGAAGGCGGGCCTTCGTTAGGAGTGACGGGCGTGGCACCAATCGTCGGGCTTCCCCGCCTCTGGGCTGCTTTTGAAATTCCGCGGGGCCCAACGGCCAGCGGGGCTTTTCCCAAGGGTTGAGCCTGCACGACCCGCGCGAGGTCGGCCGTGTTTCCTGCGCTCGTCCCGCGTGGAGGAGGTCGAGGGTCTCGCCTCTCGGCGTCTTGGAGCGTCCGCCATGAGAAGAAGGTGCGGGTCTCGAGGGCGGCGAGGGTTGAGGGAAGGAGCGACGCCTGCTGAGGGTGCGGGGCTGACGCGGGGTCCCCTCGGGCCGGGTGGGGTGGGGCAGGGTCTCACGTCAGCCGGCGACTTGGGCTGGGGACGCGGCGCGGGGTCGGGCCGCGGAGTGCGGGATACTGGCAGCTGAGGAGCGGAGCCAGGTGCGGCCGCTTGGCGCCGCGGCTCCGAGAGCCCGGCCCGCGGGGTAGCGTCGGACCCGAGTGGGGAACTGGGGACGAGGCCCGCTGTCCTCGCGAGCCGGGCTTCGGTGGCCCTGCGAGGGCCCCAGGCGCGGCACCGGGCGGGCGGGCGGCCAGCTCTGGCCCAGGCCTGGATCGTGCGTGGGCCGAGGCTGCGCGGGTGCACCTGCCGCAGGTAGCGGTGAGAGTCCCCCAAGGCTTTGTAGGATTGTAGGTTCCGCGGTTCCACCGGGTTTTTCCCCGGGGGTGGGGGGGTGGCGGGGCTGGGATTTGAACTCGCGGATGCCGAGCCGCTCCCCCAGCGGTCCTGATGAGCTTTTTCCAAATGTTTACGCAGTGCTTGGGCAGCCAAGTCGGTGTGCGCTGTGCATCGCTAGTCCTCTGAATGCGACGGTAGCAAAAACGTCCGAAGGACTAGTGACATCTATGGCAGCCATCAGGGAAACTAATGGACGGTTGAGGGGTTCCAGGGCAGCCTGTCTTCATAGTGAGACCCTGTCCCCTAAAAAACAAAGTACATTATGGGTTGCTCAGACATCTTCTGGTTTTTTTTTTCTTTTTTTTTTTTTTAATTTTTTGAGACAGGGTTTCTGTAACCCAGACCCTCCTGCCTCATCTTCCCCAGTCCTGGCATTACAAGGCATGCCACACCATGCCCTTCTCTTTGTCTTGTCCATTGGACTTGAAAGCTACAATTTATGTCCCAATCTCATTTTATCTTGAAAATGTGATTTGTTTGGCTAAATTAGTGAAGGTTTTTGTTTTTCAATTTAAGTCCAAAAGAAATGCAAATCAGATTTTGTGCCAAATGCTTTTGGTAACAGCTCTGAGATACATCCTACATAGCATGTAATTCCCATACAAGCAATGTACAATTTATGATTTTTAGAATATTCAGTCGTGTAGTCACTACTGCAATGAGTTCTAGGAAACTTTCAATCCCTCCAGTCCCATTGGACGTCCATCCCATTACACCATGGGGTTCACACCCCACGACCACTAATTTACTTTTGATTACTCTGGATATGTCATATAAATAGAATCATGGCTGTTGAGGTCTTTTGTGACTTTTTTTGACTTAGGGTAATGTTTACAAGCTATTGCCATATAATACTCCATTTATTGCCAACTATATTTACTTACTAATTAACTGATGGCCGTTTGTGTGGGTTTCCTTTTTTGGTTTTACAAATGTAGTAAGCTTGCCTTATTTGTAGATTTAGTCCATGCAGTTTTGACCAAGCATGGTTAAAAAAAAATGAAAGAAATTTCAAAAACAAAAATATTAAATTCCATCCCCCCCACATTCCGCTATTCAGTTGGTTGTGTTGAAATCCTTGTGTGATCCACAGAATGTTCCCTGCCCTTCACTTTGTGAAAATCTGCCTCCCACAAGGCAAATGATGGCCAAAAAGCATGGTGAAGGTTTTGGTAATACTTCCAACCCAACAGAGGTACATTATGTGCTGGATTGGAGTGACAGTGACAATTTGAGGTTTACTGAGAGCGGGGAATGTCTTCAGTGGAAGTCGGTGGCGTTATGGGAAAAATGAATCCATCATTGCAGTAAAGAACATGAGATGAGATCTAGTTTTGGGTAAGCAGAATTAATTTGCACAGCAGTGATTCTGACAATACTGTAGCCGACTCCCATGCCCTCTCAAGTCATGTATGCAGGGAATAGGTAAATTTGAGGAAGTTCTTTTTTTTTCCAGTGGTACTGGGGTTTGAACTGGTAGAACTGAGATTTGAACTTAGGACTTAACAGCTTGCTAAGCAGGCACTGTACCCTGGAGCCACGTTCCCCAGCTCTTCCCATTATCTTATGGGCAGCGGAACACCAGCCACGTTTACAGCTGCGTTTACAGCGTGGTCTTCTGCTTTGCTACGTTATGGGTTGCTCAGGCATCTTCTGTTTTATTTTCTTCTTTTCTTTTTTTTTAAATTTTGAGACAAAGTTTCTTGTAACCCTGACCTGCCTGGAACTCAAGATCCTCCTGCCTCAACTTCCCCAATGCTGGGATTATAGGAGTGCCACACCTTGCCCTACTCTTTTTTTTTTTTTTTTTTCTCAGTACTGGGGTTTGAACTCAGGGCCTTCACCTTGAGCCACTCCACCAGTCCTATTTTTGTGATGGGTTTTTTGAGATAAGCTCTTGTGGAACTATTTGCCCAGGCTGGCATCGAACTTTGATCCTCCTGATCTCTGCCTCCTGAGTAGCTGGGATTGCAGGTGTGAACCACCAGCGCCTGGCCCATGCCCTGCTCCTTATCTTGGTTTTGATTGAATTTGAGAGCTACAGTTTCACTGTACTGAACTCTGTGCATCCTCCACACGTGGTTTTCCTCAGCTGGGTCTGCTGTAGTGTCAGTAAACGTTCCTGTATGAGTTTTTGCATGGCCTCTTCATCTCTCCTGGAATACCTAGTGCAGCATTGTTAAGCTATGAGCTGTTGAGGAACTGCAGGCTGAGAGTGGCTGCGTCATCTTGCGTCCTCAGCAGTTGTGAGGGCGTCAGGTTCTTGCCAGGATTTGTTCTTACCTGTCCTTGAGTACAGCTGTCCACGGACTGTGAAGTGATTTGGGTTTGTGTTTTTACCTGATGACTGGTGTTGAGCTACTTTTCCAGTGTTCACTCCTCATTTGTATATCTTCTTTGGGAAAATGTCTACTTGCATTCTTTACCCGTTGTGCTAGATTTTTTAATTGAGAAAAATGATCACTTTACCTTCTGCATGTTCTTGAGGTAAGGGTCCTGATCTGATGAAATCTAGAAGCTGGGAACACAGGGTGTCTTTTGCAGGAATTTGAGACCATTCCTTTCATGTTTATTGAACAGCTATACATTGGTCTGGCCAAATGAAGATGGTAAAGATATGGTGAGTGACATGTTCACAGCTCCCCAGAGGAGGCTGTGGCAGGTGGAAGGAACAGAGTGTGTAAAAGCATGAGTATCAGGTATCAGAAACCAGGAGCTGTGTGTGGTTGGGCAAGAGGCACTGTCCAGGGTGCCAGAAGTTCAGCTGGCTGCAGTCCTGGTGGGAGACAGGGTGAATTGAGAGAGAATGCTGGAGACAGGTGTTAGAAGACCTTTCCTGTAAAGGTGTCTGACCTGCTTCCTCAGGAGGGTGGGCCTGCTGGATTTTGTTTTTGTGGGAATTTGCCTGTCATGTGGACACTGACTGGGAGGGGCAGGCCAGTCAGAATGGAAGCTTTTTTTTTTTTTTTGAGAGTCTGGAGTTTGTTAATATGTTAATGTATAAACAAAGAGGCTTGCAAAACAGGGGTTCTACTGCTTGAGCCACAATTCTAGTCCATTTTTCTCTGGTTGTTTTATGATGGGGTCTTGCCAACTGTTTGCCCAAGGCTAACCTGCAACCTCAGTTGTTCCAGTCTCAGCCTCCCAAGTAGCTGGGATTACAGGCGTGAGCCACCAGCTCCTGACTAAGATAGTTGTTCTTGTTTCATTTTCAGTGAGGTCCTGGCAGAGGAGTCTGTAGTGTGTCTCCAGAAAGCCCTGGTTGACCTTCGGGCGATATGGGAGCTGATCGGGATTCCGGAGGACCAGCGGCTGCAGAGGACAGAGGTCGTACACAAGCACATCAAGGTGAGCAGCGTGGTCTCCACGGGGGCAGAGGGTTGTCCACACTGTGATACTACAGCTCTTCCTGTTCAGGTTAAGTCCTGTCTTGAAATTGTGAAATGCCAAAGGCTTTGGTGTTTTGTGGCGTTCTCTCTTAGGATCTCCTGGACAGGATGATTGCTGAGGAGGAGAGTCTGAAGGAGCGGCTTATCAGGAGCATAGCCATCTGCCAGAAGGAGCTGGGCACCCTGTGTGCGGAGCTGCACGTGGAGCCATTTCGGGTACATGGCCCAGGGGTCTTGGGACCTTGCCTGGGTCCGAGCTTGAGGAAGAAGCACTGACTTGTGGGGGTTGGTCATAGGATGTGGGGAAGCCAGGCCGCCCAGTGAATGGGCTCCAGCAGAGAGGTTTCTCGTGTTGGGAGGTAAGGCTGCTGTTAGAGACCAGAAGCACCTTTTGCTGTACTTGTGCTTTGTAAGGCATCAGCTTGGACGCAGAGGTGGATTTCTCTGAAAGACAATGAAAAAGTACCTAGAAAGCAGTGGGAATATGAGGGAAAGGTACCCCAAGCCCCAGTCATGTGGTCCTGTTATTCCCAACAGCTCTATAGCACTGTGCCAGCCAAAGGGGCCACTCACAAGATGTCTCGGGCTGAGTCTAGGAACCTGTGCAGGTCACGCAGGCCATGGGTAGGTGTGTAGGCGGTTGAGGGGTTGCTGTATTGTGGTCCAGCATGAGTCAGGGTCTTGAGCGAGGACACAGGAGGTGGGACAGGAAACATCTGTCAGCTTAGTCAGTGAAAACTGCGTGAGGACTGTAAATGTTAGGATGAATTTGGAGCTCAGAAAGGTGACAGACAGCATGCCATAAGGTCACAGGAGTAACTATCTGCCAGGTCTCTAGGAGACCCTTTAAAGGGTTGGGATAATGTGTCAGGCTGGCTAGTACCTCACTGGGCTTCCTGGAATCCACATCAAGGATGCAGAGTTGATTTTGGACATTAGGTGAGAAGTTAGGTGTACAGTGCCACATTTCCCTTAAGTTATGACAGTTCTTATTTTAATGATTTAATGAAGTTGTATAAATTTATAGAGTATAAATTTATAGACCACTCCTCTTTTCCCCCACTTGATACAATAGTACAGGCTTCTCTTGGTGAGGAGAGGTTCAGAGGATTACTGAGTGAGCACTGTGGCATGAGTCAGATATACCACCCCCTGGCTGACCAAAGCAGGCTTTCCAACCCCTTTACCTCCTTGTAAAGTGCCCTGGTGGGCTGGGGGTGTGGCTCAAGTGGTAGAGTACCTGTCTGGCAAGCACACAGCCCTGAGTTCAAACCCTAGTACCTCCAAAACAAAACAAAAGTCCTCTGGTGCCTAGTGTACTCAAATTCAGAGAGGCAGAAAGTGGAATTGTTGTTCCCAGGGGCTGAGGGAGAACTAGGGCCCCTGTACGAAGTGAATACAGATGAGTTTGGGAGGGTGATGGTAATGGTTACACAACAGTACACACAGATGCCCCTTGACTTACAATGGGTGTGTCTAAGGATATAACTGTTGTAAGTGAAAAATGTATGTCATCCATCTGACCTACTGAACATCATAGCTTAGTGTAGTCTACCTTTTTTTTTTTTTTTGGTGAGAATGGGGTCTGAACTCAGGGCTTAGTACTTGCAAAGCAGGTGCTCTAACGCTTGAGCTATACCTCCAGCCCAAACCTAGCCTACCTTAAACGTGCTCAGAACACTTGCATTAACCTAGAGTTGGGAAACTCATCTAACATGAGCCTTCTTAGTAAAATGTTGCAGGGCATGTAATGTACATGTGTAATCCCAGCACTTGGGAGGCTGAGGTAGGAGGATCACAAGTTTGAGGCCAGTCTGGTTACATAATGAGATTCTGGTTTTTGTTTTTTTGTTTTTTTTTTTTTAAAGGCAGGTGAGGTGGCTCACGCCTGTATTTCTAACCACTTGGGAGGCTGAGATTGTGAAGATCACAATTTGAGGCCCAAAATAACGAGAACAAAATGGACTGGAGGTGTGGCTCAATCAAAAGAGTGCCTGCTTTACAAGCCTGGAGCCCTTAGTTCAAACCCTAATCCCACCCAAAATTTAAACAAAGCCTAGTGGTTCATGTACTTTATTGAGTACTATGAATACTGACAGTGAAAGTTGATGGGTGTGTCCGTACTTAATATACACATTCCACTGATTGCCTTTGAACCATTGTAAAGCCAAGAAGTCGTTATGTTGGGGCCATCTGTACTTAATACCACTGAACTGTACGCTTACAAATGGCTAAGAGGGCAGATTTTGTTACGCGTGTGTTTTACTACAGTTGGGGAAAAAAAGGAAAAGCGGTGTCCTGGTACCTACTGACCTTTTGTTGCTGAAGACTGCTTAGGAGATCCTTGTGCTGTACTCTGTTGGCCATGAGTTGACTTAGTTGTAAACTACTTAACTGAGTACGTCAACCTAGTTCTCGTCTGTCCTTATCCCCTGAAGGACTCACTTGGAACCTTGTAACACTGGTATGTCACCTCACACAGGAGGAAGGAGAGATAACTATCCTGCAACTAGAGAAAGATTTGCGCACTCAGGTGGAATTGATGAGGAAGCAGAAAAAGGAGAGGAAGCAGGAACTGAAGCTACTTCAAGAACAGGATCAAGAACTCTGTGAGATTCTTTGCATGCCTCACTATGACATTGACAGCACTCCAGTTCCTAGCATAGAAGACCTGAACCAGTTCAGAAAACATGTGGCCACTTTGAGGGAAACAAAGGTACACTGTCTGCAGTCACACCCCAAAAGCCCCATTGGCCTTCCTCTGCGTGTTGTAATAGCTTTGTTTCACAGGAGTGTAGACGGGAGCAGTTCGTTGACATAAAGAGACAAATCATACTGTGTATGGAAGAATTGGAGCACACTCCTGACACAAGCTTTGAAAGAGACGTTGTGTGTGAAGACGAGGATGCCTTCTGTTTATCTTTGGAAAATATTGCAACACTACAAAAACTGCTACGGCAGGTAAGGTCTTAGATTAGGGCCCAGGGTCTCAAGAGGAAGCTGCAGCTTGAAAAATGAACAGCTTTTTCTCTAGTCTTAAATGAGGAGCCAGTGTGAGTTCAGAGAGTGAGGGAGGGTAAAGACAGTAATGGAATATTTATTTTAGCATCGATTTTTATTTATTTTTGGTAGGACTGTAGTGTGGCTTCACACTTGCAAAGCAGGTGCTCTACTACTCGAGCCATACCTTCAGTCCACTTTGCTCTGGTTATTTGGGAGATGGGGTCTTTTGAACTGTTTGTCCAGACTGGCCTCCAGCTGAGGTCCTCCTGATCTCAGTCTCTCAAGTAGCTAGAATTACAGGCATGAGTCACCGGCGCCCGGCTCGTTTTTATTTCTTGATGATGGGTATTGAACTCAGGATCTCTAGCTTGGGGTCTCACGCGTGCTGCCTCTCAGTTACATTCCCTGCCCTGACTTCTTTTTGATTAAAAAACTCGATTTATATATGGAAAGTATGAAATTTAATATTTTAACAGTAATATGAATTGAAGTTTTAGATGAAATAACATTTGACTTAGCCTAGTGTTTAATTGGAAAAAATTTTTTTCAATTCAAATTTTGAATCCTATTCTTGAGATCTGAGATTTTACCATCATGACAGCCTTATAGCTTGTGTTCAGAAGACACAAAAACCTGCCTCTTAGAACTCACATAAAAGTGAACTGGGGGAGGGAGGGGGGAGAGGAAGAACGACAAAGGGGATAAATCCAACTAAGATAAATTTTAAATACATATGTAAATATCGCAATGTATACCCCTGTACAACTATTACATGCTAATAAAATCACGAACATGCCTGTGATCCCAGCACTTGGGAGATTGAGGCAAGAGGATTTCAAGTTCTGAGGCCAGCCTGGGCTACACTGAGACACACATAGTTATAGGGCTGTGTGTGTGTGTGTGTGTGTGTGTGTGTGTGTGTGAGAAAGTGCTTCCTCTTCATTTCTCTCTGGGGGGCTGGAAAGCCGGTCGTTGGTGTAACCATTGCCTTCCCTTGCTACAGCTGGAAATGCGAAAATCCCAGAATGAAGCAGTGTGCGAGGGACTGCGTGCTCAAATCCAAGAGCTCTGGGACAGACTGCAAATACCTGAGAGAGAGAGAGACACTGTGGCCATGGCTATGACCGGGTCAAAGGCCAAGGTCAGGAAAGCGGTAAGCTTTTCTGGTTCCAGTCTATGTCCTTATCACCAGAGGGTGGCGAGAAGCCGGCTTTACTTTATCTTGTAGGTATGATCCTTGGATTTCATTGTTCTAAAGTGTGTTGATTGATCTCTGTGGCTTTGTGTTGTAGTTTTATTGAAAAGGGGAAACTTTTGTAAACTCAGTGAATGTTAAAGTGTGATAACCCTTTAATGTGTCTTGTTTTTTCAGCTGCAATTGGAAGTGGATCGCTTGGAAGAACTAAAAAGGCAAAACATGAAGAAGGTGATTGAGGTGATCCGAATGGAGTTGACTCAGTACTGGGACCGGTGTTTCTACAGCCAGGAGCAGAGACACGCTTTTGCCCCCTACTATGCTGGTTAGTGTGAAACTGGTCCTTAGGTCACCTACTCACTGGTCACTTTTAAACCCACACACTCACCAGAATGCTCTGTATTTTCTCTTCTGGATAGATACAGCTAACTCAAAAGATCCCTCACTTAAGCTTCCTATCAAGAGATGAGGACACGAGGGCACATTTTGAGCAACTTTTTGATGTTGGTCTAGGGTTTGAACTTGGCAATGCACTTGCTACACAGGTTCTCTACCACTTGAGCCACGCCCCTCGTTTTGAGGACTTTAGTGCAGAGGCAGATAGGCATAGAGCAGATGAATACCAAAGCCTGTGTTTGAGACTGCAATTCCAGGTCGCCCTAAACTGACCATAAAAAGCAGCTGTCCTGCAATTCAGCAGACTTTCTAAGATAATTTCTGTGACCTAGCCTTCTATTGGCTGGGCAAGACTGAGGAGACAAACATGAAAGAAACAAGACAAGACAGAGATGACACAGATTTTGGATCATTAATCCATTCAGTCCACACTCTGGTCTCTAGGGTGTTTGGAACCTAGGGTCTGATGCATGCTAGGAGGACCCCTACTACTGAGACCTCCCTCTACCCCCCAAGCTCTGGCTTTTAATCTATAGGGTCTGTCTGTTGCAGAAGACTACACAGAAAACCTGCTCCATCTCCATGATGCTGAGGTCGTGCGGTTAAAAAACTACTACGAAGCTCACAAGGAACTCTTTGAAGGTGTCCAGAAGTGGGAAGAGAGCTGGAGGCTTTTCTTAGACTTTGAGGTATTTCCCTAAAATGAAGCATTCCTGCAGCATCCACTGAATCCCAGTACCTAGGAGGCTGAAGCAGGAGGATTGAGAGTTTGAGGCCAGCCTGGCCCACATAGCAAGACCATCTCAAAAAAATGAAACAAAACAAACAAACAAAAAAAGCAAGCATGTCCCCTGTGTGATCAGGTCCAGTTTTCTTCCAGATGTCCTGTCTTTCTCATTAAGTCTCCAAGTTATTACTGACTCTGCACTGGCTAAGCCCAGTTAGGAGCATGTGAGAGAAGAGCCCAGTGGGTTTGATTTGGGTCATGGTGTGGGGATCCCATCCAGGCCCTTGTGCATACTGTGTAAGTGCTCTGCCACTGAGCTGTGTCCCTAGCCCTTGTTTTTTGAGTCAGGGTCTTTTTCTGTGTAGCTTGCTTCAAATCCCCACTCCTCGTGACCCCAGCTCACAAGTGTTGGGATTACAGACCTGTGCCACCCCTCTGGGCTGGTAAGTTTCTTGCATTAAGGATATGGAGAAGTGGGCAAGGCAGGTGCTTCATTTTATTTGTTTGTTTACTTATTTTGGTGGCACTGGGGTTTGAGCTCAGGGCCTCACGCTTGCTAGGCAGGGGCTCTACCACTTGAGCCACTCCGCCACCCTTCTTTTTTGTTTTTTCCCCAGTACTGGGGTTTGAACTCAGGGTCTACACCTTGAGCCACTCCACCAGCCCTTTTTTTTTGATGGCTTTTTTCGATAGGGTCTTAAGAACTATTTGCCCAGCCTGGCTTCAAACTGCAGTCTTCCTGATCTCTGCCTCCTTAGTAGCTAGGGTTACATGTGTGAGCCATTGATGCCCAGCACTTTTTTTCTTTTTTCCTTTTGTCATAGGAAGATCAAATCCAGGGCCTGTTACATTCTAGGCAAACATTCAACAACTGAGCTACATCTCCAGCCAGGTGCTACACTTTTGCAGCGACATGGCCCCAGGGTTCTCCAGCTCCAAGCTTTCCACTACTAAGAGGGACCTTATCCTTAGGGCAGGGCCATGGCAGCCGTTAGAGCCCCACTCAAACGACCACATTTCAGGCTGTGGTAGGACGAAGACTACAAAAGGCAATTGAAGAGATGTTCTTCTGGCTTTTATTTTTTTCGGGGCGTTCTGGGGTTTGAACCAACGCCCTTGAGCTCTACCACTGGAACCACGCCTCTAGCCCTCTTTCTCTTTATTATTTTCAGATGGGGTCTTGTACTTCTTGTCTGGGTCTGACTTGGGACCCACAGTTCTCCTACTTATACCCCCCACATACCTGGGATCCTGCAGGTATGCACCACTATGCCCAGCTTTGAGATGTCGGCCTCCAAACTTTTTTTGTCAGGCTGGCCTCAGACTTCAATCCTTTTATCTGTGCCTTTCAGGTAGATAGCATTCACGTGCGAACCACCGAGCCCTCTTCCTCTCTCCACAGTTCTTAGTGGCACACCAGCTGCCTGTGGGACCAAGAGAATGGTCGCCCTACACAAATCCTGGCTCTGATCTAAGGAAGAAATGAAGTGTGGGTGTTGGGCAGGCAGCTCACCTACAATTCCAACTTTTGCTATTTACCTAGAAAATTAGCTGGGTATGGGTGCATTTGTACCCTCTGAATTGCGTTTCTTCTGACAGACACAGCAGACAGCATTTAGAACTCAGAGCTGGGATTTGGGTGAGGAAAGCAAGGCACAAGGGCTCAGAATGGAAGGAGTGTTGGTCTTAGGCTCAGCTTCTTCCTCAAGTTCATGGTAGGAAGCTAGGACTGCCCAGTTCAGAGAACCAGATAAGAGCTCAGCTGTTTCCAGTGTCCTTCCTTGTGGTAGACACAGTGAGGAAACAAAGCGAAGTGGTGACCTGGTGACATCCTGCACTGAAGAGAACAGTAAAGGATGCCCTCTAGTTGAGAGGCTGGGCCGGTCAAGCAGTCTGGGAGGGAGACAGCTTTTTCAAGTGCGCTTTCAGACTCATGCATGCTGCTTGTTTCCTGCTCTAATTCTGAATAATATACTTGATTGTAGTGACAATTTACTTATTTGTGTTACTCTACATGTATCATAAAATGAACGCTAAAAAGAACAAGAAGCTTTACATTGTCATTTCCTTCATTTTATATTTTTTATGGTGCTGAAGATTCGAGCCGGGACCACACACATGCCAGGCTCTATCTAGGTTACATCCCAGCCCTCATTTTCCACTTTACACGTGTTTTGTGAGGTTTTAGTGAAACCAAGATGACCCATAGGTCTCCTGAGCTTGTACATTTACGTTTCTTTCCGTGTCAGCATGCCAAAAGGACTGGGCAAGTGGAGGAACAACACTAAGCCCTAAGTGCAGGCCGCCTCCTGTCCCCTCACAGACCTTGTGTCTGTAGTGATGCCATCTGACATCCCAGCCAAGGAAAGGAGTCAGTGACTTTGCTACTGTTGTCTTGTATTTTAGATTAGAAGGTGACTACCCCAATGGATGGCCCTGCACGTGGCTGAGAGGAGACAGGAATGCAGAACTCAGAAAGTTCATGTAGTGATGCACATCTAAGAGCAAGAAGTCTTGGCAAAAGTAATTGGTCTGACTATCCTAGATTTCACTTTAATTAAATAAAATGTATTTTTCACAGAGAAAAGCTTCAGATCCAAGTCGATTTACAAACCGGGGAGGAAATCTTTTAAAAGAAGAAAAACAACGAGCCAAGCTCCAGAAAACACTCCCTAAGGTAACACTGCTACTTGAGGGGTGGTTTTTGTTGGGTTTTTTTTTGTGGTACTGGGGTTTGCACTCAGAGCCTCACGCTTGCTAAACAGGCGCTCTACCACTTGAGCCACTCCACCAGATCTTTATTGTGATGGGTATTTTGAGATAGGGTCTCGCTAACTGCCCCAGCTGGCCTCAAACTGATCCTCTTGATCTCTGCTTCCTGAGTAGCTAGGATTACAGTAGTGAGCCACTGGCTTCTGCCTGTTGCTAAAGTTTTTGATGCATGTCTACAAGATACCTCACTTTTTTGTTTCATTTCTGGTGATGCTAGAATCAAACCCAGGACCTCACATGATAGGCACGCATCCTAGCCCTGAGCTACAACTCCAGCCCCATATACCTCATCTTTTCTACGTCCTTAGCATTGTATTATTTTGCCTGAAACTGTCTTCTCTTCCAGAGGTTAGCAGGGACCATAAGTGTGTATTGGGCCCTCAGTATAAGCACCTGAATATCAGGTGTACTGATTTGCTATGGTTGCCATAATAAAGTGCCTCAGGCTAGATGGCCTGAAAAACAGGAATTTATTTTTTCACAATTCTGGAAGGTGGAAATCTGAGATCAGAGTCACTGACAGAGTTGGTTTCTTGTGAGACCTCTTTGCTCAGCTGGTAGGTGGCCGTCTTGTGCCCGTCTTCACAGTGTGTGTGTCTTAGTCACACCAGTTATACTGGGTTATGATCTACCCTAGTGTCCTCATTTCGCATTAGTTAGCTTTTTAAAGCGCCTGTCTCCAAATAGATTCTGCGGGTGGGGCTTCAACATGAAGTGATGGGCAGCAACTCAGCCCAGAACAGAAGGTACACCTTTGAAAAATGCTGTGGGCTTCGTTACTGTTTTCTAATGATAATAGTTAGCTTTTAAAATGCTATCGTGCCAGTTTCTATTTCATAGTGTTTTTTTGTTTTGGTTTTTGTGGGACTGGGGTTTGCACTTGCTAGGTGGGCACTCTACTACTTGATCCATACCTGTAGCCCATCGTGTTTTCCTTTATTCATACAAGGTCAAGATTTGTGCATAGGTAGATACTGGTTCCGTTTCCACAGGTGAGAAGACTCAGATACTGAGAAGCAGCTTGAGGGGCAGATTTCATATTGCAATCCAGGTGGTCTGTTTCTTAGTCCCGTTCATGATGTGCCCGCCCTGCTTAGCGTTACTGACCCTTTCAGTGCTGTCTTCAACTTCAAGCATCAGAACCTTAGTACTCAATCCAGCTGTGGTGGGGCATGCCTGTAATTCCAGTACTGGGGAAGTGGCAGGACTGTGAGTGGCCTGGGCTACATAACAGTAAGAAAGACTGTCTCAAAACAAAACCTCAGTGTTCAGACTTTGGGTTCTTAGCTTTTACCACCTTTGTGTGATGACTTCTGGCATTTTAACCTGTATCCATGGGGCCCAGCTAGCTGAAATCAAGCAAATGATACTCTAGAAAAGGAAAGAGCCATTTTTATTGCGTGTTTTTTTTTTTGTTTTGTTTTGTTTTTTTGACAGTACTGGGGTTTGAATTCAGGGCCTGCACCTTGAGCCACTCCACCAGCCCTTTTTTGTGATGTGTGTTTTTGAGATAGGGTCTTGTGAACTATCTGCCCAGGCTGGCTTCAAACCATGATCCTCCTGATCTCTGCCTCCTGAGTAGTTGGGATTACGGGTGTGAGCCACTGGTGCCCAGCTGGAAGATCCCTTGTTAGGACGGTTATTTCCCTTGAAGTGACTTCCGTGTCCTTGCTTCTGGTTTCAGCTGGAAGAAGAATTGAAGGCTCAGATTGACCTGTGGGAGCAAGCACAGTCAAAGACATTTGTGGTAAACGGGCAGAAATTCCTGGATTATGTGGCAGAGCAATGGGAGATGCATCGGTTGGAGAAAGAGAGAGCAAAGCAAGAAAGAGTAAGTGTGCACTGATGGGGAAAGAGGACAACGGGAGGTTGAGTAGCCCCAAATCTGTCAGGGATCTGGGGTGGCTGAGGCCCACTGGCCTGCAGCAGCTCATTTCAGCTCCGGCTGCAGGCTTGGCACTAGGTTTGTAGCCCTGCTTCTGTCCCATCCCAGAGTGACTTGCTCTCTCACTGGGGCTCCATCACTGTTGCTTCTGACTTTCAGCAACTGAAGAATAAGAAACAGACAGAAACAGAGATGCTGTATGGCAGTGCTCCACGGACGCCCAAGCGGCGAGGGCTGACTCCCAGCACTCCTGGCAAAGTGCGCAAGGTGAGCCCCTCTGAACACCCTTCTCGAGGGAAATAGAGAGCCAGGGCTCTGTCCTGCCGAACCAGATGGGAAGGGGTTCTGCCCTTCCACATCAAGTCCATCTGAGGGGGAATGGAAGACTAGCTTGCTGCTGAGTGAAGTAGGGTGGCCAGCCCTAAAGTGAGCCAGTTCAGTGCTTGTAATCACTCTTGGGGGCAGCAGTTGCCAGCGTTGTGTGGTGACGCAGCTTCAGAAGCTTATCAGCCTATAACTTCAACAGGTAACTTCAGTACTAGGTGAAAGGCAACTAAAGAGCAGTACATTTCACTTTTTTTTTTAATAAGGGAGAGCATTATTTTCCTTCTCCCTGTTCAGCTCATATTTTATAAAACAAAATGCTTTAAGCTGAGCCTGTTGATCATGCTTGTAATCCCAGATATGCAGGAGGCTGAGATAGGATTGCAGTCTAAGACTGACCCAGGGCAAAAGCATGACCCTAAAGGACTGCAAGTATGGATGCCCTGAATTAAAACCCTATACTGTTAAAAAAAAAAAAAAAAAAAAGATTCACCCGTAATAACTCCAAGACACCTGTTGGTTTCTACCGTTTCCCCTAATTGATACTGGTTCTGATTCTGATTCTGATTTTCCTCAACTTCAAATTGTCTTCACACAATCTTTTTAGGGGCCAGGGGAGTGGCCCTGAGTTCAAACCCCATCACCACAAAAAAAGCTTAATGGCTTTTTTTATGGCAGTACTGGGGTTTGAACTCAGGGCCTACACCTTGCACCATTCCTCCAGCCCTTTTTGTGTGTGTGTGTGTGTGTGTGTGTGTGTGTGTATGTGTGAGAGATGGTTTTTTTCGAGATAGGGTCTCTTGAACTATTTGCCAGGTCTGGCTTGGAACTGAGATCCTCCTGATCTCTGCCTCCTGAGTAGCTGGGATTATAGGCGTGAGCCACTGGTCCCCACCTGTCTTCATTCTTAATTAGCTATATAATCTCTTGTTAGATAATCCTGTCATTTATTAAGCAAGTTCTCAAGTTTGTAGGTCATTTTTTATTGTGGAAATGATGTAATTTTTTCTTTTTTGGCAGTACTGGGGTTTAATCTCAGGGCCTCCCTTCCTGGGCAGGCCCTCTACCACTTGGCCACGCCCCCAGCCCTCCATTTTACTATTGAGCTGTATTCTGGCCTATGAATGTATCCCAGTCTGCCTGTTTGCTCACCTGTTGAGGGCAATTGTTTCTAGCTTTTGGGTTCTACAGGTAAAACTGCTATAAACGTTTCAGCACGAGCCTTCTCGTGGATTTATCCCTCTCAGGGAGTATCTGGGTCACATGATTGATGGCTGTGGCTGCCGAATATGAGTTGTGTGGTACTGAGAGTATCGGACTCCCTGCCATGTAAGCCCATCCTTCCCAGAAGGCTGCTCCCGTACTCCCTTCTCGGGAGCGGCTCACATCGGTGACGGTCTTTTCTTGTCCCCAGCTGAACACTACTGCGATGTCTAATGCCACTGTCAACAGTAGCATTCGGCCCGTGTTTGGGGGGACGATCTACCGCTCTCCCCTGTCTCGCCTTCCTCCTTCTGGCAGCAAGGTTAGTATGCTCTGCGTGAGGCCCTCCCCGAGCACCACCTGGTCGCCGTAAGGTCCCAACTACTTGGCCTCATTCTAGATCCCCAGATTTGGTGCCACTGAGATGCTAAGATATAAGCCAGGCAATCACTAGATGACGGTCAAAACGCCGTAACAAGAACGGCCACCGAGCCCCACTGGTACCTTAGGAAGCACTGGGCTGTGGTCGCTGGGTTCCCAAGCGCTTTCCAGCTGGTGCTGAGTTAGGTTCCCTGCACACAGATTCCTGCCTAGGGACACTGGCTCAGTAGACAGTCAGGAATTCAGCCTCTCACCTTCTCTACAGATATGCTCAAGATAGGATTTCTCAAGAGTACTTCTGGGGCTGGCAGAATTGCTCAGGTGGTAGAAAGCCTACTTTGCAAGCACAAACCCTAGAACTCAAACCCTAGAACTCCTCAAACCCAAGTCGAACAAAACACTTCATATTGAGGGTCTGGCAACACAGCACATGGCTTGCACTTGTGAGGCCGTTTTATAACCAGAAATAGAGGGTCACAGACACTAACCTAAGTGTGCAGTTGGCCACTGACCGTTGGGCCTTTGTGTGTGTGCTCACTGTTAGGTGATGTGTGCATCTATCTCTGCTTTTTGCAGCCAGCCTCCTCTACCTGTTCTGGGAAGAAAACGCCTGGTGCAGTCAGGCACGGGCCCAACAAGGAGAACCTGGAGCTGAACGGGAGCTTCCTGAGCGGTGGGTACCCCAGCTCGGCCCCCCTCCAGCGCAACTTCAGCATTAGCTCTGTTGCCAGCACCTATTCTGAGTTTGCGGTAATCACCTTTTCTAATGTCTACCAATCTCTGGGGAGCACACAGCTGGGGCCGGGTGGGTGTCCCCAGGGGCACCCAGGCATGAGGCTGAGAATCCCTTTCCTGCCTTGATCATGGTGAGGGTGTGGGTGGGTGTGGGGCAGTTTAGGGAGGAAGCTGAGGTAGACACCTAGCCTGGCTCCTTCTGCCAAAGCTATACCGCCTGCTGGCTGTGGGAGGTGATCACTGCTCACTGCCCTGCTGCTCTCCTGGTGGAGTTCTTGGTAATTGTCAAAATTCTTTGTTCTTAGAAGGAGCCATCCCTCTCTGACAGCTCTCCTGTTGGGCTTCAGGTCTGTACAGCAACTCCTGCATGTCCCATGTCCCTTTTCCAAACTGATCTATCTGCTGGCTTCATTCCTGGCTGGGCACAGCGCCAGGGCCACACTCACCACAATCTCCTCCGTGTCATCACAGAACCGTCTATCTCAGACTTCAACAATAAATATCTAGCCAGGCATCAGTGGCTCACACCTGTAAGCTACTTTGGAGGCTGAGATTGGGAGGATCACGGTCCAAGGCCAGCTTGGACCCCCATCTCCAAAACAACCAGAGCTAAAAGGGCTGGTGGAATGGCTCAAATGGTAGCGTGCCTGCCTAAGTTCAAATCCCAGTCCCACAAAAAACAAATCTGGCTGTGTTAGCAGCAGACAGAATAACCTGCCAATTAGTAAGAAAACCTGTTCAGACTTGAATTGGATTCTCAGCCTCACCTTAATTCAGGCAAAAAAAAAAAAAAAAAATTGTAAACATCTCATAAAAGAAAAACCTTTCGCCTTCCCCAGTTGTGATATCAGAGACCTAGAATGTTCTGGAAAGAATGGAGGCCTCCAATGTGGGGAGGGGAGCCCCAGCTGTGTGCTGCTTTTGATGAGGCTCTTGGCCTGTGTGCTGGTTATTTTCTGGAATAGGTACTTCACTCGCCCCTTGGGGCTGACTCACCAGCTCTCTGTCTACTTCACCTGCCTTTTCTTCTCTGCTTGTCTACACACCGAGTCACAGAAATCTCTGCAGAGTGTTCACCAGATCTGCTAACACTGCTCTGCACTGCCTTTTGCTTACAAGATGCTCTTTTCCCTCTCTCTAACAGTGAGGGTGAGGCTGCCTCCTCCCTTGTTGGCACAGGGGTGGAGACTGGGGAGCTGCTGAAGGCAGTGGTTAGTCTGAAGCGTGGAAACTAGCTTCATATCCGGGCACTTTGTCCACTTACGTGAGTAGGCACACACCTGTCTGGCTGGCAGGTCACTAGCTGGAGGCTTTTGTGCTTGCTCAGCCAAAGCCCATTCCAGCCATTTGGGGCTTTAGTGTCCCTCCTGTCGTTATGGCTAGAGACCCCCAGACAGCGCCAAAGCCACTAACCTTAACCTCTCCTGCTGACTGTCTCTGTGATCACTCATGCTTCGTCTTCTGCACCATGTGCTCCAGCACGAGATCAAATCACCAGCAGGTCACAGAGGCCCTCAGTCCCAGGGATTGGTAGATAAAGGGTTCAGGAGGCCAATGCTTCCAGCACCGCAAAAACAAAACCAGCTTGACAACCCCAGTGGCAGCTGTGTGAATTGTGAGGAATTTCTGTTGGGTGAGATTTCAACTGGGACAGGAGCTTGTGTGCATGGCCTGTGATCTGCTCCCAACAGCCTGCACTAGGGACTTCTGTCTCAGATCACTGTCCTCAGGGGACTTGTGCTGCACTTACCCATGCTCAGAATGGAGGGTGGCATGACAGGATAGGGCTGCCATTGACATGACTTCTTTCTCAACAGCGGGAACTCTCAAAAGCTTCCAAATCTGACGCTTCTTCTCGAATCCTCAATTCAACCAACATCCAGTCCTGAGCAGCCCTGACTGATGCCCAGCATGGACGCCTACACTGGAGGGCTTTAGCTCTCTCTTCAGTGTAGGTGTCACAGAATCCCAGATGAGTTGTAAAGACGCGAATGAGCAGGTCCACAGGCTCGTTTTTTACTTTTGACTCTAGGAATACCTTAAAAGTTAGTTTATGGCATTAGGAGCAAGTTTTAATGTCTCTCTTCCACCCCAATTCCACTTGTTGAAGCTCGATCAAGGGATCGGTTTATTTCTCCATCATAGAGGAAAATGGTCAACTGTGCCCGACATCGGGGGCTGGGGCATGAAGCAGCTCTAACTGGTGTACCTGTGACTAGCGTTTGACACCTTTTTGTCTAGGGCTGTTCAACTAATGCTGGGGCTGTGATGCTTTGCTCTCACCACACAGGACAGCCTTCCTCCTGGGGAGGATGCCTTTGTGTGTCCTTATCCGATGGCCTGACCTGCCACCAAAGAGTGACAGGGAGGACAGAGCTCCCATGTTAAAATGCACACAGCTGTGTTACTTAGTGCAATCCCTTTGTGGACATGCAGGCTAAACTGTTTCTTCAGTTACTTTGGGTCCAGCTCCTGTACTCCCAAGGCCCAAGTGCTCCCTGCGCTTGCTAAACAAGCAGGGAAGCTGTCTGGCTGGGCCGGCCGGCCTGTCACAAGGTCAGCAGCTTTGCACATTCACTACCGGGGATTGTTCCTGCAGCAGCATCCAGTGAGGCGCCCCGGTCGCCTCTGCCCATCACTACTGCTGTTCCCAAAGCACTAGTATTTATTCCACTGTCCGCCTGTGCAGTGCTCCTGTCAGCACATTAAATGGTTCTTCAAAGCTGAGCAGTGTGGACGCTCTCTTAGATGTCAGCATGCTCTTTGTCATACACGTACACGTCCCATTTTAAAAATCTATGTATATTTAAATTAAAATGTGTATAGTTGCCTTTCAAAAACTACAGTGTTTTCATTTTTTCCAAAATCAGCTTTTGGTTGTTTTGGCCTGTGAACTGAAAAGAAGTCTTCAGTTAGAAGTTATGATTTTTTTTTTTATGCCCAGCCCATTTCTTTTTAAATTGAAATGATCAGCTGGGCATGATGGTGCAGGCCTAAGATCCCAGCGCTTGGGAGGCTGAGACAGGTGGATTGGAAATTCAAGGCCAGCAAGACCCTGTCTCAAAAAAAAAAAAAAAAATCTGTTCGTGACTGTACAGAATCAAATAGCAAAAATCCTGAATACTTAAACAACACACTTGTCAAAGAGGAAGTCTCAAGGGAAATTAGGAATTACTTCAAACTGAACAAAATTACAGACTTCGAGAGCAGTTAAATGAAGAGGTGTACACCACAGGGTTCACAGTGGAACATTCTGAAGACCCGGGAATCGAACGAGGGCTTTTCTGTCCACCCAGCAGCATTGTTCACGCTAGCCAAAAAGGAAAAGCTTCAATGCCCAGCAGTGGATGCATGAAGGACAAAACGTGGAAATGGGCGGTGGCTTACGCCTTCAGAAGGAAGGAAGCTGACATTTACAATATGGCTGAAACGTGACGTTATAGCAAGTGAACCACACCAGTCATGAGAGGGAGACACGAGTCCACTCACGAGTTGTCCAGAGTGGTCAAGACCTAAAGCAGGATGCGAGCACAATCTGGCTGGTGCCTGTCACCCTGCTGGCCACCAGGGTTAATTTGGCAGATGTGGTTGGCTAGATGGGTGCCCCGGCTCACCCAGTCCAGTGTATCCATCATAAAGCTGTGAAACCCTGTGGAAGGAAGTGACCTTGGCTAGAGGGTCACTCATCCCTCAGGGTTAGAGTCCCTGCATTCCCCTGGTAGAGCCTCCAGAAAAGCTCAAGTTCATAAAAAGCCAAGTGGTGGTAGCCACTGGCGGGGCCGGGGGTTGGGAGCATTTAGGTGTGGCACAGAGCTCCGGTGAACTGATGAAAAGATCTGGAGCCGGAGGTGGTAATGCTTGCACAACTTTTATTTTTTTGGAACTGGTTGTTGAACTCAGGGTCTTGTGTTTCCTAGGCCTGTACCCCATGAGCCGCTCTACCAGCTGTGAGCGCTCCTAGTGCACTAATTACACGGCTCAAATGGGCTGGAGTCATGGCTCGAGCGTGAGAGAACCTGCCTGTAGCAACCAAAGTCCTGAGTTTAAACCCCAATATGAGCTGGGGCGCCTGTAATCGTAGCAACTCAGGAGGCAAAGATCAGGAGGATCGTGGTTCAAAGCCAGTCTGGGAAAATATAGGGAAAAAAACCCTATCTCGAAAAAACCCATCGCAAAAAAAGGACTGGCGGAGTGGCTCAAGGTGTAGGCCCTGAGTTCAAACCACAGTACCACAAAAAAAAAAAAACCCTTAAACGCCAATACCATGCACACATGGAACATTACGACGGTTCTGGGTTTGTTCATAACTGCTCACCAAAATAAGCTTGTGTTTGTGAAGCACTCTGAGCATTACCAGACACAGTGAGCACCCTGTCATCTTTCAAAACTCTTAATCCCAAGAGACTGAAAAAAAAATCCCTAACACAAGGGATTTGTACCTAAAACACATAGAGCACAAACCACTTTAAAAAAATACAAAAAGTTTTAAAAGGACAGAAAACTCCCAGGCTGGCAAAATGCCACACTTCTGGAATGCCAGCACTCCAGAGGAAATGCAAATTAAAACTAGTGTGTAGCCAGGTGCTGGTGGCTCAAATCTGTAATCCTAGCTACTTCAGAGGCAGAGATCAGGAGGCTTGTTGTTGAAGGCCAGCTAAGCAACAAAAGCAAGACCTGATCTCAAAAATGAACCAAAAAAGTAGTAAAGTTTAACAAATTGACAAGATCTCGTGACCTACCAATCCCGAGTGAACGTCGTGCAGAACTTGTGCAGCATGGTGTAACAAACACGGAAGAACAAAAATAACCCTCACCAAGAGAACCCAGCTTGAGGCGGTCACGTTTCCACTCGAGCCACAGCCCCACCTGTTCTCTTTGTTATTTTTTTTGGGGGGGGGTCTCGTGATTTTGCCCAGGGCCAGCTCAGACCTCGATCCTCCGACCTGCACTCAGTAGCTGGGACCCATGAGTCTGTGCCACGGTTACCTATCTTGTCTGTTGAGATGTCGGGTTTGCTGACTTTTCTTGGCTTCGACCAAGACCCTCTGGATCTCCACCTCCCAAGTAGCTTGGATTACAGCTGTGGGCCACCGTGCCCGGCACTGGCTATTTTTTGATTGCTTTGTCAAAGCCACATTTAAGAAATCCGCACACGAGGCAGGCTTGCTGTATCCATGTTTTATGCGCTTCTCTGCATTTTATAAAGACCACACCTGCATGTACGTCAGCTCTCCCCCCTCTCCATGGCATACACATAGGTGTTCCAAGGCCCACAGGTGACAGTCTTCACATGGAGCCGTTTATCTGCAAAGTAGCCCACGAGGCGGGGTCGATCCCAGCTGGTGGTGTCCCTGTGGCCGAGCTGTCCGTATTTTCCTAAAGTGAAATGAGTCCCTGGAGGCCTCTCCCTGGGCCTGGCTTCACTGCCCTTTGGAAGGAGGCCAGCCCAGGGCCTGGAGTCGGGGGTTATGCCCACCACCCTGTGGGAGCAGCTGTGAATCCCAGAGACCAGGGCCAGGAAGCCTCCGGGCCAGGCAAGCCTGGGGTCCCCACGAGACCAGTGACAGCCTGCCACTCCACCAGGCTTCCTTGCTACCCAGGCCAAGGCGTTCAGAGCACAGCCCTCCACCTTAGCCGCTCTACCCAGCATGAATGTGGCTGAATGCCACCTCAGAACGGAGGACTGACGCTGTGTCCTTTCAGCTGTTTCTACCCTGGCATGAGGGAGGTCCCCGGCTTTCCAGTCCCCTTCCTCCAGTGTCCAGACGGAGGCTCTGCTTCCACTAGTCCGTGTGCCTCGGCCACCTGCGCTGTTCTCCCAGGGTTTCCTCCCCATGGCTCAAGAGTCACAAAAACAATCCCGTTACTTACCCCAGCCCCAGGTGAACAGCTCTCCAGTTCCTGCAACCAAAGACACAGAGAGCAGCTGTTGCCACTGTCTCTTTGCCAGGACATCTGTGTAGCCTGGCCTGGCACGAGCCTAGCCGCATGTTCCAGTCCTCGGGAGACAGACTGGGCTGTTACAACTGTCTGAGTGGCAAAGGGTCCAGCAGAAACAGCTGTTTATCTTCCGGTGATCGGGGTCAAGCACTGCACTGGGCAGGCCCCCTGTGGTTACTGTGTCTGTGCTGTGAGCGGAGGAGCACGAGCCTCCTCCGGGAGAGGCCTGGAGGCCTCCCCCAGGGCCTGACAGGCAGGGGAGCTCCTGCTGCACCTGTGCCAGCAGCTTTTCCTTTCCTTTTCTGGTTTGTTTGGTTGAGACTGGGTCCTGCTGCATAGCCCAGGCTGGCCTCACACTCACCATCTGCCTGGCTCCACCTCACAAGTGCTGGGATTACAGACAGATACAACCATGCCTGGCATGAGCACCTTTCTCAATGAGTGAGGCAGCTAGTCAGTATACACCAAAGACGCCATAAGACAGTTTTCAGGGCTGGTGGAGGAGTGGCTCAAGTGGTAGAGCACCTGCCTAGCAAGCCCTGAGTTCAAACCCCAGGACCTCAAAAGAAAATAGTTTTCGGAAGCAGGCATGACAGCGCACCGGCACACATTTGTAACCCCAGCAGTCACGAGGCTGAGGCAGGAGGGTGGCAGGCTTGAAGCTCCCTAGCTGCACAGTGTGTTCTAGGCTGGCCTGGGTATCACTGAGTCTGTCAGGGTCGGGTGGCGTGGCAAGACAGACAGACAGTACTTCACGTTGGGGAGGTGCTCCGTGGCGGAGCACTTGCTAGTATACACAGGGGACCCTAGATTTGATCCTCAGCGCCAAAGAAAGGGGGGTGGGGGAACAAAATAAGGAGTAGTCTGCACTCCGTTTTCTGTAGCCCCAGTTTGAGGGTGAGACTGAGTGCCTTCCTGCTCCAACCTAAGCCAGCCCCACTCACGTGTCACCACAGCTGTGTGCCGAGAGCCACAGCTGGCCTTGGCTGCCTCTGCACCCCCGGGAAGGTCCAGTAAAGCTGGGAAGGGCTGGACAGCTATGACGGGGACGTCCTCGGCGCCGGCTGAGCCATCTTCACTGCGTCCTGTGGCTTTAGGAGGTCGGAGCAACAGGTAACGCACGCCGAGCTCAACCTTACACGCACGGCTGCACTCCAGCCGCCCCGCAGAGCCCAGCCCATTCCACACCAAGCGCTGGAGCTCCCGCTCGCAGGCCGTGCGGTGCCAGACTGACATCCATCTTGTCCCCGCTCGCCCTCTAAGGGCCTCAGGATCCCGTGGTGTGCCCTGGGGTGAAGGATGTCTCACGTTCCCTGAGCACTGTGGCTCTCCGGCCAGTGGGATTCCCCAGGAGGTGGCCGTGGAAGTCAGGTTGACCCTACCTTCCCCTGTGACTGTGTGCCCATCCTCTGCCAGGCTCCTGGTGGGCAGGGCCAGCTGCCCTGATTCATTCCAGCCCCAGACGTAAATGTCCCCCGTGTCTGAAGGAGAACAAGGCACCCGTTGAACACACTCTGAGCTCCTCCATCCAGCCAAACTCCTCTGCCCCTTCACCAACTCCTGGGAACAATTACCCAACTGCCAGTCCAGGCAAAGGTACGCCACCAGGTCCCAGCGCTCCTGGGTCTTGTCTTAGTTCCCTGTCCCTACAATGCCTTCTGGTCAGCTCTTCTGTTTAAGAGATGGCATCTTGCTAGGTTACCCTTGGACGCTGGGCTCCAGCAGTCCTCCTTTTCAGCCTCCCCTGCATTGGGACTACAGGTGCCCAGCTTAGTCACCCTTTAAGAAAGCCGTCTTTGGGTGGGCACTGGTGGCTCACGCCTCTAATCCCAACTACTCTGGAGGCAGACATCAGGAGGATCCCAGTTCGAAGCCTGCCCGGGCAAATAGCTCATGAGAACTTATCTCGAAAAAACCCATCACATAAAGGGCTGGTGGAGTTGCTCAAGGTGAAGACCCTGAGTTCAAACCCAGGACCACCACCAAAAAAAAAAAGAAGCTAGCCCTCCATTTTCATGCTTTCCTCATGTTGTAAAATTGCCCACACACCGCCACCTGAATGTCCCCAGGCAGCCCGTGCCTTGTCAACCCTGCTTGTGTCCTGCTAAAGCCTCTCCTTGCAGCTCTCCCCTGCTTCCCTCCCCCGCAGTGCTGCTCCAGGCTGAAAGTTCAGCTCTTCATGAAGTGCTCAATCCCTGCTGTTTCACACTCTTTCCCTCCAGTGTGGAGGCTGAGCCCAGGGCCTCCCAAACACCCACGAGGTGCTCTACCGGCCAGCTACACCCCCAACTCTTTCAGCAACCCCCTACAGCAACTGTAGTTCAACTACAGTTTGAACTCAGGGCTTCACGCTTGCAGAGCTCTGCCGCTGGTCATTTTGCCTGGGCTGTTCTTGAGCCTCAGCCTGACCTCAGCCTCCCAGGTAGCTAGGATTACAGACGGGAGCCACTGCACCCGGCTTAGCCTGCCTTTTTCTGAGACAGGGCCTGGGAGTCCACATCTTCTTGCCTCAGCCTCCTGAGTGCTGGGACCATGCTCTTCAAACAGAACCACCCACTTATAACAAGTCCATTTACACGACGTCCCCACTTCACTCACAAGACAACTGAGGCACAGAGAGTTAGGTACAGGGCCCCAGATCACAGGGTGCAGTGATGATCTTACAGAGCTAGGAGATCTGGTTAGACGTCGAATGCTTCACCCTCCATCCCAATCCCTCCACCCACACTCCTTGGGGACATGAGTGTGAAACTTCCCCGCGCTCTGTTCTCTGCCCTGCAGCAGCTGAGAACACGGGGAGGAAGGTGTAAAGCCCCAGAGATCAGCAGCACCCAGGCTGAGCTCAACACACAAGGCCCACCTGCTCCCGACACCCTCTCCGCTGGGCTGCACTCAACACACCCAGTGAGCCTCCTCATCTGGCCTAGGTCACCAGCTGTCACCGACATGGGTTCACCCTCAGCGCCAAACATAACGGCTACCTGGGGAAGTCCTTCCCCATTCTCCTTGCCTGGCCTGCCCTTTCCTCTTGGTGTCCCCTGGCTGCCAGAGGAGGAGGGGAGGGGACAGTCAACAGTCCAGGTGGGGAAGGTGGGTGGAGGCAGGGACTGGGCGTGAGTGGCACAGAGGCGTCAACCATGGGGCTGGGAGGTCTGGATGGAGGCCTGGCTAAAGTCACCCCCAAAGCGGAAGGGACGGCTAGGGTTGTCTGCGGGAGCCATGTCACTCACCGCTCACACACACGGAGTGCCAGCCGCCGGCGGCCACCTCGGCCATGGGCAGGCCTTGCAACGCCTCCAGCGGCCTTGGCTCCAGCTCTGCCTCCAGCGTCCCGTGGCCCAGCTGTCCGTGCCTGGCGGGGAGAGAGAGCCGAGTCGGTGACCGGGACTCTCGGGGACCTTCGGGAGCCCCCCAGCTGGTGGGGCCGCCTGGGTCCTCACCTGCCCCCGCCCCAGGAGAACACCTGGCCGGAGGCGGCCAGCAGCAGCGCGTGCTCGGCGCCCAGCTCCAGGCGGCGCGCGCGCAGCTCGGGGCACAGAGGGCGGCGCCAGGGCGGCTGCGGGCTGGCGAAGGCGCGGGCTCCGGGCAGCAGCGGCAGCGCCCCGGCCCCGGCCCCGGCCTCGGGCTCCAGGCTCTGGGTCCACAGGGGCTCCCCGCGCAGCGTCGAGCCGGGCGCCCAGGCCTGGAGCTCGGCCCCGCGTCCCTGTTCCTGTCCCTGTCCCCGGCCCGGCCCGGCGCGCAGCAGCACGAGGAGCCGCTCCGAGGCCCACGCGTCCCTGCAGCCGCCCGCCTCGCCGCGCGCCGCGCCCGACAGGTGAACGCGGCCCCCACCTGCGGGCGGAAGGCGAGGGCTCGTGGGCGGGAGCGGGGACCTGGGGACCATCGGGCCACCGGGGCAGGGGGTCGGGGGCCATCGGGCCCTGCGGTGGGAACGGGGCCACCCCGGGCGGAGATTGGGGACCTGGGGACCCGGGGACCATCGGGCCCTGCGGTGGGGACGGGGCCACCTGGGGCAGGGCCTGGGGACAGTCGGGGTGGCGGGAACGGGGACCCGGGGACCATCGGGCCCCGCGGTGGGGACGGTCGGGCCGTGCGCTCACGGGTCACCAAGGCGGTGTAGCTCCAGCCCGCGCTCACGCGGCGCACGTCCACGCCCGCCAGCAGCGGCTCGGGGCTGGCCACCGACTGGGATCCGCACCCGGAGCCCAGCGCCTGCCCGAAGCCGCAGAAACCGAAGCCGAACCACGCCCCGCCTCGCTCCTCCGCCATGCCCGAGGCCCCAGGACCGGGCGAGGGCGGGAGAGCAGAATCCCGCAGACGCCTTTCCTGTAAAATGCGGGAAAGAGAGGTGGAGGATCGCGGCTCGAGGCCAGCCTCGCCAAAAAGCTAGCGAGACCCCATCTAAAGCAGCAGCGTGCGGGGCCATCTGTCCGAGGTCTGCCCCAGGCCAAAGCACAAACCCCTACCCGAAAAACAACCCAAGCCAAAAGGGCTGGGGCATGGCTCAAGGTGAGGCCCTGAGTTCAAGCCCCAGCACCGCAACAATAATAATTAATACTAATAAAATAACCAACGTCTGCGGAGCAGGAGCGGAAGTCCCCCCAGACTGACTGGAGCTGGACACTTCCCCTGTCCTCTCACTTGGCTCAACTTCGGCCACCCACCCCTCCCCAGCCCGGCTCTGACTTCCGGCCTCAGGCCCTTTATTCCAGGGAACCAGAACAGGAGGCTCCCGGGGAGAGGAGGCGCTGCACACAGGCAGGCGGAGCCCATCAGCGGGGAGAGCAGCATTGAGCGGCGGGGCCGACCATCTTAGCCTCCGCCGCCTCCCCGGTGCTGAGATTACAGGAGCGCCCCGCCACACCCGGCTCCGTCCTGCTTTATTCAATCCAGGATTTAAGAGTTGATAAAACTGACCAGCGGCTGTCGGTTTTTGAGACACTGTCCAGTCTATGGCCATACCACCCTGAACGCGCCCGATCTGTCTGATCTCGGAAGCTAAGCAGGGTCGGGCCTGGTTAGTACTTGGATGGGAGACACTGTCCAGATGCAGTTTCCACGTGAGCTCGTTAAGTCGTTTATTCGCTCAACAGGCCTTTAATGGCCCTTACTCTGGGTCAGCGAGGATGGCTGGCTGTCCCAAGGAGCTCACACTTAAATGGGGAGAGAGTCTGGTGGTGCCGACAGCCACGCCTCCTTCTCCGTAGTTCAGGTTCGGCTTGGTCAGAACTTTACAGCCATTTTCAAGCCTCTGAAAGTCACATCTTGGGTCTCTCCCGGACCCCCGACCCCTTCCGTGCCCACTACCAAGCAAGGGGGCTTCTGACCTTGACCTTGGCCCTGTGCCCTCCACCCCTCTGGCAAGTCCTGTCGATGGACAAACGTGGAGGAAACTCTGGACTCAGAGTGGCAGCCTCCAGAACAGGCCGCTGTCCAGCCCTTCACATCAAGGACAGCTTTGAAAAGCCGCGCGCCGGACCGGGCGGCCATTGGCTGCAGCAGCGGCCAATCGGCGGCGAGAGGGTGACGTCACCGACTGGGCGCCGCGGCAGCGTAAATGTGCTCACCTCCCTGCTTCCGACTCTCCGACCCAAGCTCGATACGGCCAGCTGAAGCAAGTCGGCCTGTGCCGTGGGCCGAAACCTTCAGGGAGAGGCGGGGCTCGGATGACCACTGAGCGAACACTCATGAAAACTAGGGGAAAACGCCTGCTGAAGAGCAACCCCGGACAGTGGCGGGCCCCGCCGTTCTTCCAGCCTGGGACCGCGACGGCTCACTAGTGAGCATGCGCAGAATTTATGCCCAAACAGGAAGCGGCCGCCCTTACCTCCCACTGATTGGTTGGATGCCTGTCACTTACGCCTACTGAACCAATAAGACTCAAGCTTAGGGCTTCCGCAAGGTGGAAAGCGCTCTGACAGCGCGTGCTTCCTCCAACCAGGCCCTACTGGAGGCATTTTTTTTTTTTATACCTGGGAGCGGGACGTGAGAGGATGGTGATCGCCTCACCCCAACCAGCCCCAAACCCCGGTGTGCCTGAGTAGAACTCGCCAGTAAGTCATAAAGCCAAAAGTACTGAGAGCCCAACACACAGGAGTCTGTACCCTAAAACCACTCATTTCCAGGAAACCGGGTGAGTGTACTAACTAGTTTTTCATGCTTACTCCCCAAACAGGATTAAGAAGCAACTGAGGCCAGGCCTGGTAGCTCACATCGGCAATCCTAATACACAGGAGGATGGAGACTTGGAGGCCACCGCGGACTAGATAGCAAGACCCTGAAAAAAAGCCCTCCACAAAGGAGGGCATGTGCTGTGGATCTCCAGGGCACTCACCCATGAGTTCCTGTCCCAGAGCCTCCCACCCTCAGCAGCCCTCCCGCTCAGGGCCGGACACACATTTGTGCTGCACACACTTTATTAGAGGGGCAGGCCAGCTAGAGGCTCAAGTGATGCTCACAGCTGGTCAGGCTGCTGCGGTGCCCTTTCTGATCCCAGAATCCAAAGGCTGAGTTGAGAGTGCACCGTCCCCCTCCCAGCTCTCTACAGTGGCAGAGAAATCGGGCCCTCTGGGGAAGGCTGGAGGCAGTGCTGGCAGAGCAGGGCTGTGTGACTGCGTGGTCCCTAACTCAACAGAAGACATCAAAATGCAGCAGTGGAGGCCAGGCAAGTGGCCAGCATCCCAGCTCCATCAGCCGAAGCTGCTGCTGTCCCATCTCAGTGCTGCAGTAAGGAGCCAGTGCAGGAGCTTGGGCCTGGAGGCAGCCCCTCACTCTCCACCCTGGTTGGGTTGGATAAGCCCATATTCCACCGCCTTCCCCAAGCAGGCTGCAGCAGCTCTCGTGACGGGGCTCTCCTCGCCCTTAGCCAGCACAGACAGGATCTCCAGCGCCTCGCTCTCCATCAGGGTGCTGGCGATCTCTCTTGAGGCCTCCACCATGTTCAACACCACCACAGCGCCCCGGTGCTGCAACTCCTGGTTGGGACTCAGCAGCAGGGCCTGCAGGATCTCCAGCCAGTGCGTGGTCTGCAAGAAACAGTAGCTGTGACTGTCAAAGAACAGGCTCAACCCTGGGATTTTCCGACCCCGGACCCCCCCCCAGAACAGGCACTGACCACTTGCGGGATGCGGCTGCAGAGCGAAGGCCGCATGGATGTGAGCATGGCGAGGCCCCCGGCGGCTGCCCGCCTTAGCAGCTCGTCATCCTCCCCACTGTACAGCACCAGCAGCTTCAGCCGGTCATTGCCCTGGGCTTCAAAGAGGTCCTGCACCTGTGGCCAGATGTGGGACAAGGGCCACGTCAGCTGGGCGCAAAGCCCTTTACGGCATGAGATGCAACCCGGCGTGAGCATCTCAACCACCCCCTCACCTCCTTGCTCATGGCCAAGTTACACAGGCACTCGGTGGCTGCCCGCCGGATCATCTCATGCTCCTCAAACACGAAGCCCTCAATCATGGGCATGGCCTTCTCCTTCAGGATTTTCTGCCTGCAGGACGGGGGAGGAAGGGTCAGCATCGCCAGAACTTCCATGCTCACCCCCACCCCACCTCACACACCCCAGACACTTGAGCCCTGAGCGGAGGACTTCTCCTGAAAATGCCCAAGGACCCTCCTGCACAGGCGTGACCTGCATGGTTTGTAGCCTGATGACCAGGCTAAGAAATAGCACTGGAGAGCGAAAAATGCCCAGAACTAGGAGGTAGGAGACCAGAGGGTGGCGATGGCAATGCTAACACCAGCAGCTGAGCACTTAACCTGACCAGGTGCTTTGCTCATCTTACTTAATCCTCACCACGACTGACAGTGAAGGTGCAGGTGTGACTGCCGTGACTGTTTTGCAGAAAGGAAAATGGGCTGAGTGGTGAGCAGGGTGCTCAAGGTCACAAATTAGTAACACCAGCTAATGCAAACTGGCACACTGCTAAGGGCCAGTCCTGAGGACTTTTACACGCGGTTTCTCGTTTAATTCTCCACACTACTACTAGTGAGCTAGATGCTACAAGCATCCCATTCCAGAGGGGGAAACTGAGGCACAGCAGTTAAGTAACTTGCTTAAGGTGACACTCTGAGCAGGGGAAGAAAAGGAGAAGGGCGAGGACAGAGTTAGAACCTCAGAGCCTGATGATCTGGGCTTCTACATCCACCTGGTTCAATGAGCCAAGATTTGAACCCAAGCCAGCAACGTTCTTGCCCAATGCCCTTGTCCCTCTCTTGGCCTGGCTCTTCATCTGTATGATTCAGAGGAGTCACTGTGAGGCTCACACTAACTCTCTACTTTCCAAACTGTAAAGTGATCTACTGGGATAATCCAAATCCTGCTGCCCAGCCCAGGCCCCTCATCCCAAGGGACCTTACCGGAGCCTCTCACTGATCCCCGCCAGATTCGTTAGGGCCATGAGTGCCTCGAAGTTCTGCAGTCCTGAGCAGTTGAGGTGCAACAGGGAGACGAGCGGCCGGACCACCTCGTAGATCTGTGACATGCACCCACCTGTCAGGGCTACTCAGCACAGCCCCTCCAACCCTGCAGACTCTGCAGGGAGGAATGCACCCAACTGGGTGCTACTCTCTAAGGCTGCCGTCCCTGCCCCAGGGCTTAGCAAAGCCACCACTTTGTTGGTCTCAATGAAGAACCCAGGCCAGAGGCTATCAGGGCCCACTGAGGGGATAGAGAAGTCAGTTGGGGCAAGAAATAACGCACCCGCTCCCCAGGAAAGGTCATCTCTGGGTTGGAGGTAATGGTGAGCTTGGCAAGAGCCTGGGCTGCCTTTGTCTGCCCGATGTCGGTGCCTTCCAGGGCCAGTGGAAGCAGAGCCTGTCGGAACAAGCCCATCAGTGCCCAGGACAAGCCTTGGGAGTGCAAGGCCCTGAGGCCCTGACTGTGTCCTCGCCCTACTTCCCTCCCAGGTTTGATGACACACCCTCTCACAAGCACTTCTCTCCAGGGAGAGCGTCCCTGCCATTAAGCTTCCCAAACACTTGGTGAAACGCCTGCTAAGGGCCAGTCATGGGTGGTGCTGGCTTCGGGACTGTGAAGGTAAAGGAGACCAGGGAGAAGGAGTGAGCTCAGGACCTTAGTGGGAACTGGCCACGCCAGCGTCACTCACTCCACAGGAGGCCACTCCTGCTAGTCATGTCCTCCCGTATCAGCCCACCCCAACCTCTGCCTAGCAGCCACTGAGTCACATTTTAGAGGCCAATGGCCAGCGTGAGGGAGTTCAGAATCCAGCTTACCTTTCCCCCTCCCTGAGCAACCACAGTGCCTCGGTCCTCCACCTCTTCCACCAAAGCCAGGAAGACCCTGAGGGGAGAAGGCAGTGGTGGGCAGGTGGCATTGAGGCTCTGGCAGGCACACACTCCTCTCCTATGCTCAGCAAACGAGGGCAGGCACCAGGCAGCCCCTTGTGCCAAGAGACCCTGGGCAGTAACATGCAGCCCAAGGCTGGGAAGAGGTCTGGCTCTACCCAATGGACGCAGCTGGCTCACCTGGAGAGCAGCTCCCTGCAGGAATTAGTCAGCACCGGGTTCTCGGTCTTCACCATGCAGGTCATGGCTGATACCACCCCAGCCGCCAGCAGCTTCTTCACCCGAGCCCGCACAAAGCTTGATTTGTCCTGGGAAAGGAAGCAGCTTAGAGAGGGCCTCGGCTGACTGGACAGGGAAAGGGGCACCCTTCTCACAGCAGAGACTGATGTGCAGGGAAGAAAACCACCTAAGGAAGGGTCTCTGCTGTGGATACCCCGGGTCCCAACAGTGGAGAAGGACCCGGCCCGTCTGGCACCCCTTACCTTAGGGTGCTGCTCAGGCACGTGCTGCTTTGCGTACTTGGCCAGCTCCACCATCTTGGGGTCGGGCTCCTCATAGTCGTAACTGTTGGTGCAGTTGACCAGTGCAGAGGCCACAGCAAAGAGCACCGACCTCTCCTCAGACTGCCAGGAGCAGAGGAGCAGTTAGCTGGCCAGCCCAGACCAGCCCAGGCCCAAATGCTGCCAGGCCTGGGCCCCAGTCCCCTCCACTTGAGCACCAGGGCAAATCTGGGAATCTCCCCAGCCTCAGGGAGCTCACAGCCCTGACCTCCTCAACCTCCAAAGAGGTCATCCTTCCTGACACTGCTCATGCACTTGCCACACAGAGCAGACACCCTTCTGCCCCAGGGTCACAAAAGCCAAACCCTGCCCCAGCCTGGCAGGCTCTAATCATATAGATAGTGTCAACAGGGAAACCGCAGAGCTACCCTGCTGAGCTGGAACAGAGCCTTTAGAGCACCCTCGTCCTCCACAAACTCTTCTTTCACGTCAGCATCAAAGGTGAGGTAAGCCAGGCCCTCCACTGCCCAGCGCCGAGTGCCGGCATCGATCTGGTCATTGCACAGCCATCTGGGGACACACAGGAGAGTGGACGACCATCAGGAATGGGAAGCAGGAAAGAGTAACCAGGAGCAAACTGCTTCATGCTAAAGTCGGTCCCTCCGGCTGAGCCAAGCTTACAGAGTCCCTGCAGTAGAGAGCACAATCAGCTGCCTGGCTCCCCCACCCCATCAGAGCCTTCTGCCACAGCTCTCTGGAGGCCACAAACACATCAGCACCCTCCCCACACACAGCTACCAAGGGGAGCATTAGGCCACACAGTCACCTACTGAGGTGGCCACAGGACATAGCAGCTGGTAGAGACAGACACGCTGGCCGCCAAAGCCCCCTATGCCCTGACACTTCCCAGTCTACTGTGACTGCTCTGCTCCTTGTCATGTCATGCAAAACGCCTTTCACAAGTGGAACCAAGACGCGTGTGGAGAAAAGACAGTGCCTTCAGCCACGGTCTAAATCCTATGGCGTGGGGAACTCCAGGACTAATGCCCCAGGAAGAGTAGTTTCCACAGGTGCGTAGCTAAGCTAGGCCCAGGGAGGGCTAGACAGTCCCCAAGACACTGCCTGCGCCCCACAGGCCCACCCTTTCCACAGTCTTTCTGATCAGCAAGGGGCGACAGGAGCCACCATGCATTCCCAGGTGTCGTTTGTACCTGGCTCATCTCCCCACTTGACCATAGGCCTGTGATGAGAGATGCCAGGCCCACGCCTCCAGCCCTGGTAAATCTCTGCACATCCCTTCCTTTCACTCAGAGTGCTGAGGCTGCCCCATGTGACAGCAGCCAGTACGGTACCCCTGCCTGCCCACCCTAGGCTGCCTGTCTCACCACCAGCGCCCGGATGCGAATGCTGTCCCTCTCGCTGCGCTTGTACAGGTCCTTCAGCAGTGAGACACCGTTGGCAGTGATGAACGAAGCCCGCTTGGCCTTGCCGGCCGCGTGGATCAGTGCCTCCACGGCCACCAGCTGCTCTTCCTCCTGCTCAGAGGCACACAGAGCGATCACGCTCTCCATGACACCGCTCAGCTCCAAGGCCCGGTTACCAGCATCACATGGGCCCTGCAGGAGGCAGGACACCGTCTGGATGGCCCGTAGCTTCCCGGCCAGCCCTGGGCCCTCAAACCAGCTCCTGAGGGGCATAGGGTGACATCTGTCATGCCAAGGCACACATAAAAGAGCTCTTCTTCCCTCCCTCCACTGATCAGGCGCTTGCACTGCTTGGGCAGAACAGCAAGAAAAGCTGTCAAGGGGCGACTAGGGCGCTTCCACCAGTCACTGGTGTTCATCTACACCTCACTCACACCTTCCCTGATGATGTGTCACTTAACATGGCTTGCTCCTGTTTCTTTCCTGTCCTTAAGCTCTGAGATCACTGTTCATTTCATTATTTATCATCAGTTACTTCCCCCACAGCTGCAAGTGCCTTCAGAGCAAGGACTGTCACACTTTGATCAGGACATCCTGTGGTATGTTTCCAATACCATTGCAGTATTGGAAAATCCATGTGAGAAAGAAGCTCACTGGTGCAGTTACTTTGGAAAAAGAAGTGGACCTGGGGCAGAGCAGGGTGGTTCACACCTATAGTCCCAGCTACTCAGGAGGCCGAGACAGGAGGATTGCTTGAGTTAGTCTGGGCAACACAGTGAGACCCCCCATCTTAAAACAAAAAAGAATGGCTGTGGAACCATCTCGTCTAGCCTGGCCAGTCCTTCTGAAAGCTGCTCTCCTTGCCAAAAGCCTGTCATTTCTGTCCCTCTCCAAGGAGTCAGAACTGTTCTGCTGGCCCCAGCAGACCGACTAACCTAATGTAGTTCTCACAGAGCCGGTGGAAATTCTCCCTCTCAGCATCACACTTCAGGTCGTCAAAGAGCTTGCTGAGCAGAATGGAGGCGCTCATGCGGCTGTTTGCTGTCACCGCCAGCTCCCCGGGGGGGGCCTGCACGGAGCCCCCCACCTCCAGAATCCTTTTCAGACCTGGAGAGACACCCCATTTAGAGAGCAGAACCCCAGTGCCAATGCCTAGAGGTAAAGAGAAGAGCTTCCTGGAGACAGGCAAGAAAGCAGGATTCTCTCTCTTAGCCAAGCAGGCCAGAGCTCAGGCAGTTGGGTCAATCAAGGCAGCAGGGAGAAGCTGGTTGCCGACCTGCTCCCTCCTGCTGTCAGGGAAGGGCTTCAGGAGGGAGGGCTGAGAACCAGCCCTGCTGCAGGGCTGAATGTTCGGGTCCTTTGAGGTCCCTGCTCTATAAAACTAAGGGAAAATACCACCAGGCCCCACAGAATCATCGGGTAACAAAAGACAGGTATGCAAAAGGGCCTAGCAATTATACTCAGGCAAGACCTTCCCAAGGCGTCTCTGTTTGGGGGAAAAGAGAAGTGTGAAGTGATACATTTGAACTGTTTTAGTGCTTGCCTAGTAAGCAGGAGGTCCTGGGTTCAATCCCCAGTATTGCAAAAATAATAGTAAATTGTTTAATTGAGTTAGAAGTAACACATGCTCATTAACAAAATTTCTTTGGCTGGGGTTGTAGCACAAGCATGAAGTCCTGAGTTCAAGCCCCAGTACCTCCAAAAAGAAAAAAAAGCATACATGTTTTAGCTGGGTGTAGTGGCTCACACCTATAATCCCAGCTATTTGGGAAGCACAGATCAGGAGGGTCACTGTTCAAGGCAAGCCTGAGCAAAAAGTTAGCAAAACCCCATCTCAACTAGTCAGCCAGGTGTGGTGGGGCACATCTGTGGTCTCCGCTACTTGGGAGGCCATAGGTAGGAGGATCAAGGTCCTGGTAAAAAGCAAGATCCAGGGAGAAATGACCCAAACATTGTATGCACATATGAGTAAAATAAAATTAAAAAAAAAAAGCAAGATCTACCAGGTGCTGGTGGCTTGCACCTGTAATCCCAGCTACTTGGAAGGCAGAGATCAGGAAGATCGAGGTTCGAGGTCAGCCCAGGCAAACAGTTCAAGAGAACCCCCACCTCCAAAATAACCAGAGCAAAATGGACTGGAGGTGTGGCTCAAGCAGTAGAGCGCCTGTTTTGCAAGTGCAATGCCCTGAGTTCAACCTCAATCCCACAAAAAAAAAGAAAAAAAAGCAAGACCCTATCTGAGAAAAATAACCTAAAAGCAAAAAGGGCCTCAAGAGGTAGAGTGCCTGCCTAGCAAGTGTAAACCCTGAACTCAAATCCCAGTACCACCAAAAAACAAATAAATAAAAACAAAAACAAAAAAATCAGAAAAGAAAGCAAAAGTTCGAATAGAGAAAGCTAACCCAGCCCTTCAGTTAACCTGCTTCCAGGCCTGCTCAGTGTGCATGTATCAGAGCACGTGTACTCGTGTGCACGCACACACAGTCATCCGTCTACCTTTGAGCTCCCTAAGGGGCCTCTCGCAGGTCATAGGATGCACAGCATGCAAATGTGGCTATATACAATTAATACTTTTTCTTTTAAATCACTGCTATCCAAGTAAAATTCTGCAAACTGTATCACCTACCTTGGTCGATGACCCAGAGGGTGAGGCTGTTGCTGGGGTCCTTGGGAGATTTCCGGGGCACCGTTTTAATCAGGAGGCTCAGGGCATTGTTTCGGCCTTGGCCAGAGACCCCCGCCTCAGTCAGGAGCTCCAAGAGATTACTGACGAGGACCTTTAGTTCCCGGGCAGGGTCTGGCAACAAGAACACAGCAGGGCTGAGGGTGTGACTCAAGTAGTAAAACAAGCACAGGGCCCTGAGTTCAAACCTCAGTGTCACACACACAAAAAAAAAATCCAAACCAAACAAAAGAAAGAAATATGTAACGTTCTGCCACCAAGCCATACTTCTGAACAACTTGCAGCTACAAGTCTGATCCCAAAAACTGGCTTGGCTGGTTCAGCTCCATTCCCCCTCCACAGCAGCAGCATCCAAAGGACCAGACCTGTTTTCACTCACCCACAATGATGGCACCTTCTTTGCCTCGGAAGCCTTTCTTGACGCCCTCCTTGAGGGCATCAAACATAACCTGCAGCAGGTGGCAGGCAGCCAGCGACACTGCCTGGTTTTCCACGCCCAGGATGGAGACCACTCGCTTAGTGCCCAGCACGCTCAGGGTTGCCACTGTCTGGGGTGGGACAGAGGAGGACAGAAGCCCGTGGTTGGTGTTGGGCAGCTATGAGCTGCGAGTGCAGCCAGAGATGAGAAAACTTGGGTGGAAGGACCAGCTCCCACCAAAAACGGCAGGCCTGAATGACGGCATGATCTAGGGTCCTGCTACACTCATTTTACTGCAAGACTCCCTAAAGAACACATAACAGAGGTGTCCTCCTCCACCTCTGCTCTCCTTGGCTCTAATCAGAGAAGAAAAACAACATTCTGGCACCTGCTTTGACTCATGTCTTCCCTAGAAGGAAACAAACCTGGACAAAGCCATCTGACCACCAGGCCCACAGACACCGAATTCCTCCCCAGTGCTGGCCCCAAGGAATGTCCACACCTGAGGGACGTGGACACGCGTGGAATGAATGTGCTAGGCTTCTCCACCCCACTTCTAACCTGGAAAACCCAGAAGGTCCACGTGTGTCCAGCTCACACTGGACTGAAGGAGCTGAAGGAGGGAACAGAACTTACATGGTTTGACCATTCTTAACCCTGGAAAATCCAGAAATACAGCCAAAGTTTGACCTGAAGGGATTTCCTTGAATACTTCACAGCTCTACCCCAGAGCCAAGAATTGTAACTTCCTCTAAAAGCAATGAAGAAGCCTGATGTAGTGGTGCGTCCCCGAAATCCCAGTACTCAGGAAGCTAAGGCAGGAGGATCACAAGTTTGAGAACAGCCTGAGCTACATACAGTGAGACCCTGTCCATAAATAAATGCAACCAAGGGTCAAGTCCCTTGGTTGGTCAAGCCAACTCAGACAAGAGCTGGGAGCATGGACTTCACCACCCAGCCCAGGAGCAGAACTGTTCTTTTTTTTTTGGTGATACTGGGGTTGCTACTCTGCTGCTTGAGCCACACCTCCAGTCCATTTTGTTCTGGTTATCTTGGAGATGGGGTCTTGGATACTATCTGCCTGGGCTAGCCTCAAACTGCAATCCTTCTGATCTTAGCCTCCCAAGTAGCTAGGATTATAGGCATAAGCCCCCTGCATCTAGCAGCAGGACTGTTCTTGCTATATTATTCACACTGGGGCAGCACAGTCCATACTGCAAATCAAGTCAGGGTCAAGTCCTATTATTAGGCCACTGTCTCCAAGGTAAAGAGGCTGCAGGTGACATCACTAACCATTCACCTACTGGGAGGACCTGTTTCCACGGGAAAAGCAAGTTTGAACTTTGGACAAGAAGACAGATGCCACCACCCCACCCCCTTTTCTTGGCAGTATTGGTGTTTTGAACTCACGGCCTCTTGTTGAGCAGGCCCTCTACCACTTGAGGCCAGTCCTTTCTGCTTTCCTTATTTTTGGAATAGGGTCTAAAGATTTGCCTGGGCCAGTCTAGACCACGATCCTTCTATTTACATGTCCTGCATAGCTAGGATGACGGGGTGCCCCACCACACCCAGGTTTTCATTGGTTAAGGTGAGGTCTTGTTAACTTTTTGCCCAAGCTGGTCAAACTTTGTTCCTCCGGATCTTTGCCTCCTTAGTAGGTGAGACTGTAAGCATGAACCACTGTGCCCAGTCAGGTGCTCTTTCTGGGCAGCAAGCTTGCTTTTACCACTGAGTAAGTCGGTGACCACGTTTCTTTGTGTGAAGCGGCTGCAGGAAAGTGTGCTCAAGGTGCTAGAGGACTGTTTCTGCCCTTTCTGGCCCATTCTGCTCCCAACTCATGTTGGTCCTGCCAATGCTGATTTTTCCTCTCTAGCAGTAGCTCCCTTCTCTCCTATGTTCTGCTCTAAATGCTTTTTGGAGTAAGATAAGGAGTGGAAAGATGCATAGCAGGGTGGATGGGTAGATGGATGCAGGGACAGATAGGAGGACAGAGGGACAAGAGGACTGGAGCCCACCTACCCGTGACTGGTGCTCAGAGCAAATGCCGACCAGCGTGCGAAGGGCAGCCAGCATGAGGTCCGTCTCTCCAGTGTCGAGCAGGCGCTGCAAGAGCTGCACCCCGTTGCTTCGGAAGATCTTCTCAGCTCCCGCGTCCTCCCGGGCCAGCACCACCAGGTTCTGCGAGGCCTGTGTGGAAGGAAGCATGTTCTAACACTGCACACACCACACAGGGCAGGGCAAGCGGGCCTGAGCTCCGCACCTTACTGCTTCTGCTAAGCAGCTGAGGCATTAGACATAAGTTTAACCACTCCGAACTTCCGCTCCCTTCTCTGCAAGGACAAGGAAGACCCTGCTGTCAGGGCTGATGGTTACAGCAAATGGCCTTGAGTCCCCAGCATGGCCTGAAGGGCAGGGACAGTGCTTCAGTCATCTTGTACACCCAGCTCCTGGCACCAGGCTGGCCAATAAGGTACTCTGTGAACACGGGTTCCCTTTTCTCAGTTCACATTAAAGCCCTGAGCCCTGACAGGTCCTTTCGGGGATGCACGACCTGGGGAGTATCATGCAGCAAACCTGGCCAGCAGGACTGAGGCCAATGCTGGTGAGCAGGGAGCGGGCTACAGATGGGCAGCTCTAGTGGGAGTTCAGCCCCCACTGGCTCCTTCCAGGTCTATACCTTCTGCTTCTTCTCAGTGCCTTTCTCTTCTGGGTCCAACAGGATCTGGAACATCTGCTCCACTTTGGCATCTGTCGAGGACATATATCGCACCTGTGACAAGCCAACAAAACACAAAAGAAATCACATGTCCTATTTGTTCTAGCTGATTCCTCTGAGGCCTGCCTCTAGGAGGCAGAGTGAGGATGTCTGAGCTTAGGACTAGCATCAAGCTACCTGGGGCAGGAAGAGACTTGCCAGGCAGCTCCAAAACTTCCCGGAGCTGTTTTCCTCTCTGAGCTACTTCCTGCTTGGGCAGCAGGGCCAGTAGTGATATTAAAGGTAGTGCCTTTCTCAAAGGGAGGCATCCTGTTGACCACAAGGAAACCCACTCCTTGTGATACCCATCTATATTGTGACAGCATAAGTGTCAGGAAGCTGGAAGGTTCCTGTTTGACTCTAGAATTCTTTTTTTTTTTCCCCTTGGTGGAACTGGGGTTTGAACTCAGGGATTTGCAGTTGCAAAGCAGGCACCCTACCACTTCACCCACACCTCCAGTGCATTTTTGCTTTAGTTATTTTGGAGATGGGGTCTGGTGAACTATTTGCCTGAGCTGGCCTAAAACTGCGATCCTCTGATCTCAGCTTCCCAAGTAGCTAAGGTTACAGTCATGAGCCACCAGCACCCAGCTGACTCCAGAATTCTTTTTGACAATTTTACAAAAAGAATCATGGCGCTGGTGGAGTTGCTCAGGTGGGAGAGCACCTGCCTAGCAAGCATGAGGCCTTCAGTTTAAACCCCAGCACCACCAGTAAATAAGTCAATAAAATAATAAAGATTAAAAAAAAGATCAGAGTGAACAAGATCATCCAAAGCCTACTGGTCTCCTCCCCAGGGTACAGATGGGCTCAAGCCTAGCCTATGTAGCACTTCCTTTTTTGCCCCTTAGGCCCATGGCAGGCATGGTCAGTGACCTGCTTCCTAATCCTTCTCAACACAGGACAGGACTCTAGGCAGTGGCAGCCATTCAAACAGGGCTGACACGGAGAGGAAGACTACCTGCCTCCCAGGTCTCAGCCTTTCAGTGACATATTTGCTATCGCATTCCTTGCTTCCACTGTGTCAGCTTTGAACTCAGGTCCTCATGCTTGCTAGGCAGGTGCTCTTACCACCTGGAGCCACTCCAACAGCCCTTTTATGTGACGGGTATGTTTGAGATAAGGTCTCAAGAACTATTTGCCAGGTTGGCTTTGAACCCTGATCCTCCTGAGTAACTAGGATTACAGGTGTGAGCCGCCAGGGACTGGCCCATTGTGTCAACTTTTTAACAACAAATTATATATATAGTTAATTCAAGCCTTCCCTCTCATGGTCTTTCCTCTCTTTTTCCTAAATCAATCAAAAAACGCATGTGCTCTAAATTAATGTCTTTTTATTAAACAAAAATACTGACAGATAAACAAAAGTCTCTTTTGGAAAGCACCCCCATCTCATTCCTCCCCCAAGAGTCACAATGTTACCATTTTGATGTTTGTCTTTTAAAATACTTTTCCTTGTATTTACATGTATTTACCAGGTATACTCACAGGAAAACCATAGCACTGTTTGGGATGTGTATGCAGGTGGTCATTTTCACACAAATGTTACGACGCTGTGTGTTATTAGGCTGGGGATATAGCTCAGTGGTAGAGTCCTTGCCTATGTGTGTTATTCTAGAGTTATCCTACATTTTTCTTGTTTCATTCAACAAATGCCAGAACTTTCCACATGATTACAGGTGGATCTGCCTAGTCTCAGTCACTACAACATGGGGAGTCTGTGGTAAGGACATCACCAGTTTATTGAGCCCTTCCCCCAGTGCTAGGCGGCTAGGCAAATTCCAAGCTTTCCTTACTAGGAGCAAGGCTGAAATAAACACACACATGCCCTCCTGTGCCCATGAGCAAGGTTTCTCTAGGGGAAACGGCAAGAAGTAAACACATTGGATCACAGGATGCATTCATGTAAAATTCTAACTAACGTGTACTCAAAAGGAGCTGTACCAATTTATACCTCCGCCAGCAGTCATGCCAGAGTGCACACCCCCCATCGCCACTGAAGTGTGTGTCTGCTTCTCTCCTTATAAAGGGTACGAACTTCTACATTTGCAAACAGACCACCAAAAAAGGAAAACACAAACTGTACCAGCTGTTCTTTCAATTTGCTTTTCTCTGACCACAGGCGAGGCTGAGTATCACCCTGTGCCCATTTGCCACCTGTAGCTCTTCTCTGGGTAACTGCCTACACCCCTAATCCAGATCCCTTTCCCACAGGACAATGACCCAATCTCTCCATCTCTCACATACCTTCTCCTGAATTTGGCCCCCGATGTTCCGCAGGGCCTCCTGGAAAACTTTGTTCTTGGGCTCTAAGCTCACACATCTCTGCAGGTCAAGGACGGCCTGGTCCAGGCGGCCCAGCTTCTCTAGGGCCTGGCTTCGGCGATAAAGTGCTTTGACATCCCCACCGTCCTTTTCAATGGCTGAGCAGAAACAGGAGCTCTGTCAGCACCGTGAGGCCACCATCTCCAGGCAAGAGCAGGAGGGAAAATTCTGGAGGGCCAGAGGAAGGTGGGGGGACGGATGTGGGGCCCGGTACTTCAGCCTCAGAAAAGGTGAGGGTAGCTGCAGAGAAGGAAATGCCCGAGGAAGTGGGAAAGAAAGAAGGCAGATGTGTTCCAGGGGCCAGAGGAGAAGGTGATGGTGCAGTGACCTTTGCCCACAGAAGCCCCACAGAGCCACATGCAGCCCTGGTTCCCCTACCTTTCGATGCCTCCGTTTCTGCTTTGTCATAATCTTCCTACAAGAAAGGGGTCAGAAGCCTAAGAGGATGCTCACCTGCCTCTCCAGCCCCTAACGAGCAGTCAAGGACACTTGTCCTCTAGAGCCACCCGATCCCCCACCACCCTGAGTCTCAAAGACATCTCGCAACCATGGATGGCCTGGGAATGCCCAAGCAGCAAGCCGAGATGGCCAAACCGGAGCCTGGGTAGGCAGGCTCGGGAAAGAGCAGCCTGTCCCCCTCACCAGCTTGAGGTGACAGGCGGCCCGGTTCCGGTGCAGAATGGCCTGGTCCTGGGGTGTCGCTCCCAGACCCAAGGCCTGGGTGTAGGCCGCCAGGGCGCCCTCGTAGTCTCCGCATTTGAACAGCTCGTTGCCCTCCTTCCGCAGCTGCTCCACCGAGCTGGCCTGGGAGAGAAAGGGGGTGGACTCAGGGCACAGCAGGGGAGCGAGGAGGAGGGGCAGGGGTCCGGCGCGAGTCCCATGGAGCGCTAAGAATGGAGGAGGAGGAGGAGGCCAGGGAGTGGTCAGGGCAGGTGCGAAGGAGAGATGGCATGGGAAGATGAGTATGCACCCCGGGGACCGCGAGCCGGGGTTCGGGGGTCCCAGGACCACTCACAGTCATTCCAGAGCCGACCTCCTGGGCTCGCGCAGGCGCAGTCTCTGGGGCGAGGGCAGCGCAGGGCTCGGGAAGTGGCAGTAAGATGCCCCGCCCCTTCTGCGTCAGAGGTGGCGCCAGAGAAGGGGCGGAGTCAAGAAGGGAGTCATCAGGACAGGGGCGGAGCCAAGCCAAGGGCGCGGGGGCGGGGCCAAGAACAGGGCGCGCGAGTCCCGGGACTGGGGGGGGGGGCCAAGGATAAAAAGCGCAGGGCGGGGGTGGGGGCGGGGCGCTCGTCCGGACTACGCAGGCGCAGAGCAGCACCCAGCGCGCCTAGTGCATTCCAGCAGGGACCAGCAGGGGGCGCGCAGCCGAGGACCGCGAGGGAGGCTGGTGTCGGCTGCAGCTTGGGTTTGTGCTGGCGCTCCGGCTCCGACCACAGCAGAAGTGCACGAGGTCGGCGGTCATCAGCGCCACCAGCAGCAGGCTGTAGAGGCCCAGCGCTAGGAGCGGACCTGGGCCCCTGTGAGAGAGGGAGAGTATCAGAGAACCCCTGAGAAAGTGCAGGACCCCTTCCCTGGGTAAATGCGGACTTGCATGCACACATTTTGCATGCAGATTTTGGAGCTCTGGACTGAAGGTGTGGCTCAAGCGGTAGAGCGCCTGCTTTGCAAGCGCAATGTCCTGAGTTCAAGCCCCAGGCCCACCTCCACACCCCCCCAAAAATGGAGCTCACAGGTGCCGTGAAAGCATCCATGGGCCGATTCAGAATTAAACTTCCCTACTACAAAGTATGTAACCCACGGACTACTAGATCCTCTATGTGTTGACACCATCCACACGCTATCAACCCCCCAACACGCACAGTGGCTCCCGTTACCTGTTTTCACGCCCCCTGAACTTGGCCTTCACAGAGTTGTTTGTATTCCTCTTTACGTGATTTTCAGTTTGCTGTCTGTCCCTCTACTAATCTGTAAGCTACAAGCCTCCCACCCAGGAATTTAGGAACAGGGCCTCATACCTGGAACACGTATTAGTGTCCTGTGGCTGCAGGGCTGGAGTTCTCACCTGAGAATGGGTGGGGGCAGAAGGGAGGACAGGTTGACTTGGTACAGGGCCTCAAATTCAGCCTGGGTGCAGCAGAAGCCCCCCGCGGCCTGCAAATGGCAGCAGTAGGCTTCCTCTGGAGTATCAGAGAGTCGAGGACAGAAGAAACCAGGGTAGTAGCGGCCATCAGCATCCTGAGTGGTCTGGCACAAGTGGGGGTGGTGGGCCAATGCTGAAGAGAGAGGCCTGGGGTCTGGAGACAAGCGGGAGGGGTCTGTCTACACCCCACTCCACCCCTTCCAGAAGAACAGACTCTCCCAACCCTTTTCTGGACCAGCAGAGCACCTGAGAGAGAGGTCGGCTGGGCAAGGCAAACCCAGCTGTGGAGCAGCAGTGACCCCAGCACCAGGCCTGTCAGCAAGGGGCTGGGCCTCTTCTTCTGGAAACCCATGAGAGATCACTTCCGCCTCCGCCTTGGTCCTAGGAATCCCAGCATCTGTCTTTCTAAGCCATGCTACAGACAGAATGGAATGAAACATCAAACCCCCAAGGCCTCAGGCACCATTAACACAAACCAGAAACTCATCTATCACAGGCTTCCAGATGAAAGAGACTGAGTTCCTACCTCCGACTGGAAAATGCAGGGCCTGTGGCCCCAGAATGCCTCAGGTTTCTGAGCAGACGGGGAAGGGCTCAGAGGAGTGGAGTAGGAATGAAGAATGAAAAAGAAGCTGAGGCGTTGTCCTGAAGAACACAGCATTTAGAGCCTAATGCGTTTCTCTCTACTCACTCTCCAACTTCTACACTGCCACAGAGCCCTGCGAATCCTGGCCCTAAAATATCAAGCCCCAGAGACCTCAGTTCTGTCTGTGGGGCTTCCTTCACTAACCAGTGCAGCGTGGCAACCTCCGAGCCTCGCTGAAAAGCAAGGAAAAGCTCTTTCGTTAGCTTTCCCCCTGAGCCTCATCTCCACAGCTACCAGCCGAAACACAAAAGTCACCTGTCTGATTGGAGTATAATGAGTAACTGGCTAACTCCATCTCCCAGGGATGCCTTTGGGGGGGATTCAGTTCTCTCTTATCACTCATACTTTATAGTTGTTGTGCCTAAGACAGGATTTCTCCAGAAGGCTCGGGGCCAGCAGAGTTAAGTGTTATTCCAGCTCCTACCCAGGCCAGACAATATCATGTTCCTAAAACAGCAGGGACAAGATTTATCACCCCAGGGGCCCACAGCAGGTGTCTTGGGACTGAAGCAGGAGCTCTGCTTCAGGGTTAAAGAAACCAAAGCAAGGCTGGGCATGGGGGTGCATGCCTGTAATCCCAGTTACTTGGGAAATTGAGATCCAGAGGGTTATGGTTTGAGAGCAGCCCAGGGGGAAAAAGTTAGTGAAACCTCCATCTCAACATCAAACCAGATGTGGGGGGTGTGAGTCTACAATCCCAGCTACATGGGAGGCATAAGTGGGAGGATTTTGGTCTGAGGCCAGCCTGGGGGGAAACCCCACGAAACCCTGTCTGAAAAATAAGTAAAAAAGGCCTGGGTCATGGCTCAAGCGGTAGACAGCTTGCCTAGCAAGTTCCAAACCCCAGTACTGAAAAATGGAAGAAAAAAGAAAATGTCCCTGCACGGAGAGTCTGCAGAATCACAGCTGCCTGGGAATATATAAATCTGAAGAAGTTAGGCGAGGGCTCCCAGTTTAGGATCCAATTTTCCAGAAGGTTGGGTCCTCCCGAAAGTGAGGCTCTGGTGCCCATAGTAACAGGGCCCATCCCTGTAGGGAAAACCATGTTTGGAGCACTTTGAAATTTTCCACTGCACTTTGAAAGGCTTCAAGATCGCCTTTCCACCTGGGAGGAGCTGTCTCTGACTCTGAGGCTGGGTGAATTCTTTCTCCTTGGTCCCGGGTCTCCTGTGCCTTCCAGCCCTGCACTCAGCAAACTCTGGGCTCCCAAAGAGCCAGCCAGGCAGGGTCTCTCCTACAACCATCCCTCCTCCCCCAAGCAGAACCCACTGAACCAGGCATGCAGCTTTCTTACACCTTGTTCTCAGCCCCTACAGGAAGTCTAAGTGCAGCTTGCTAAAATTAGGGTCGCCGCAATCTCCCAGGCCTCCAGAGCGCCAGGGGGCGCTGTAGCCGCTCGGTCCCGCCCCGTCGGCCGACGTCCCCAGCGCCACCCGCGCGATGGGCTCGGAGGTAGCGCAGCTGCTGGAAGCCGCTGACTTCGCGGCTCGCAAGCACCGACAGCAGCGACGGAAGGACCCCGAAGGGACCCCCTACATTAACCACCCCATCGGTGGGCGCGCAGGCTAGGGAGCAATCCTCGCGGCTCCTGCGGGGTGGGGGTGGGGGGACCGGGCAGGAAATCCCAAGAGTATGGAGCACTCACTTTGTCCCAGGCAACTCCTGTTCCGTGCAGTATGCGTTTAAGTCTCACGACCACCTGAGGCAGTAGCCATGACACCCCCAAAAGGGTGAAGGACTTCCCAAGGTCACCCACCCCAGTAAGGACCACATCTAGCTCTCCAAACCCACACAGCACTGGGGATCCCTCTGGTCTGACTTCTGCTTTGCACCCCCCCCCCCGCCCGCCCGCCAGGTGTGGCTCGGATCCTGACCCACGAGGCGGGCGTCACTGACATTGCAGTGTTACAGGTAACTTTACCCTTCTCTGCCAGGAGCTGGGCTGGAGATCCCGGCTCCCATTCAACAGTGGGTATCCCTGGGCTGAATTCCCAGTGCTGAATGGGAACCTGTCCCCAGGCTGCCCTGCTCCATGACACAGTGGAAGACACAGACGCCACCCTGGATGAGGTGGAGCTGCACTTTGGGGCACAGGTGCGGCGCCTGGTGGAGGAGGTAACAGATGACAAGACTCTGCCCAAGTTGGAGAGAAAGCGGCAACAGGTGGAGCAGGCGCCCCACAGCAGCCCAGGGGCCAAGCTGGTGAAACTGGCAGACAAGCTGTACAATCTGCGGGATCTGAACCGCTGCACCCCCGAGGGTACGCACCCCCACCCCCACACCTGGTCCGAGGGAAAGGGGAGGGATGGTCCCCCTTTGAAAACACAGGTTGGTCAAAGAAAACAAACCTAGGTGTTCTTAATTCCCCCAAACCACCTCTACCAGGTTGGTCTTTCATCAGGTTGTCAGACAATAGCGGGGCCAGGGGGAAGCAGTCAGGACGGGGGGTAATTCCATCATGAGCTCATCCCAAGCCCCTGCACCAAGCCCTCCAGGAAGCAGGCACTGGCCGTGACATCACACGAGCAGGTTTCTGTCCACTCTTCTGCAGGATGGTCCGAACATCGAGTCCAGGAATACTTCGAGTGGGCAGTGCAGGTGGTAAAGGGGCTTCAGGGAACAAACCAGCGACTGGAAGAGGCACTGAAGCAGCTGTTCAAGGAGCGGGGACTGACACTCTGAGCAGTGCCAGGAGCCACCCGGTGGCACAGAGTCCACCTGGCCCAGCCAGATCCAGTTCTTACTCCCGCTTTTCAGTGCCTCCCCATCGCCCTCCCTCCTTCACTGGGCCCAGATAGCAGGCTAAAAAGCTCCTTCATTTTCTCACTCTGGGTGTCTCACCAACTCAACTGAGAGCCCTGGTTGTGGGGTTCAGATGTACCTCCATCCAAAGCCCTTTTTCAAGATTTGGATGTGTTTGCTATTGTGCATGGGGGTGCCGTCTGGCCCCTCAGGGACTTGGGCTTGTATAAACACTGGCTTTTAAGTCGTATGGAAAATAAAGAATTTGGGGCACAGGTTCCAGTTGTTGCTGCCCCTCCTTCCCCGGCCTCCTGGGTATGGGACCGGTATGCGGGATGCTTGCTTCCAACTGTGAGCCTCCCGCATCAGCCCTCAGATTGCGGGCCTCAACCCCTTCCTGATCAGTGAGATGGGTGTGTGATTATCACGGCGAGGGAGCCTGACACGTGGGCGCTCAAGAAACGGTTCCCTTAACAGAGTTGGAAGAGATGACAGATGTATTGGAAAGCAGAGCCACCGCTCCTGACCGGTCCCTGGAGGGACACCCCCCCGCCCCCACAAGATGACATGGCCGATGGGGGACCTTGGGTCTCCTAGTCCCCAAACAGCAGCAGCAGGAGCTCGGTGATTCCGCAGCCCGCTTTAGCCCTGCGAGATTTGCGGTTGCTAAGCAGCAGGAACTTCCGGGCACGCCGGAAGTGGCTCCGGAGGCCCCGCCCGCGGGCGCTGGTGGGCGGGGCCCGGGACGGTGGAAGCCCACGGCAGGGAGCGTTGGTGGCGGAGTTGGGGCTTTTGCAACCTCGTTGGAAAGCCATCTTGGGGAGAAGAGGAGATGTTAAGGTGAAGGCCGCCTCATGGTGGACCACGATGGCTGTTTGCCCAAGCGAAGGGCCCGTCCTATGCGGGGGCGGGTGAAGGGCAACGAAAAGCTGACTGTGCAAGAACTCGAGTTTCAGATTAAAGGGACGAGCTGCGGTCATTGTGAACCCCTTACTGCAGAGCATGGCATGCGCCGGCCGTTCTGGTTTTCATTTTTTAAAACATCAGTGTTGTGCCGGGCATGGTGTGGCATGGCCGTAATCCCAGTACACAGGAGGCAGAGGCAGGAGGATTGCAGGTTCAAGGCCAGCCTGGGCTGTACAGCAAAACTCTGTCCTTTTATTATTTATTTTCGGTGGCACTGGTGTTTGAATTTAGGACCTCACGCTAGCAAAGCAGGCACTCTACCACGTGAGGTACACCTCTAGCCAGACCCCATCCTTTGGGGGAAAAAAAAAAATCAGTTTGTGGAAGTGCGATTACAAGATTTTTTTTTTTTTTTTAAACTTCCTTACACTTAAAAAATATCAGCCTAGCTGGGTGGCGGTGGCTGTTGCCTGTAATACCAGCTACTTGGGAAGCAGAAATCTGGAGGTTCCCGGTTTGAGGCCAGCCTGGGCAAACAGTTCTTGAGACCCCATCTCCAAAATAACCAGAGTAAAATGGACTGAAGGTGTGGCTCACGTGGTAGAGCACCTGCCTAACACACTAACTCCACTACCCCTAAATATATATATATATATATATCAGCCAAAGTTTTAAATTACGTCTGCAGTGGTTCAGTGAATGAAGTTTAAACATTAAAATGCAAAGTTATAGGACACTTAACAAACACCTCACTACCTTTAATTTTTTTTCTTTTTTGGTTTTTGAAACAGGGTCTTGCTGTGGAACCCAAGCTGCCCTGCAACTCTTGATCCCCCTTCCTCAACCTGCAGAGTGCTGGCTGAGATTGCAGACCTGTGCACCACACCAGGCTCTCTCTGTACCTTGAGCAGGCAGAGATGAAGATCATCTCAAGATGTCTCATAAAACCTTTTCATGTGTTACCTCATCTGTTGTTTGTCATAATCCGATAGGCTTACCTCCAATTCTTGGCCTCAAGAGATTCTCCTGCTGGAGTGGCCCAAGTGGTGGAGCACCTGCCTAGCAAGCATGAGATCCTGAGTTCAAACCCCAGTGCCCAGTGCTGCAAAAAAAAAAAAAAAAAAAGCTAAGCAGTAACAAGACTACAGCTGTGTACCACGACACCCTGGAAAAGGTTTTGTTTCTTGTTTCTGTTTGTGTATGTGTGTGCACGTGTGTGCTGAGGATTGAACCCATGTACTCTTACCACTGAGCTATTTTCCAGCTCCCTATAAAAAATTTTAAGTAATGGTTAAATGTACTTGAAATCTCCCACCACCAGGCTCCAGTGGCTCCCATCTGTAATCCCAGCTACTCAGGAGGCAGAGATCAGGAAGATCATGGTTCAAAGCCAACCCAGGGAAGTAGTTCATGAGATCTATCTTGAAAATACCTAACACACAAAAAAGGGCTGGTGGAGTGGCTCAAGTTACAAGCCCTGAGTTCAAACCCCAGTACCCTTCCCCCAAAAAAATATACCACCTTAGACATTACAGTACAGTAATGTACAGTAAGTGGTGTTAAGCACAGTCACACTGCTACAACCATCATCCCGTCCACCTCTTAGTCCCCCTTCTCCCTGCCCCACCTCCCAGCAGTCAGTCCTCCACTGTGTAGGAATCTGACTACAGTATGCAAACAGTGGAAGCAAATCGTAGTTGTCCTCTTGTGATTGGTTGGTTTAACTTGGCATACGTCCTCGTGATCCATCCATACTGTGGCTTGAGTCAGAATTTCCTTCCTTTTTACGGATGCCAAAATATTCCATTGTAGGGGAAGGGCCTTAGTCACGCTCACTGGGAGAAGCCCTATGACTTTACTCACTTCTCCAGGCACCTCTTACTATTGCACTGGCAGTTACTGCACATGAATTCTGGAGGGACCATAGCAGTATGGTTTCCTTCCTTGTGAGGAAACCCAGTGTTTCCTCCCCCACCAAGGGACCCTCTCATCCAATGCCTTCAATGTATCTCTGACCTTCAACCCTGTCACACTCCAAATCCTCAGGAGTCCCCCTCTCCAGCCTCACGAAGGCTTCCTGTGCCTAGCTACCCTAATGACATGGAATTCACCTTCAGGTTAGGTTTATTGTTAACGAGGGAAGTCTGGAGTTAGGAGCCAAAATAGATGCTCTCTGCAGACCCAGCTGGTCCTGGCAACTGCTATGCTCTGAATTTTTTTTTCCTTATGGCACTGGGGTTTGAACTCAAGGGCTTCACACTTGCTAGCAGGTGCTCTACCCCGGAGCCACTCTGCCAGCCCTTCTTTTATTGCATATTTTCAAGTTAGGGTCTTGAAAACTATTTGCCTGGGCTGGCTTCAAACCAGGATCCTCCTAATCTCTGCCTCCTGAATAGCTAGGATTACAGGCGTGAGCCACTGGTGCTGAGCTTATGAGCTGAATTTTTTTTTTTTTTTGTGGTGCTAGGGTTTGAACTCAGGGCCTACACCTTGAGCCACTGCCAGCCCTTTTTTTGTGTGATTTTTTTTTTTTAGAAAGGGTCTAGTGAATTGTTTGCAGGGGGATTTGGACATTGATCCTCCCGATCGCTGCCTCCTGAGTAGCTAGGATTACAGGTGTGCACCACGAGCTGATCTGAATCTTGAAGTTTGTTGGGAAGGGTTTGGTCTCTCCTAACATCTATAAGAATTGTCCCTTGAACGCATTTTTGTTAGGGAAGAATGAAGATTTTGTTCACAGATCTCTGTTTTGGACACAAGTAAGCTTCTTTCCTACTACCCTAGACGGATTGATTTTTCTTCCCTGTGTTTGTTTTTGATGATACTGGGGATTTGCCTCAAGCTTGCTAGGCAGGTGCCCTGCCAATTCAGCCCTACCCCCAGCCGTCTTTTTTGGTGGTGGTGGTGGTGGTTTAACACCCAGCGTGTGTTTTTTGTTGCTAGATGGGTCTGAATTCCTGGACTTAAGCAACCCTCATGCCTCAATCTCTTGAAAAGCTAGAACTACAGGAGTGCCCAACTGCCTGGTTTCAGAAGGGTCTTTTTATTAAGCACAGTGACAGAGAACAAGGTAAGTAGGCCACATTCAGGTTTGAGATGTGGCTCTCTGCCCAGGTGTCCATGCCCCCAGGAAAGCCATATCCTAGTGCCGTCTTGACCTGGATCACTCTGCAAGGCAGAACCCTAATTTTTTTTTTTTTTTTTTGCAGTACTGGGGTTTGAACTCACAGCCTCATGCTTGCCAGGCAGGTGCTCTACCACTTGAGCCACTCTGCCAGCTGGAGTTCTTTTCTTTTTGAGCCACCTCACTAATACTTTTTTGTGATGGGTTTTTCGAGATAGGATCTCATGACCTATTTGTCCAGACTGGCTTTTAACCTGGCTCCTCCTGATCTCTGCCTCCTGAGTAGCTAGGATTACAGGTGTGAGCCTCCCCTCCCATTTGGGGCTCTTGTCAAATGAGTAATTTTATAGTACACGTAAGACCTCCAGAGATAATATCCTTTATTCTGTTAGTTCCCTAGGTGTTCACAGGCTCTATCACTTGGTTACAAATCATATTCTAATGACACCTGCTGGCGCGCATTTGCTTAGCACCTTTTCCTCGAAGGATTACAGCTCACACTCTGAAGCCCCCATCCCCAGGCACTATGCAAAGCACTCAGTGTCAGTCACCTTTATTTCTCCCACCATGGTGTGAACAGGGTCCCATGAACTGTGTCCTGATGCTGGCTTAGACTCTGGAGGACCTGTAAGAACTTAGCCCTGTCACATTGCGTCTTCAGGTGGCTGCTTCAAAGACCTCAGTGACTTTCTCTGAGAACCCCAACATGAACTCTTCTCTTAAAGAGATTATTTTCTCCTACATCTGACATTTATAGCCTTTTCTTTTTAGGTGGCACTGGGGTTTGAACTCAGGGCCTTGCACCTGCTAGGCAAGCTACCACTTGAGCCACATCTCCAACCCTGACATTTGTGTTTTACCTGTGACGTAACCTACAGCCAAGAAACCTTCAGTTTTTTTGTTTTGGTTTTTTTTTTGGTAAAACCTGCTTATTTTTTTCCCTTATGTCTTTTGGGTTTCATGCTATGTTTAGAAAAGACCTTCCCACATCAGAAGTATAAAAATATTTTTGAGTGATTGTTTCTTTTCCCCTCTAGAACTAGTTTCTGTGGACATTGAGGTAGAGTCCTACGTCTGATAAATAGCTAGCTGTCTCAGGGTGCTGTTTATTAAATAATCCATCCTTTGTCCACCTCAGATGCTTCTTACCATATACTAAAGTCGCATGTACCTGGGTGTTTCTGGACCCTCCATGTTGTCCCACTAGTGTGTCCGACCAGGTCTGTCTGTCACACTGACTGAGCTCACGCTAATAGGACAGTCCAAGGCTCTCTGGGATATCTGGTAGGACGAGTGCCTTACGCCATGATGGCACTGCCACCCAGCTCACCAGCATCACCACTCAGCACTGTCTTGGTGCTCCCACGCCTTTACTTACAAACGAGCTTCAGAACCTGCTGAATTCTAAAAAGTACCCAATCTCACTGGAATGAAATTGAATGCACGGGCTATGTGGGGAGGACCAAAATCCTTACAGGCACACGTGTAGCAACTGGGGCAGCTCACAGGATGCCTTCTGGATTTTCAGTTCATTTCTTAGACTTCACAAGGAAGCAGCTTTTTTTTTTTTTTTTTTTGGTTGTACTATGGTTGGAATTCAGAGGCCTCACGCTTGCTAAGCAGGTGCTCTACCACCTGAGCCAGGCTGCCAGTCCTTTTTTTTTGTTGTGATGGATTTTTTTCACGATAGGGACTCGAGAACTATTTACCTGGGCTGGCTTTGAACTCGATCCTCCTGATCTCTGCCTCCTGAGTAGCTCGGCGTGAGCCTCCGGTATCCCGTGGGAGGCAGCTTTACTGTGTACAAATAATGTCGGTTATAATTCCCCCTCATCTGCCTTATCCTAGGGCCAGGACACTGCTAAATAAGTGTGCTTTTGGCTAGCTTCTAACCCTTTCGGGAACGCTTGTGGTGTTTGACTTTTTTTTTTTTTTTTGGTGGTATTGTGATTTGAACTCAGGGCCTCGTGCTTGTTAGATAGGTGCTCTACCACCCAGCCTTAACTGTCTGTTTCTGATGGAGACCACTGGATTAGGAGGTTTCTGTGTACTCTTAACTTACTAAGAGTGTTTAATAACGGATGGGTTTTAAAAGTTACCAAGTTTTACCTTTTCAGCATCTATAGTGTATTATAATTTTTTCTCTATGAATCAAAGCTGAAATGAAAGCTCTTGTTTGCCCTAGTGCCCCCTAGTTTAGTCTACACCTCCGTCGTGCAGCATGCCAGGAACCGAGTCAGCGTGTAGATGTCATGAGAAGGCTCTGAGGCCTGACTGGAGACACAGCCAAAGCCTTTTCAAGTGCCCCATGCTTTCTTTCCAGGGAAAGGAAGTCTGCCAGGACCAATCCCCCCATGACAGCAGGGAGCTCATGGGAACAATGGTGCATAGGATAAAGGGACAAAGAGGGGTCAGGTAGGATGGAGCCCCTCACACCTTTGCCACCACCCTGCAAATCAATATGCAGACCAAGTGCCTGGTTTGAAATGGGGGTTTTGGTGCCTGAAGCGTCTTATGACCTCTGGCCACAACGGTGTCTAGCAATTCCTTTCTGCCAGGCATGCAGGCCCAGTGGTACCTAAGAATGGAGCCAGCACAGGAGAAACTGGGGTTCCTTCTACTGTTCAACCCCACAACCTTTCTCCCACAGAATCACGGATCCCGCTCCTCACACCAGGACACGTGGACTTCACATCGCCACAGGGCTCCCCTAGAGCCAGCTCTTACCCTCAGTTACCTGGCACTGGGGCCTTACTCACCTGGCCTTCCTGACTTCTTCTGTCTGCCCCACTCCTCCTATATCCCATTCTGGGGAAAGGATAAGTGTCTGAGCCGTGCCCAGCTGGGCGGCTGCTCACAACCCAGAGCAGGGTTTGGCACTGGCCACTGTGACCCAGGACCTCCTCTCTCTCTTCTTACCAGCATCTGCCCTACCAGCCCACCACTGGGCGAGTGGCTTGCCCCAAACAAAGAAGCAACAATAAACAGAAAATGAGGGCAGAGCCCAGTCTGTCACAGTCTGAACGGCGGATCAGGACGGGATACCCAGTGTGGCTTGTCCAACCCAATCTTAGAGGTGAGAGAAAGGCAGACTCGTGGATGAACTTTCTTTTCAGGCCACGTGAGGCCCTAACCCAGGCGGAGGCGGAAGGTAGCAATCTCCATGGGCTCCAAATAGATGTCAGTGCTGTTGGCGGGGGATGCCAGGGGGTACAGGAGCGTCAAAGAGGTCGGCTGCAGAAACAGTATATCCAGGCCATGGAAAAGGCTTCCCAGGGCTACCTGTGGAGGAGACAGAGACGCGGGCTGTGCTGGGGACTGTGGCGCTTCATCCATAGAACTTGCAGCCTCCTTTCAAGAATCTGATAGGAGAGTGGGAGGGAGGCAGGGAGGGGGTGCGGCTCAGGGGCAAGGCCCTGGGTTCAATCCCCAGCACCACCGAGATGCACTCAGGCATCTCAGGGTGGGAATTGTCACTCCACCCTATGAGGCTGTAGAGGACAGGGACCATGTCTTGGCTCACTTCTGAATCACTGGTCCCCCTGCAAAGGACCTGGCGTGACAGAGAGGATCCTTTATTAGCGACAGCTGATACCAGGAGTGGTGCTGTCAGGGGCAGCATGGCAGGTTTTGAGTTTTTTATTTCTGGTGTTTTCCACTTTGCTCAACACAGGTCTTGCCTCGGGGAACCTGTGTTCTCCAGCTCTGTCTTATCTGGAAATGGCCCCTCCAGGCCTCAGTAACTGAAAACACTGCCCCTTTCTCTCCAGAGAGCCTCGGGGTGACACTTTCTCCTCCCATCCAGCCGCCAAGCCCAGTCCAGTCCCTCCAAGCTCTGGCTCTTGTCCCTCTGGGCTCAGCGTGGCCCTCCGCTCAGGGGGGGGGGGGGGCTCTGCCTCCCACACCTGGGCGCTGCTCACCTTGCCTTGGCTCGTGGTGCAGTTGAAGCCCAAGTTCTTGGCCTGGAGGCCGCAGTCAAAACCCTTGCGGTGTAAGATGAGCGCCGTGTCTGCTGAGGGTGACAGGTCCTCCTAGGACGGGACAGGGGACAGGAGCGGTGGGTGCTACACAGCCCAGAGGCAACAGCAGCCCTGCCCAGGACACAGGGCTGGGACAGGCAGGGGTGGTGGCGGTGGTGGGGTCAGCATCTGGGTGGAGGGGCTCAGAGTCTGTGACTGTGACGCTCACCTCGGCCGGAAGCGTCCGCAGGTTGAGCAGGTGGAAGTCACAGGGCAGAGCGGAAGCCAAAGGGTGAAAGGAGCGCAGATCGGGGCCTGGGAGCCGCGTCTTGGCTACAGGCAGGGCCAGTGGCGGCGTGTTCAGGTACATGGAGGTCAGGTGGCTGAGGAGCGACGGGTAGCTGGTAGAGCGGTCACCTGGGGCCTGCAAGTTGGGCGGGAGACGTGGGTGAGGCTGCAGAGCCAGGATGAGGGGTCTCTGAAGGCGAGGCAGGGTAAGTGTACAAAACAAGTTCCTGCGAGCTTCCCAGATACCAGGCCTCATCTCTAACCCTCACACCCAACTCAGAGGGCTGTTTACTAGCCGTTCTTCCCTCTCCCTCTCTCTCTCTCTCTCTCTCTCTCTCTCCCTCTCCCTCCCGCTCCCTCTCTAGGACAAGTTCTCACTATGAAGCCCAGGTTGGCCCCAAGCTCTTGATTCTCCTGCTTCAGCCTCCTGAGTGCTGGGATTATAAGTGTGTACCACCACACCCAGCTCTGCCATTTCTTCTCCACTTTTAGATTTTTTTTTTTTTTTTTGGCTTCCTAATGTGATCATGAGCAACACCTCATCACAGACAGACCCGCAGAGCAGGGAGCGGAATGGAAGGCAAACAGGCATATGCTTCCCTCTGGAGGACAGGCTTCTGTGCAAACTGCTCTGAGTCACCCTGTGGTGCCCAGTGTGACGCCACATTCACAGAACCAACCTGATGCCCATGGTCCATGCGGCCCTGCTGACTGGGGACAGGACGCCATGCTCACAGGCCTGTGTGGGCCTTCCCTCCAAAGCCACTGCTTCTCTATGTGCACATTTCTGTCCCTGGTCAGCCCTCCTCCCCACGGCCCAGAGTCTCACTTCCCCCTACCTGAGGTCCAGGCCCAGGCAGGCCGAGTGCCCTTCCACCCTCCCACCTCTGCAGTGACCTCAGGTTCTCCAGCTCCTTTCTCCTGCCCATGGTTTGGTTCAAGTTCAAGCCACCAAGGCTTCCTGCTTGAGCAGCCTTTAAATCATCACCCCTGCCTCGTCTCCCTTCCCACAGAGCCTCCCTGCTCCCTGCAGTTGGAGAGACATGTTAAGAGCAGAGTCCTGACAGGGTCTCTCCCTGCTCGGGTCCTTCCTTGGCCTCTAGAATAAACTCCAGGCTGTGCTCAGGCATCCGAGGCCTCTGCAGGGTACCCTGAGCTTCCACCACGTGTAGCCCAGCAGGGCCTGCAGAACTTTCTGTCGTAACAGGAATTCACTGTGTCTACACTGCCTTAACTCAGTAGCCACCAGTCACTTGGGGCTGCCAAGGACTGGAAATGTGGCCAGTATGAATGAAAAAAATGAATTATTTTATTATTTTTTTTTTTTAGTAAAAATGAATTTAATTATTTTGGCAATACTAGGTTTTGGGTTTTTTTTTTTTTTTTTTTTTTTTGCAATACTGTAGTTTGAACTCAGGGCCTACACCTTGACCCACTGCACCAGGCCTTTTTTGTGAAGGTTTTTTTAGAGATAGGGTCTTGTAGAACTGTTTGCTCAGGCTGACTTCAAACCTGGATCCTCCTGATCTCTGCCTCTTGAGTAGCCAGGATTATAGGCAAGAGCCACTGGCACCAGGCTAAAAGTAGTTATTTGTGTGTTTTATTTTATTTGGTTTTTGTGGTACTGGGATTTGAACTCAGGGCCTCACACTTGCTAGGCAGGCACTCTACCACTTGAGCCACTCCACCAACCCTTTTTGTGTTGGTTTTTTTTTGAGATAGGGTCTTGTGAACTATTTCCCAGGCCGCACAATCTTCCTGATCTCTGCCTCCTGAGTAACTAGGATTACAGGTGTGAGCCACCAGTGCTCAGCAGTAGTAAAGTTTATTAGGAAAAGAATTTAATATAACCTGGGCTGGCGGAGTGGATCAAGTGGTAGAACACCTGCCTAGCAAGCTCCAGGCCCTGAGTTCAAGTCCCGGAACTACCAAAAAAAAAAAAGAACCTCAATAGAATTTAGTATAACAGGATAAAAGTGGGGAGAAATGAAGAAAAAGGGAAGAAAAAGTTCCTGCTCCTTGTGCAGGAGATGAAAGTAAAGACCCGTAGTTCGTTTTAATTAATTTAAATAGCCACAGTGAGGCAGCCAGGCTGCTGCAGTCTGCAGAGTGAGCTCATGCTTTCCTGCCTCCCCGCCCTGGTTCCCACTTAAGTCTCATCTCATCCATCAAAGCCAAGCGTGGCTGACGCCTGCTCCGCAAGCTGCCCTTGACCTCCTCCGCTCCGGGATGAGTAGGACACGGTCACTTCCACGCTGTCCCTGTCCACACCCCACCTCCACTAGCACCGCGCACACACCTGTGTCCCTCTCAGCTCCTACGTGAGGAGCGAGTGAGTGGCTGGGCTCAGCCGGGGGACACCGGGCAGCAGGCTGCCAGGACAGCGCACCTGCTCACACGAGTGACCGGTCCCAGCGCTGCCCCTACCTCTCCGTTCCAGCTCCTGCTTCTGGGAAAGAAGCCCCTAAACATGGCTCTCAGTTTGGAGAAAAAGCCAGGCTAGTGGGGGCAAAGAAAGCCATGAGATAGCGGGGTTGGAGTTGAGGGTCAGGAAGTGCTGGCGTGGGGAGGGAAGATGAGGCAGCGCAGAGGAAGGAGGGGGATGAACATGACAGGGACACAGGTGGCAGGTAGCATGCTGGGCGAGGGTGTCGGTGCGTGAGATGGCTTAGAAAACTGGCAGACGTCCTCCTGCTGCAACCCAGGAATCAAGGCCCACTCTGTCCTTCCCTTGCCCTCCTCCACCTAGACTCCTTGAGTCCTGGACTGGAATCCGAGGGCCACCCCAGGCCAAGCTTGCTCTGGCTTCCTGGGTGCTAGGCCCAGATTTACCTCACTGCCCATGGTTCGCCGTTCCAGCAGGAGGCGGAAGTGGTTGCAGGTCATCTTGTTGTCCTTGAGTCCTTGGCCCAGGCCCCGGTTGTCATCCTGCATCAGCCGGCGGTCCAAGATCACTTCCAGCTGGCCTGGGGGGGTTAGCAGTGAGCGCCTGGCCTGTCACCCACAGCCCAGCACACACTGGACTTGGGAGAAGAATCGAACCTCACATCCTCAGGAAAGGGCCAGTGACACAGCCAAGCTGAATCACTCGGGAGAAAGCCACGAACCCTGGGAGGAGCCAAGCGTGGGGCCAACCTGTGCCCTTGTTCTACAAATAGGAAACAGGAAGCCCAGATAGGGGAAGGGGTGCTGACCCCGGAAGTTCACCTCTGTGACTCAGGAGTTGACCCAGGCCCAGGGGCCTGGCAGAAAACCCTGTCAGAACTGGCCATAACAAAACAGAATAAGGAAGCAGGTCAGGCGTGGTGGCACACGCGTGTAATCCCAGCTGTTGGGAGGTTGAGGCAGGAAGATTGTGAGTTCAACACCAGCCTGGCTACATAGGAGGATGCAGTTTGAAACACACAGAACAAAAAGAAGAGTTTGATTTGGGGTGTACAGTGCCTCAAAAACCAAAGACCTAAGCCTTAAGAACTAAGGAAAATGTAAAGCAAACTAATCCCAAAGCACACTTGATGGACCAGAACGAGGAAACCAGAACAAGTCAGCAGACAAAACCAAGAGCAGCACCGTCTGTGGTGCTGCTGCTTCCTCAGGCTGGGCAGACGCGGTTGTGACGAAAACACGCTCTTCACAGGGACGGCCAGAAGGCCTGTCAGGCCAGACGGGAGCTCTGACGGCCTTGTCTGTCAGAAGTCAGGCTGTGAAGAGCAGGCCAGCCTGGGGCTCAGTGAGGCCTCTGGGCTGCCCTGGGGACAGAGGTGGCAGAGGACCACTTCTGTTTTCTTTTCTGGCACATGCTGGGGAGGGGCTCCCAGCAAAGCTGGCGGATGTTGGGATGCAGGCTCCCCCAGCTCTCTTGAGAGGAGCCCAGGGCAGCTTCTCCCACGCAGAGAGCAGTCCTCCCTGTCATCTCCGCAGCCCTCACTCTGACTTCCGTACTTCCTCCATCTTTGTACCCTGAGCAGTCACAGCAAGCCATCCCCCAACCCTAAAATGGGGCCCTTGTGTAGAAAACAATCATTTCTTGACACACCACGTCCCCAAGGGGCAGAGGGAGATAACCAAGCAGGGACACCAAGCAGGCAAGGAGTCACGAGGTCCCAGCTGCTTCCGGCAGAGGACAGCAGAGCCACAGTCCTCCCTCAGGGCAGGCAGCCCGCACTTGCCACCACTCCACACGCACAGCCTCAATCCTGCAATCAGCTCAGGCCTCACAAAGGCTCCGTCCCATTCCCGAAGACCAATGGCCACCAAGACCACCCTTCACTTTGCCCTGGCTCTGGCACTCACGTGAGGATCACGAAGTGTGACGAGCTGGCCAGCTCTGACTCCAGGCCAGCGCCCCTCACACCGTTGTTTGGTCCTCAGGAACGTCAGCCTCTCTTTTACTGACCATTAGGAGAACAATATGAACTCTTCTCCTTTTCTAAATACTTCACTGTAACATTGAGTACGTTTTTCAAAATGTCCCTAATGCCTGGGAGCCGGTGGCTCACACCTGTAATCCTAGCTACTCAAGAGGCAGAGATCAGGAAGATCGTGGTTCGAAGCTCAGCCCTGGCAAATAGTTCCACGAGACCCTATCTCAAAAAACCCTTCACAATAAAAGGGGCTGGTGGAGAGGCTCAAGGTCTAGGCCCTAAGTTCAAGCCCTAGTACCGCAAAAAAAAAAAAAAAAAAGTCCTCTGCCATCATTGGTCAAGACACACGTCCTACACCTCAGCTGAGTCACTGTTCAAACCTCAATGCTGCTTGAGAGGGTCCAAGAGGACACTGACCATTCAGCTGCCTCCACCAAGGGACAAGGTGACAGCAGCCTCCCTTCCTCCAATGCCGGAGCGTGACTGATGGGAGCAGCGGATGGCTGAGGCCTTCTCCAAGCAGGGGACGCCAGCAGAGCAGAGAGATCTGGGGCGCGGTGAGCATCACAGACCCTCTGCAGAGCTGTAACCCCACTCACCATCACCGAGGCTGGAGACACCCAGGGCCTGGGCAGAGTGCAACGTGAGGCGCGTCTGTGTGTCCTGGATGTAGGCCATCACGGGCATCGGGTAGAAATTGGCCTGCAGTGGCAGCTTCCTGAGGTATCGCCGTGGCTGCACCTGTGGGGCAAGGCAGCTGGTCAGGGCACCAGCACCACCTCCCGTTCCATCCCCCTTCTGGGATACAGGCCAAAACCAGTCCACGCCATGCTCTGTGGGGTCCACCGCCCAGCCCCGGGAGGCACCTGGAAGCCGTTGAGGTCTGTGAAGAAAGTGCCTTGGCTGTCGATGTCTGTGTGGATACGCAGGGCCAGCTCCTTATTGACATAGTCCCGGATGTCCACCAGGAACGACACGTCCAGAGACAGCCCCTCCACCCCTGGGCACAGGGACAGAGGGGAGGCATGGAGAGGCATGAGGTGAGCACAGCCTGTGAGACCGCACCAGAGCTGAGCTGGGCTCAGCCAACCTCTGGGGCACGTCCCCAAGCCCTTTCTCCAAGAGCACTGAGCACCCCCGTCTCAAACGGCACATCTGTGGGACAGATGTGTAAGCAGAAGAGCAGGAGGAGGGGCATGTCACACCTCCTCCGTGGCCCTTCCTCGTCCGCAGGGCTCACCTGGCAGGTTGTACAGTCGGACCACCTGACAGATGTGCTCATAGGACGTAATCACCTCTGAGAAGAAAGGGCCTTCAGTGACCCGCAGCACAGGGGGCTTCTTGGAGGTGTAGGGCTGGAGAAAGAGCAGGTGGCCACTGAACCCCCAGCACCGAGCACGGCAGGAGGTACCAGCCCAGGGTTGGGAAAGAGAACTGCTCATCCCGGCAGGCTGGGGTTTGATAGCCTGAGCTAAGCAGGCCTGAACCCACGGTTACGAGTTGCCCAGACCACTGACTCCACAGTGGCAGCAAAGACAAGGTCCCCCAGCAGGCAGGGGTCACCCGGAAGGAAGGCCTGGGCACCTTCTGTTGGTGAGGCCTCCCAGGGCCCAAGGGCTTTTGCGCGCCACCCTTCAGGTACCTTAGCCTCGCCATCAGGCAGGAAGAGGTAGGCTCCACTCTTGTCTTTGGATGAACGGGTACCATAGACAAGGAACTTCATGTCCATCCGCTGCTCCTCCTCCTCATCCACCCTTCGGATGCTCTGCCAAAAAACACAGCCCTGACCCCTGGCCCCACACCAGCACATCAGGCCTGCCCCCGGGAGGGCTCGGACGAACTTCCCAAGGAGAGCATCCTGAAGCCTGGTGCCACAGTTTGGACTTTGAGTGACCTCCAAAGGCCCACGTGTTAAGGGCTTGTACCCAGAGTGGCGCTACTGGGAGGTAGCGCCTTCAAGACGTGAGGACTAGTGGTGAGACACTTTTTTAGGGGCTTTGTGGTGGTACTGGGTTTGAATTCAGAGTCTTGTGATTGCCGGGCAGGCGCTCTAACACTTGAGCCGTGTCTCCAGCCCCCTAGGGGAAATTTTAGGTCATTTAGAGGCACATCTTTGGGCTGGCAGAGTGGCTCAAATGGTAGAGTGCCTGCCCAGCAAGCACATGAGGCCCTGGGTTCAAACCCCAGTACTGCGAGAAAGAAAAAAAAAAAAAGAGAGAGAGAGAGAGCGAGATCTCTGAAGAGACAGTGAGACCACTCCTTTCTCTTTCTCTCTCTTTTGCAGCCTAGTGATGATCTGCTATGTGCTCCCCACCACAATGTCCTGCCTCACCAAAAGCAATGGCTCTCCCCAAACCATGGACTAACACCTCCAAAACTGTGAGCCAAAATGTCTTTTCACTTCATAAGCAGATGACCTCAGGTATCTGCTACAGCAACAGAGCTGACTACCATGCCCAGCCGCCCCACGCTGTTGGCTTGGAGCCAAGATGGCCCACACCCAGGTCACTGTCAACCAGGTGGCAGGAGACAGCGCTGGACAGCCCTACCCATGCACACGCCCTCCTCTGAGCCCTGGCCCTTCCCCACCACCCCTGGTCCTTTACCCTGAGTTGCCCAGTAAGGCCCGAGAACCAGGCCTGCACGTAGCGGTTGCTGATGGCAAAGTCGCTGGAGCTCGAGTCAATGATGCGGAGGGGGAACGCCTCGTGCCTGCTGACAGACAGCTTCAGGCCGTGCAGGTAGACACGCACAGAGGAGGGCAGCGTGTGGTGCCCGTCCAGGCCCAGCTGCAGCTGCAGCACGCTCAGGCCCAGGGCTGGCAGGCGGATGGGCACAGACACCTGTGAGCACAAGGCGGGTGAGGAGTCCAGGCTTCTGTCAGGCGTTGGTTACAGGTGGAGCCTGGGATGCTGGTCCTGGGGTACTTGCTTACCAACAAGAGCCTGAACAAGTCCTTGTACCCACGAGAGCCTTTGTCCCCAACTCTGAAAGTGCCCTTCTTGCCCATCAGTCTTTGTCAGTCTCAAATGATACTTGAAAAACTATGAAGTGCTAACCACACAGTAAGTTTTTAATAAAGCTGGGCGTGGTGAGGCATGCCTATAATCCCAGCACCGGAGAGGCTGAGGCAGGAGGATCGTAAGTTTTTGAGGCCAGCCTGAACTACAAATTGACACCCGATCTCCAAACAAACAATAAAAACATTCAATAAATATTTGTGGCCTGGCAGTGCATGCCTGTAATCCCAGCTACTTGGGAAACTGAGGTGGAAAGGTTTGATTCCAGGAGTTCCAGACCAGCCTGGGCAAAACACAAGACCCCATCTCAAATAAAGAAATGATAAATATTTGTTGAACGAATGGATGATGGGATATTTCTACTGTCATTGTCAAACTAACCTTCCACATTTCTTTCAAGGACAGACTTAAACCCCAAGAGTGACTATCTCCTGGACAGCTTCCCTCCCCAGGACACTGTCCCCACCCTGGAGAATATGCAAGGCAACAGCAGAGCAAGGGGAAGCAGGTGTTCATGGGCAGTGAGGCCCCAGGGACAGGCCACTGACAGGCAGAGCCAGCTGAGGCTGGACCACCTGCTGAGCCCAACCTCACCTGGTAGACGTCAGGCACCACGTCAGTGGCAGAGCGCCAGTGCACACTGATCTGCACGGCCAGGGGCTGACCCTCTTCTGAAAGGACTTGCACCCGTGGTGAGTTGACCAACAGGGACACCACACTGAGCCGCTCCTGTTCCAGTGGGTTGAAGAGCACCACAAACCTGTGGGTGGAAGGTGGGCTGACCTAGGAGGCTGCTGCCACGCACCTTGGCAGGGCAAGAGCGACAATCAGGGCTCGAACGTCCGGGGAGGGGTGGTCAGTGTGGGGTAGAAGTGTGCCTGGGAGCCAGAGAGCAGCTCTGCCTCTCTGCACCTGGCCTGGTCTGGCTCACCTGGGTGAGGAATCCAGCTGGATCACTGTGCGCTCAGGCAGGGCATCGTGACTTAAGCGGGTGTCATCCTGGAGTCAGGCGAGCAGGAAGGGAAGAACCATGGTAAGGCTCTGCCTCCTTCCTACCCTGGCCTGTTCTAGACATGGACCACCAGCTGCCCTGGGCACAGAACTCCCACCCCCAGACAGAGAAGGAAAAAGAAAAGTAGCACCCTCAGACAACCGCTCTTGGGATGGCATCACACACACCAAGCAGATCCAGGAGGGGGGCCCACCATTTGAAGGAAGGGTGCCTCAGGGTCAAAGTGGTAGGTCTCCTTGTCTCCCAGCACCAGGTAGTGAGCTGCATTGATTGTGACCTGCTTCAGGCTGACGAGTGAGCGTAGAAGCCTGTGGAGGGGACAGGAGAGGAGACAGGGAGGAGACAGCCAGAGGGAGGCTATCCGCTCTGCGCTCAGCAGCCTCCCCACCGACCAGCCCACACCACACATCCTCTCCTTGGGACAGTGCGGAGCTGCCAGGGGGATTGGAGAGGGCTTGTAGCTACCTGACCCCGTAGTCCACCACTACTGCCTCCTTGGCAGTGCCGGTGATGGCGTCATGGTGCTGGAAGAGCCCTAGGGTGCGCCGAGCTTCTGTCAGGAGGGCGAAGTCAGACAGTGGGTACTGCCCGGCCAGTCCCGAGCGACGGGCGTGAGCCACAGCCAGGCTGAACAGGATCTCTGCCCCCCTGCCCAGAGAGAGAAGTCAGCCGCCTGCCCACTGCACTCTGGGGGCCACCCACACTGTGCAGGCCACATCTCCCTTCCCACCACCCCTCCATCACCTCGGCCGCCTGTCAGTCCAGCCTCTCCCTGAACCCCAAAGGCGGGGAGGTGGAGGTCTCACCGCAGGTGGGCTTCCAGGACTCGGTCCAAGCTCTTGTAGAAAGGCCGGGACGTGTAATAGCCTGTCCAGTAATGGTCCTCGCGGTCGGCATAGGAGAAGAAGTCCCCGCTCAGCACGGGGAAGCCCGGGGGCCGGGCCCCTGGCTCCACCCCTGTCCTCTTGTACAGAGCATCAAAATACTCAGAGAGGGTGCCAAACTGGGCCTGCGGAGACCAAACCCCAAATCCCATCAGCTCCAGAGCCTCTGGGGTCTCCGGCCACCAGTGCTGTAATAGGGTGAGGGTGGGGACAGGGCTCGTCCCCAGCAGCGGGCAGTGAACCGCACACCCTGCCCTCCTGGGCTAAGAAGCTAGGGAGTGGGGAAGAATCCTGCCTGGGACCGTCCGGGACCCTCACAGGGGACCCCTCCCCAGCTCTGCGCCCCTGCGCACCTGCACGTGGAGCTGCGGCTTGCCGTTGAGGAAGTCAAAGAGCCGCTGGTAGTTGAGGAATTGAGCGTCCCACTCCTGGGGCTTGTCATACCGGAAGTCGTCTCCCAGGGGTACCAGAAGGACATTGCTTTGGAACAGCCGGGATTTCTTCCGGTACTGGTCCAGCAGCAGGGCCGCCCTGGAGCAGGAAAGGACACAGGACCAGCAAGAAGTCCCAGGGTTAAAAGATCACTGAAGGGGGGCGGGGTGGCCCCAATAATGTATACACATGTAAGCAAATGTAAAAACTATAAAATAAAATGAAAAAGATAAAAGACCACCGCAGCCAGGCGCCATGGCTCACGCCTGTAATCCCAGCTACCCAGGAGGATCGTGGTTCAAAGCCAGCCTAGACAAATAGTTTGCAAAACCCTATCTTAAAAAAATCCATCACCAAAAAGGGCTGGTGGAGTGGCTCAAGGTGAAGGCCCTGAGTTCAAACCCCAGTCTAAAAAAAATCACTGAGCAAAGCCACTCTGAGACTCAGCCTCTCTGAAACTCACTACTCAGAAGTTGTTTGGCTCAAGGATGGACACCTCTTAGGACAGGAGTCAGGTTCTGGAGGACCCAGTGTTCTGAAGACTGGGGAGCTGTGATCGATGGCTTCCATCCCTGACTCCACTTCTGCTCGGTGACAGCACACAGTCTTCAGTCATCAAACCAACAAACCGTGCTCCCGGCCCTCTGAGTTTTTCTTCTACCTACCTGGCCCTACAGAACAGTTCAGAAACTGCTCACTGGCAGTTCTCTGCCAGCGCCTCGAGTCAGGGGCCCTGCCTGGCATACAGGAGCTGGGGCGGGAGGTGACTGGCAAAGGAAAGACAGAACCACCCTTCTCAGCTGGCCTGGCAGCCCCAGGAGCCGTGTGCATTTATGATGGCCTGTGTGGCAACCCCCAGCGTCACCCACTGACACGGTAAGTTACCACGGGGTGTGTGTGGTGTTAGACTGACTCCAGGGTCTTGCACATGCTACCATTGAGCCACACCCCTACCTCTCATGTCTGCCTTCTGAAGCTGTGTGGAACCCTACATTCCTACCTCATATATCCCATCAGGTTTGGGAAGCCAGGTTCCAAAACTGCAGCTCCATTCTGCCTGCCCTTGAGCCATGCCACGTGGCAGTGACCTTGAGACTCTCTGCGTTGAGATTTCTCCAGGACAGCTCCACGTGGACACAGAGTGGCCTAAGGCAGGTAACTAAATCTCTGCTCTTAGAATAGTGCCTGGCACATGGCAAGAACTAGATAGAAATTTTTTTTTCATCTATATTATGAGTAAAAGTCGATAGAAAAATGGACCTTTTTTTTTTTTTTTTTTTTGGTGGTACTGGGGTTTAGAACTCATGGCCTCATGCCTGCTAGGCAGGCACTCTACCACTTGAGCCACTCTGCCAGCCCTAAAATGGAGCTCCTTAGCACAATTTAGCAGCTCCCTCCTTTTTCTAAGCCAGCTGGCTAAGTGGCACATTCTGGGCCTCGTGGCTCAGTCATTACTCTTACCGGACTGTGCTGGCCCAGCTTGTACCTCTCCATCTTGCTCTCAAGAGAGGACTCCTCAAAGACCACCGCCCCCGACTTGTCCACCCATAGCCTTTCAAAGCAGGAAGTGCGGTCTCTCCCCTGGCTCTTCTCCACCATCTGCGGCCAGCAACACAGGCCACAGCCGGGGCTTTAGGAAAAGCCAAGTGTTCACTTAATCGCCCTGGGTGTACGCCTGCAATCAGCATGGAGATTTCTGGAAACAAAAGACCACTTTTCCAGCTGGTCACATGCTTTACCTCGCACAGCAGCGTGGAAATCTGAGTATGGCTTCATGAAAACCAGTTCAACTTGTTTTCTTTTTTTTTTTCACCCTAGTGTTTTGGAGACAGGGTCTCACTGTGTAGCCCAGACTTGCCTTGCCTCCTACTGCTGGGATTACATGCGTACACCACCACACCCAGCTCAACTGGTTATGGTCTCAAGGGTCTAGCGAAGTCATCCTTTAAAGTTCACTTAACCAGAACACAGTGACACCTTTGGGGGTCCCCTAACTATTCTCTCAAAGGTCTGTTTTCTCAGAGGCTGGAGGCTGTCTGGCACGACTGAGTGGATCTGAACAGGTCCTAGGTCCACAGAACACAGGCTTTGTCAGGCCAACTTTGAGCCAAATGAAGGCCCATTCACTTGAAGTTTGTAAGAAACTGAACCACTTTAAGAGTCGTGGGCTGGTGGAGTGGCTCAAGCGGTACGGCGCCTGCCTAGCAAGCATGAGGCCCTGAGTTCAAGCCCCGGTACCGCAAAAAAGAACTCGTTCACCTCTGAGGGAGTTGACTGACTCTAGCAACGTGTTTGAACACTGGGAAACATACTCACTGGGGGAGAACAAAGGCGTGCTGGGCAAGGTGGTTCTTTAGCACCATTCCAGCTTCCAGGGAGACAGTAAGGAGCCCCTACTGTGGCTGCTGAGGACCTGAACTCACCACCCACGCCCCCCTCCACCTTCCAAAGCAGCTTGTATTATGCAGCGCCCACGTGACAGAGCCGACCAGAGGCCGGGTCTCCTGACTCCGCTGGGCAGCAAAACCAGCAGTGCACGCCCAGGCCAGGACTGAAAACACATACCTGTCTGCCACATTGGCCTCTGTAATGGCCCGGGGTGGCACCTTCCAAGGGCAGTTGATGCGTCCACCGGGCAGTCGTTTGAAATCAAACTGGCAACAGATCTTGGGATCTGGGCCGCACGTGTGGGGGACATCATAGCTGTAGAAGGGCATCATGTGGCAGAAGATGTCTGTGCTGGCGTCCGAATCTACAGGAGACACCCCATGGGTCAGCCACCACAGGCAGCTGGAGAGCTGGGCACAGGGACGTCAGGAGGGCGTAGATCTCTGAGGGCTAACGGTGGCCCTGAGAAGACTGTGTCTGGACTTAGGCCAGAGAGGACGGGCAAGCCAGGGGTCGGAACATGGGGGTCCCAGAGCCTCTAGCTCCTTTGTGGGAGGTACACAGGGGACCCCAGGCCCTTGGGGCAGACAGCAGGCCCTGCAGAGGCCGGAGGTCAGCGTGACCCTCCCCTAACCTGGAGGAGAGAGGCTCTGGCAGTTTACCTTGAAGGACAGGGGTTGGGAGAGGACCTTCTTTCTGATATCCACGCCCCTCCCCAGCGGAGGCCTTACTGCCACGACCCCTCCTCCCCACCTGGCCTTACCCCAGGCCTGCCGCCACATGAACTCCAGGCTGTGGGTGGCAGCAAAGTGCTTCTTGATGACATAGTGGACCCTCTGAATCAGCATGCTGGTCAGGTTGGAGCGGCGCAGCAGGTAAGGCATGGTGGAGCTGTGTCCGAAGGGGTCCACTGCCCAGCCAGAGCGCGGGGCTGCACCTGAGCAGGGCATGGAAGCCAGAGGGCCTGAGCACACTGGGGCCTAGCCTCCAGCCTCCCAGGCACTAGGATCCCAGTTCCTTTCTTGACAGGGAGAGGACGGAGGTCATCACACCAGGCCTCATTAGACTAGAAGGGAAACAACCCCTGCCAATCCCTGTGCCTCGTCACACCTTGCCACACTACTGTGTGCCCAACTACGAGTCTGGACTTACCAAGGTTTCTCTCCAGCCACTGGTGTCCCTCGATGAGTTGGTCAATCAATGCAAAGTAGTGGGAGTTGGCCTCATCTGGCATCACCCAGCCTCCCGTTGCAATCTCCAGCTGTCCATTCCCCACCAGCCTGAGGACAAGGACTTGCACTCAGGTCAGGCAGGGCACCCTCACCCGTTCTGCCAACCAAACGACGCCTGCGTGCCTTGGCCTCACCAGTTCACCCAAACACAGGACCAAGAGCACAAACACCCGCCTTTTCCCTCCAGCCCACCCTGACATTGTCCTGGCGCTGCTTATCTTGGAGCCCCTTCTGTGCTCTTGGGGGGAAGCCCCACGCTTTCACTAGCTCTCCTAACAAACACGGTGACCCTCAAACACCACTCATCGTCTCTGCCGCTGCTCCGTGCCTCTTCCTAGCACCCCGCCAGCCACAGTACGAGGCAAGAACAGCCCACCCAGTCCAGGGCTCGCACGATGGCCGTCACACGCTCCCACACACACACTGCCACCGACCTTCGGACTGCTGCTCTCTTTTGGGCATTGATGTTATCCCACCACTTGGCGAAGAAGGAGACCTCTGCCCACAGGAAGCGTCGCCGGGGGTCCTCCTGCAGCTTGGACACCATGCTGTTGAGGATGTGCTGAGTCTGCTCCGTGTAATACTTGTCAAAGGTCTTGATCCAGCCTGGGGATCAAGGAGGCCACCAGCTTCTTCAACTCCCCCCCCCCACCTTTGCCCTCAGAGGGCCCGCCCCACACACCCTGGCTCCCACACCTGCTGGGCCCTCACCTGGGTCGTTGTGAGAGTGAGGTACCACGAACACCTGCAGGTCTTCGGCGTCCCAGTCGCTGGGGCTGTAGGCGATGTCGAAGCCCTGCCTCCACACACCGCCCTCCACGTTGTCAAACGGCAACTCCTCTGACACGGTTAGCATCTGCCAGGCAGGAAGGCAGCTCAGTGCCCCATCCTGGCCACTGCAGGTCCCTGCCAGCTCTGACCCCTTACCTGCAACTCTGGCTTCTGGCCCCGGCTCCCCAAAGCAAACTGGCAGTCCTGGGGGGAGATGGAGAAGAAGCTGGGCCGGGGCTCCGGGAGCACCGCCCAGGAGCCATTGGCCGTGTGGTAGGGCAGCAGGGCGGGAGGGCCCTCTGCGTTGGCCGTCAGCTCCAGCACGGAGTCTTTGATGTGGCTGATGATCTCATGGTTCTCCTCCAACAGCTGCTCCAGCTGCTCGATGCGATTCTGCAGCACAGAAATCTGGCTCTGCAAAGAAACCAGAAAGCTGTCACCCGCAGCTCCGCACACTACGGGGAGACTCTTTGTTTAGGGCCTACCACCTGAGGTCTGACTGTGACCCCTCTCTTCCCAGTCCAAGCCAGACTGCAAGCCTACAGGGACCAAGTGCTCTGTGCACAGAAAGCTCCATCCACTTGGGTTGGAAGAGCGTCACTCCAGCTCGGACGTGACAGAGTTCATCAATGCGCTCAACTACCTGTGTTCCGTGTCTAGAGCATGGTGCAGAGGACTAAGCTGGGACTGAACGAGAAAGAACGCTGAAATGGACCAATATCCCTCAAGCACTCAGGACAGAATGACAACACACATTGCCATTTTTCTTCCTTTTTTTTTTTTGGTAGGACAGGATTTTGAACTCAGGGCTTTGCGCTCACAAAGCAGGCGCTCTACTGCTTGAGCCACGCCTCCAGTCCATTTTGCTCTGGTTATTTTGGAGTTGGGGGTCTTGTGAACTACTTGACTGGGCTGGCCTCAAACTGCAATCCTCCTAGTCCCCCAAGTAGTTAGGATTACACGTATGAGCCACCGGTGCCCCATTTCTTTCTTTTTGCTATCACTGTTTTTTGCTTCCTACTGGGGCTGGGGGTATAGCTCAATGGTAGAGTGTGTACTTAGCATCCACAGGCCCTGAGTTTGATCCCCAGAACACCCCCCCCAAAAAAAAAGACAAGGAAGAGCTGGGCATGGTGGTCCATGCTGTAATCCCAGCTACTCACAAGGTGGAGACTGAAAGGATCTTGATTCCAAGCCAACTTGGGCAAAAGAGTTAATGAGGCCCCATCTCAAGCAATAAAAACTAGACATGGTGGTGCACTCCTGTTATTCCAGCTTCTCGGGAAGTGTAAATGGCAGAATTGTGTTCCAGGCTGGTCAGAACATAAATGTGAGACTCTATCTCAAAAACAAGCAAAACAAAAAGGGCTGGGGCCATGACTCAAGATGTGGAGACTGGCAATCAATCTAGCAATTGCAAGGCTGAGCTCAAACCCCAGTATTACTCACACAAAAAAACCAAGCAAACAAACTAACAAAAAGCCACGGAAAGAAAACCTGCCTCTTAGAAAGGAATGTTCCTGTCTGGGGTGGACAGACATGGCTCTCCACCCAAGTCCTGGCTACTTCCTATGAAGCGAAGCTGAGCCCTGATTGTTCACACCTGTAATCCTAGCTATTTGGGAGGCAGTGATTGGGGGGGATGTAGGTTCGAGGCCAGCCTGGGCAAATAGTTTGTGAGACCCCTATCTCCAAAATAACTAGAGCAAAATGGACTGGAGGTGTGGCTCAAGCTATACAGCACCTTCATTGGAAGTATGAAGCCCTGAGTTCAAACCCCCAGGCCCACCAAAAAAAAAAAAAGAAGAAAGAAAGTCAGCTCAGCAACCAGGCAAGACTCACCCGGGGAAAGTTCCCACCATTCTGGTGTCTGGTGGGGTCATGCTGCACCCTGTCCAGCATGAGGTAGAGCGAGAAGACTGCTACACAGAAGATGGCAGCTCCACACACCGTCACCTGCTTCTTCAGCTTCATAGTGACCCCCAGACACACCTGCAGGAGGGAAACCGTCTGTTCTGGCATGCCCAGTCCCTTTGGTGGTCTTCCCACACAATGCTCCAGTAAGTGCCCAATGTCTGTTCCCAAGGAGAACTTACTTGCTTGACTCCAGAAAGGGCAAGCATCCCAACACTAGCTGTGACCCTCCCCCAACCCTGATTTGATTATCTTGGCTAAGATCCCAAAAGCACAAGTAAGTACACACCTGGGGCTCCTCCTGCCTGTGCCTGGAAGCTCTGCTCCTAAGACGGAGCTAATGCACCCCCTCAGCCGACGCTGTAAAAAACCGGTAACAATCCCAGCTGTGACCCACAGCTCGCTATACAAACTCCAGATTGCAACCACTTTCCGTGGGGTGTCGGATAGTGCCTGTCTTACTCCTCCTTTCAGATGAATTCACACTGGTCTCTGCTTGACTTAATGATAGAGCAAGAAGCCAAGAAGAAGGGCATGCCTTAGCCCTGTCCTCTTGACCAGACAGGCACTCAGCAGAACAGTGCCTGGCACGGATTCTGTCTTGGTAAGAATGCAGCATGCATTTCTTTAAGAAAGAAAGACGCGGACTGGAGGTGTGGCTCAAGCAGTAGAGTGCTTTGTGAGTATGCAGCCCAGAGTTCAAACCCCAGTCCCACCAAAAAATAAAAAAAGAAAGAAAGACGCTAATGTTTGCAGCACAAAGCCAGTTCTGCACGTTCTCCCTGTCAGTACTCATTCCTGCAGTGCAAAACTTTCAGCCCTGGCTTAGGGAGCACTTAGGGGACCCCTGGGAAGCCAGCAGTGGTACTCAAAGTCCCCTGCGCAGGGTCAGGCCGAGCACAGCTGCTCGGCTGTCAGGCATCCTCAGAGGATCAGTGCCCGCTGCCGCCGCCCGCTGGGCCCCCACTTACCACTTGCCTGCAGGGCGGAGGGAGGACGCGGGCTGTTGAGCCGCGCATGGGCGGGACCGCGGCGGTTCGCGGGCCCTGCGGCCGAAGAGCTCTGTCACCTCTGCGTTGTGTCCTACTTAGCGCGATCTGATCGCGCTCGGGAGCCTTGGGCAGTATTTTTAGCTCTGGGATGCTGGGTCCCGGCCAAAGTGGGCGGAGCTGGGGAGCGAGAGTTGGATCGCAGCAGGACAGGCACCTGCCGCCGGGTCTGCCACGGGCCCAACCCCCCTCCCGGCCTCCCCGGCCATCCACCCCCACCCGCGCTGGCGCCCCGCAACGACTGCACACCAGGCCGGGCCTCGCGCCCCGCGCGCGCCGCTCGCGCTCCTGTCGCCCAATCCCGTCCCCAGCCAGGGCAGCTGGCGTCCTCCCCCGCGGCCGCATGGCCCGTTACCGTCCACGGCCGGCCTCTCCGCGTCGCTCGGGGGCCCCCACCGGCCGATCCACCGCTCCTCACATCCCCGGGGACCGCAGGCCAAAAGACGGACGTCCGCCCCGCCGTCGTCCCCGGCTTGGCGCACCGCGGCCGCGCTCCCGCGGGGCCAGGGCCACCAGCGCGCTCCCCTGCGCCCGGCCCGCGCCCGTCTTCCTGCCTCCCGCGGCCGCCAGGCCGAGCAGCGTGCGGGGCGGGACAGCGCGCCGCGCCCCCTCGCGCCCGCCCCGCCGTGCGCCCCGCGCGCCCGCCCGCCCCGGCCCGGCCCGGGCCCGGCCCGGTCAGACCTGGGCCCTGCTGTCCGCGCTGCAGACCCCGGGCGGCTGCGGGGCCGCACTGCGCAGCCGCCGATCCCCGGGTGGGGCGCGCAACTTTTCCCTGAATCTTCCTGGAGTGGACCAGACTAGTGGCGATCGCGCATCGCTCGGCCCCGGGGGCCTCGGATTTCCGGAGCGAAGATGTCTGGGCAAAAGGGGGTGATGCCTCCAGATGGTGCCACGTGTTAACCGAGATCCCTTTCCGCGACCCTCTGGTTCCTGCCACTCCGGACATAGGGTCGCTCCTTTTCCTGGGCATCTCTGTTATACATATTTTCATATATACATACATATATGTGATTGTATCATAATACAATTATGATTATAATATATATACATATATATGATTGTATTATATAATATAAATAATTTAATAAATATATAATAATAGAATACATATAAATACAATAGAATATTATATATAGTATTATAATACAATATATAATGATATATATATTTTTTTTTTTTTTTTTTTGCGGGACTAGGGTTTGAACTCAGGACCTACTCCTTGAGCCACTCCATCAACCCTTTTTTGTGATGGGTTTTTCAAGATAGAGGTCTCTCAAACTATTTTCCCCGGGCTGGTTTCCAACGTGATTCTCCTGATCTCTGCCTCCTGAGTAGCTGGGATTATAGATGTGAGCCACCAGCACCTGGCTGCTGCTTGATGAATTTTAATAAATGTATGGGCTGTTGATACAGCTCAGTGCTAGAGTGCTTGTCTAGCATGTGCAAGGCCTTGGGTTCGATCCCCAGTACCACACACACACACACACACACACACAAATGTATACACAAGTACAACCATCACCCAGGTCAAAACAAGAGCATTCCTGTTTCCCCCAGAGGCTTTCCTCTGTCAAGTTGGGGTGGCTAAAAGGGCCATGAGGCTGCTCTTGCAGCTGTGAGGTGGCCTGCCATACTTACAGACTCGACCACTTAGGATACAGCAAGCCCAAGTGGACCCAGACAGCAAAACTAGCATGGTGCCAGCTTCTGTTGGAAGTGTTGTAAGAACCTTTGTTATAGCTCCACAGGACAGCACTAGCCCTGAGGGACCCAATAACAGAAGGCATGGGTGGCACTCTGTGACTGAGAGCCATCAGGCAGTTTCCTGATCCGTAGCTGCACACAAGGAAAGGAAGGGACTAGGAGGAGAGCCCCGTGCACGGCTGAACTCGGAAGATGTGAAGTGGCTGGGCGCAGTCTCCCTCCAGGTAGGGGGCTCCTCCCCCAGCTGCTGGCCTCCCCTTGCTCGAGGAGGAATCGCAGTGCGTTCTGACACTTGGTCACGCTGTGGTCCAACCTCAGCTACGCAGTCATAGGAAGCCATTCAAGGTGGCCAGAGAGCTGTCATGGCTGTTTCCTACACGTGCATCCCACCGTTCCCCCAGTCTTTCAGGTGTCTATCTCAGGACGGTTTTCAGGAGTGCAGGACACCCCATCAGACCTCACGGCCATGGCACCGTTCGTTTCTCTGAAGCAACATCAGATGACCCGGCTCATTTGGAAGCCAGCTCCCCATTCAGAGCCAAGCCAGCCGCGTCCCAGATTCCACAGGGAACCAGCCTTAGCACACCCCCACCCCGCGCTGTCCCCCCAAGGAAGACACAATGCCCTCCCTTTCCGGGCTCACTGGGCCAAGAACAGTGAGAGGTGTTGGCAAACAGCCAGACATGGTGGTTCGTGCCTACAATCTCAACTGCGCAGGAGGCATAGGTAGGAGGATCAAGGTCCCTGGCAAAGCATAAGACCCTATCTGTAAAAACGAAAGCAGAAAGGGCTGGGGCTTGGCTCAAAACTTGAGTTCAAACCCCAGTACCACCAAAAGAGGTGTTGGCAACCACACAGACGACAGACGCCACCCTGACCAGTACTGTGACTGTCTGTCACCTCTCGTCCTATAGTTTATTCTGCAGAGGAGTAAGAGAACCACAGTTAGAAACCACACACACGCACGCTTTGCCGACACACGCTCCAGTGGCCTAACTTCCTGGAGGGGCATGAGAGGAAAGGAAGAGTGAGAAGGATTAAACATGAGGCTTGAGTCTCTCACAGCCAGTCAGGACCTCTTCTCCCCACCCCAGCCTTAAAGACAGACATCTTTCTAAGCGATGGGACCAATCACATTTAGAGTCTACACTGCCTGGCTTAAGTGTGCTCCGCTGGGAGCCGAGTGTAGGCTGACCACTTATTTCTTTTATTATCTTCTTTAAGAGACCACTCCGTGGGCTGGCAAAGTGGCTCAAGTGGCAGAACTACTGCCCTGCAAGCTGGAGTTCAAACCACAGTGGTGGAGGAAGAAAGCTTCATTCTGTGTGTCTTTTTTCCTCTCCAGGACTAGGGGTTTTGTTTGTTTGTTTGCAGTACTGTGGTTTGAACTCAGGGCCTCACATTTGCCACTCACTTGAGCCACTCTGCCAGCCTTTTTTGTATTTGGCATTTTTGAGATGGAGTCCTGTGAACTATTTGCACAGGCTGGCTTCAAACCCTGATCCTCCTGATCTCTGCCTCCTGAGTAGCTGGGATTACAGGCATGAGCCACTGGCGCCTGGCTCAAGACCATGGTTTGAACTTAGGGCTTCATGCTTGTGAGACAGGTGCTCTACTGCTTGAGCCACACCTCCAGCTCTTTTTGCTCTGGTTATTTTGGAAATAGGGTTTCACTTTTTACTTTTTGGATTGTGATCCTGTTTTTGTTTTTGGTTTTTTGGGTTTTTTTTTTTTTTGCAGTAGTAGGGTTTGAAGTCAAGGCCAACACGTCAAGCCACTCCACCACCCCTTTTTTGTGATGGGTTTTTTTAAGATAGGGTCTTGCAGAACTATTTGCTCAGGCTGACTTCGAACCTCTATCCTCCTGATCTCTGCCACTTGAGTAGCTGGGATTACAGGCGTGAGCCACTGGCACTGGGCTCAGTCCATGTTTTGATGTTAACACCGCCACCTGTTGGTGACACAGAGCATGAACTATCCAGTTCATTTCCCAAGTTGTTCCCCACTGCTGAGTGAGTACTTTTGGTTACGACAAAGGCGTCCCCCTTGTCGGACTGGCTGTGTCTGGATACTCCACATGTGTCATGTCATCCACTTAGGACTCTGACGGCACGCTCACATCCACTATGGAGATCAGAATTTCTGCGCCATTCCTGGAGAAAACTATTGAATGTGGTCGGTGTCCGACGTCACCCTCAAGAGGGAAGCAGGAGAACTGGTGGAGTGGCTTGAGTGGTAGAGCGCTGCCTAGCAAGCATGAGGCCTTGAGTTCAAACCCCAGTGCTGACAGAGAGAGAGAGAGAGAGAGAGAGAGAGGAGGCTCAGCTAGACCAGCCAGCTTTCATGCCCACACTTGGTGCCTGGAGCTCTTTGCCATTCAGTTGTGGAACTGGAACCCAGGCTTGTTTTTGTTGTAGCCCTGGCTAGCCACCATGTCCTGTGTGACAGTGACTGTGGTTTTACTGGAGCAGCATAGCTCTGACCAGGTCATTGGCTCCACTGAAGTTTATGGTCAAAGGGTTCTTTTCCACAGGCAGTCCCACTGGACGTGTCATAATGTGGGGACACGGCCATTTAGTTATCTTGCTACCAGCCACAGAATGCCAGCCCACCGGTCACTGCTCATAAGCCAATGAAAATGAGCAAGGTGTGTCGTGAGAGGTGCATTTCAGTCCAAGCAGCACAGCCTGCCTCCGCTCAATGGAGGGAGTACCCTTTTCTGTGCACAGGTTATTTTATTTGTTTGTTTGTTTGTTTGTTTTGATGGGACTGGAGTTTGAACTCAGGGCTTTGCATTTGCAAACGGGGGCACCGTATCGCTTGAGCCACGCCTTCAGTATATGTGTGTGGTTTAAACTGCTCCCTCTGTGGCTGCATAGCAGCTGTTCATCCTACTCCACTGGCCATCAGCTCAGCTGATCAGTCCTTCAACCAGGTCCTGGTTCTCAGGGGCTTCAGTGTATTGAGGACTCCAAAACCCCAAGGTGCAGCCAGGTGTCGTGACTCACACCTGCAGTCCTCTAGCTACTCTAGAGATAGAGATGGGGATGGAGGCCAGCTCAGGTAAAATGTTAGTAAGACCCCATCTCAATCAACAAACCAGGTGTGGTGCTACCCGTCTGTCATCCTAGCCGTGAGGGAGGCATAGGAACAAGGATCCCAGTCTGAGGCCAGCTCCAGGCAAAATTACAAGCCTTACCTGAAATATAAAGAATGCAAAAGAGGAATTGGGGATATGGCTTAAGTGGTATATATAGAGAGACTTCCTCTTAGGCAGAACCTCTTTCCTCTTTGATGATCTCCTGGCATAAGTTCCCCCTACGGTGGCCTGTGGTACCTCGCCTTGCCCTTTCCCAAGACTTCCACAATGGGAAGCTTATTGCCAGACACCGGAACAGTTTCCTGAGAACTACAGGAGACCCCCCTTTGCCTCCATCCATGTGCAGACCGATGGGAGAACGGTTTTATCACCTGGACCCTCACGATCTCCACGATGAACCCAGCTGAGGTCACAGTGGACTAAAGGTGACAGCGTTCCCAGTACCAACACAGTTTCATCCCAGCTGTGAAGACCCACTGCAATGATTCCTCATTTCCCTTTCATTTTCTCCTCCATATCTGTGGTGTCTGTTGTGGTGGCCAAAATGTTTTGGAGCAAAGGGTCATCTGTTCAGTCAGTGAGTGACTTCCGTTCCTTCTCAGTCAGCAGAACTCATGTGACAGTTGGAAACTGTTTCCGTAGTTTCACCGGAAACCACAGAACAAGCTCCAGATCCCTCTCTTGTTCCTCTTTTCTTGCTCCTTATAAGCATGGGTCTCAATACACTTTCTTTTTCTCAGTCATGGGTTTGAACTCAAGGCTTCACACTTCCGAGGCAGACGCTCCTACTGCTTGAGCTACACTTGCAGCCCTTTTTGCTCTGGCTCTTTTGGAGATATGGTCTCCTTTTATGCCAAGGTCTGGACTGCAATCCTCCTATTTTACATTTCTGGCTGTCACTGGGATGACAGGCCCACACCACGATGCCCAGCTATTTTCCATTGAGATGGGGTCTTCAAAAACTTTTTTGTCTCAGTGACCTGAAACTGCGATCTTCTGATCTCAGCCTCCTAAGTAGCTAGGGTTACAGGTGTGAGCCACCAGCACCCGGCTCAGGTTAGCTCTTCAGCCTCCTGTATATCTACCCACATTCAAACTCGAAAATCAAATGAGGGAGGGACACTAAGTCTGATCAGCAGTCATATCGCTAACCAGCAAATGCCCCTGGGAAGAAAATAGCCGCCATTCGCCAGCTCATCTTGAAGGGTGCTTTTCTCCTTCAGATTTTAGTTCATTCACTCCAGATCTTTTCCACCACTCTCTATTCTCTTGAAAAAATAAGATTTTCTTAGCCTTGTGTGGTGACACAAGTCTGTAATCCCAGCACTGGGAAGGCTGAGGCAGGAAGATCTTGAGTCACAGGCCCAGCCTTGGCTACCTAGTGAGTTCAAGGCCAATCTGGGCCACATAATTTTAACAAATCAAAAGAAAAAAAGATGATCTCTATCTATCTTATTTGTCTTTTCCTGGCTGTTGCAATAGGGGGTGAGGGATGAGGTGCCTTCAGGGACCTGCCACAATCTACTCACCTACAGAAGCTCTGTTTTCAAACTGTTCCCCAGAGATAGCATTTCACTCAGTATTTTCATTTCCAAACACTATAACTTGATTTCCTCTTTTTTCGAGGGTGGGGTGGGGAGGAGGGAACCCAGGACCTCCCCCCGCACACTAGGCCAATGCTCTACCACTGAACCACACTCCAGCCCTACTTCACGGTTCTTTTTTAGCAGCGCTGGAGCTTGAACTCAGGGCCTCATGCTTGCTTGGCAGATGCTTTACTACTTGAGCCGCTCTATCAGACTGTTTTTTTTTTTTTTGGCAGTACTGGGGTTTGAACTCAGGGCCTACACCTTGAGCCACTCTGCCAGTCCTTTTTGTGTTGGGTTTTTTTGAGATAGGGTCTTGTGAACTATTTGCCCCAGGTTGGCTTCGAACCACGATCCTCCTGATTTCTGCCTCCTGAGTAGCTAGGATTATGGGCGTGACCCCACAGTACCTGGCTATCCTCCTGACTTTTATGTGATAGTAACAGTGGTACACATACATGTGACAGCTACTTCCTGACATCTCTAAGCCAATTGTTTTCACACCTCTGGCTCCAGCCTGTCCTTCATCTGGGCTTCTTCCCACTTTTTATCCCCACGGGCCCTCAAAAGCACCATCTCCAAACTCCCCATCATGGCAGCTCTGTTCCTGTCCTGTGATTCTGTTCCAGGGAACGACGCCACTTCTGGCCACAGCCTGCATAGCACCCCCAGCTCCCAGCGGCCCAGCATCTCACACCTGGCCCTGCCAGATGATGTCAGCTCTGCCCAGTGAGGACTACCTGCCACCCCTTCCTCCGGCCATCACACGGGCCCTGCCTGCCTTCCAGGACCTGCCCTCTGGAGGAGCGCACATGCCAAGGACACCGATGGGCACACGTGGTTTTATTATTTCCGCCTGGAACAGGAACGCAGGGCCACCACAGGGCTGCACCCTGCCAGCAGCACGGCCACAGGCTGGACCTGGACAGCACAGGACTTGCAGCAATTGGGGCAAGCATGAGTAGCTGAGGAGGCCCACTCTTGCCTGCGGAGGCGGTCCCCGCCTCACCGGTGACGCTTTCGGATGCTCTGTAGTTCCTGCAAGATGGCGCTGAAGGTGGGTCGCTGTCCAGGATCGTAAGCCCAGCACTGCTCCATCAGTCGAAAGACCGCGTCGGGGCACAGGTCTGGGCAGGGCAGGCGGCCACCTGTGAGGACAAGCACAGTGCCCCAGGCATGAGGAGGGAGGCTAAGCAACAATTGCAGCTTAAGATGCACTGTCTCAGTCAAGCGTGGTGGCTCACATCTGTAATCCTAGCTACTCAGGACGTAGAGATCAGGCAGGATCACGGTTCGAAGCCAGCCTCATGCAAATAGTTTGTGGGATCCTATCACGAAAAACCCATCACAAAAAAAGGGCTGGTGGAGTGGCTCAAGTGGTAGAGCACCTGTCTAGCAAGCGTGAGGCTCTGAGTTCAAACCCTACTGCCGCCATAAAAGAAAAAGAAAAAAAGATGCAAGATGAACTGACTCCAAGGAGGAGCCAACTCTTAAACCCCAAGGACCCCAAGCCAGAAGCTTGGGTTCCAGTCTCCACTCCACTGTGTGCTCTGTGTGTGACCTCTGCAAACCTCAGTTTTTCCATCTGCAAAAGGGGCACAATCCTGGCCTTATATATGGCGACTAGTAAATAAAACAAGCAGGAATTCCACTCCGGAAAGGTTGAGGGGGCTAAGGAAGGAGGCAAGGTCCAGCCGGAGCACGGAGAAAGGAGTGGCCCCAAAGCCAATGCCACACGTGGCCCTGCCTTACCCTTTTCCACGAACTCCCGCGTTTGCTGATTGGTGAGGCTGGGGTAGGGTGAGGCACCCAGGCTAAAGGTTTCCCAGAGCAAGATACCAAAGCTCCACACATCACTCTCGGAGGAGTAGCGACCTGTCGAGGAGGAGGCAGCTGTCCACACCCACAGTCCCACAGGCCACCCACACCAGCCCCTGGCCCTGCAGCCCAGTGTGCACCAGAACCACGTACCATAGTTCAGGGCCTCGGGTGCGGTCCACTTCACGGGGACTTGTCTGAGGCCCCCGGAGGCTGCATAGATGCCATCAGCTTCCTCTCGGGACATCCCAAAGTCACTTATCTTCAAGACATTCTTCTCTGTCACTAGACAGTTCCGAGCAGCCAGGTCCCTGAGAGAAGCAAGGAAGGAATCTCCTTTGGTCAATGTCACCTGACCAGCTTGGGCCACGCACTCTAGACAAAGTCAAGAACAAAAGCTGCCCTCCTTGCCCTGGGTCTATCAGGAGAGGCCAACTCCACTTCTAGAGGCGGAGTGATGGCTGATGATGAGCGAGGCCGCGAGGGAGGGAGTGACACTGGGGGGGACAGCCCCTCCTGGCTGTGGCGGGGCCATGGGGCCTGGGGCACACTCACCGGTGGATGCAACACTTGCTGTCTAAGTACTCCATGCCTGCAGCTGCGTCCCTAACCATGTGCAGCAGTGTCTTCACCCGCAGGCGGGCTCCCTCTGTCCGCAGGAAGGTCAGGAAGTCGCCCCCTGGAGGTGAGGTATGTGAGGACAGTCCTGAGCCTCCTGGTGGAGGACCGCGCTGAGCTCCCCACCCTGGAGCGAGCGCCTCCGCTCACCTTGCACAAGTTCCATGACGATGTAGATGGGCTGTTTCTGCGTGCAGACGCCGATGAGACGCACGATGTTGGGATGGCTGTATTGCTTTAGGATCCTGTAGGGTTCTGCTTAGGCTCTGTGGGGCCTGGGCCCACCGCCTGCCACCCGCCTCCCTCCAGGACCCCCAGGGGAGAAGAGCTTGGCCTGTGGAAGCCAGGAGCCTTGGATGGACATGTGACCTTGGGTGGGGCCCTGGTCACCACCCAGGTGAGAGGGAGCACGGAGAATTAAACCACACCACTGGCCTTGCTCAGAGGGACCCTTTCATGTGTGGAGCCTTTGGTCACCACGAACTTCGCACCCACCTGGCTTCTTGTAGAAACCTGGCCTTGAGGTCGAGTGGCAGTGTCTCCCGACAAGACTTCACAGCCACAAGGGTGTTGTCTGCTTTCAGACGTCCGCTGAACACTTCACCAAAATTCCCCTGAAATGGTCTCAGGTTCCCATCAAGGCTTCCCGAGAGACCGCCCACCTTCCTCCCCACACCCGTGCTCCCTCGTAGAGAACTGAGCGGGTAGACACGGTAAGTGACCTGGCTGGGCCACATTCTCTGAGAGAAGTGACAAGAAAAATCCAGAAATCACTTTGTCTTTGAAAAGCATTCTGACTTTTAGGAGGGTGACTCCCTTCCTAAGCAGGTATTTATTCTGCAGCTCACATTAATGGAGTGTGTCACCCATGCACACACAGCAGCCCTGAGGAGGCAGAAGCTAGGATGGGGTGAGGTGGGGTGCTAGCCTCAGAGCTGTCTTCTGGGAGTTTTGGGGTGAGGACTCTTGGAGTCCAGGGGCACAAGTTGGGACTCAGACAGAGGCAAGGCAAGGAGGCTGAACTGGTTGTGGATGGGAGGAAGTGAGCGGGGAGGGCAGAGGCAGGCTGTCAGGAGCCTGGCAGAGCCTGGCCCGTGGAAGACACTCACCCGCCCAATCTGCTCCCCCAATACCAGGTCCTCATGGTTTAGCACCCACTTGTCCTGGGGAAGAGGGATTAGGTAGTCAGAAGTCAGCAAAAGGAAGGGTTTGAGACCTGCCCAGGGCTAAACAGCTCTCCCACCAACAAGGTCTTTCTTTTCTTGGAGCCTCAGTGTCTCATTTGTCTAACAGGGTTGGCCCATTCAAGATCACATTCAGACGACTCAGAAACTACCACCCTAGTATGCATGGCCCATGGATGGGAGTGGCCTTGACATTCCAAATCTAGGATACTGGCCACGTTGTTGAGAGAGACTCAGGCATATAGGAACCCCTTCCTGCTCTGATGAGAGGAGGTACTGACCCATGGTCCCCAAGCCCAGCACTGGCATCACAGGCCAGGCTGGGCACAGGCTCACCTTGGGCACGGCCCTGTACAGGATAACACCACTCTTCTTGGTGAGGGGTTGCTGGGAGGTCAGCAGATGGTCAATGAGCAAGGGGATGCTGGGGAAACCATCCCCTTCCAGCCGGTACAGGTTCTGCGGGGTGGGGAGAATCTGGAGTCAGCAGCCACCATTGCAGAAAAGGCTCCTGTGAATGGCGCACTCAACTCTGCTACCCTCTTTCCTTTTTTTTTTTTTTTTTTGTGGTGCTGGGGTTTGAACTCAGGGCCTATACCTTGAGCCACTCCACCAGCCCATTTTTGTGATGGGTTTTTTTCAAGCTAGGGTCTCTAGAACTATTTGCCCAGTCTGGCTTTGAACCTCGATCCTCCTGATCTCTGCCTCCTGAGTAGCTAGGATTACAGGCGTGAGCCACTGGTGCCTGGCTGCTACCCTCTTTGTTAGGGAGGACCCCCGCCATAGCATTTGTTGTATTACAGGGACTTGGGTGGTCTCTGTGGCTCCCTCCAGCTGGGCTAGGGAGGAGTTATCTAAGACATATCAGCTATCCCTACCCTCAAGGTCATTCCCTTGGGGGAGGGGGAGGGAAAGGAGGAACAGGGGCCCCAAAGGCTGGGGTCTTGGCCCTACTCACATCTGTGGACTGGATGATGAAGTGGCGGGGCAGGCCGTCCCACAGCACGGACAGCACGTACTCTTGCTTGCCCTGGCTCTCCCGAACCAGGAAGTCTCCGGAGTGTGTCAGCAGCTCAGCCACCTCCGCCCTCGGGATGGCCCCATGGTACCACAGCTGCTCCTGCAGAGGCTTCTGCACCTCTGGAACGAGCTGCAGCGGTGGGGGGAGCTGGGCGGGGATGAGGGAGAAGAGTGTAAGGGTCACTTGACCTCGTGGGAGGCCACTGGGCCAGCAGGGATCTCCTCCATTCCCATAAGCCCTCAGTCCTATGACCACCCAGGTGGTACACAGAACCTTCCTCAGGCGCCTGGAGAAGGCAGTGGCCTGACCCAGGCTCACTCTGGGCAGAGCATGGATGGGAGGCTTGGGCTGGCCGATCCCAGCCAGGCTGGTGCCTTGTCCTCCAGGACACAGGGCCTAACCACTGCCAGACAAGATGAGACAGGACAAAGTCTGCTGGTCCCTGTAGGGCAGAAGGGTGAGGGGCAGGAAGAGGGCACAGGGTAGAATCCTAAGGAAGGGGGATACCCTAATAAAAGTAGCCCGGGCAGGGCCACCTCTTCAGGGCATCACCAGGATGCAACACGGAACACCAAGGTAGGAGAGTGGGGAGGAGGCTTGAGGCACCTGGCATGGCCCACGTCTTAGGGATGGGCAGAAGTTCAGGCTCAGCCTGGGCACCACTCACCGAGAACTTGGGGCGGAAGATTCCAGAGAAGTGGCTCTTAAGGACTTCCAGCGTGGGCGTCCTTCCCCCCTCTCGCTCCTGCTCCTGAGGCCAGGGACAGACGTCAGCGGGTGGCCAGGCTTGGGGAGGGGGAGGGCAAAAATGAGGAGCACAGCCCCTGCGGGCACGCATGGCTGGCAGGCAGGCAAGGGCTGTGGAATGTTACTCACCGAGGATGAGGTGGAGTGGCGGTCATCTTGCAGGAGCAGCACGGCCGGGGGCTCCCCGGGGCCCAGCTGCTCCAGCTTGGTCTGCAGCAGCTCCTGCTGGGCCTGCAGCTTGGCCTGGCTGCACAATGCTACCTGTAGCCCCTGCAGTGCCTCCTGCAGTGCCTGCCTCTTGCCCAGCAGCTGCACCCTGCAGGCAGGGGGCAGTGGGTGGATGGAGAGAGACAAGGGCTCAGTCTGCAACCAGCAGGCAGCAGCTGGTGGGGTAGGCAGGTTGGAGGGGGCAGGAGGCTGCTGCAGGTGGTGCCCGCTCACCGCTCCCGGGGGTGGGTGTTCTGCTCCTCATTCCGGAGCTCACGCTGCAGCTGACTGACCACCTCCTGCCGGCTCAGCACTGCCTCGGTGGCCACAGTCAGTTCATCTGTCACGAAGGTCATCCTGCGTGCAAGAGAAGGGCCGTGTAACCTCACGCACCCCTGCAGAGCCAAGCAAGCAGAGTTCACTTCCGCCCACACTGACTTCCCCAGGAGTCTGCCCTGGCCTGAGGGCCAAGCCACCACGCACGTGTGTTGCACACTTTCCACTGTCAACTCGTTCAGCTGCAGCTCCCCAGGCTCCAGCTGTTCACCCTCCTCAAGCAGGGACTCATCAAAGGTGACACAGGGTGGGACGTCAGGGGCAGACCTGTGGGTAGACAGGGCGGTCAGTGAACAGCCCAGACACCCTGGTGCACAGCAGATGCAAGGACTGGCTTACCCGTACTGACGCAGGAAGCCTTGGTACTCGGTCTCAGGCTGGATGCGGGTAGCAGCTGCAGCCATCTCCTGGTGAATGGCTACCATCTCGTCCTGCACCAGGCTGCTAATCTCCAAGTATTCCTGCAGGATCTCCTTCCTGCTCCCCAGCCCCAATAAGACCCCCAGTCAGGGAGCCTCAGGCTGGGTAAGGCAGGCAGCTCAGCCTGGAGGCTGGTCCTGCTTTGACCTCCCACCTCGTCTCAACTGTTAGGACAGGGCCTTTGGCGATCACATCCACTTCCTGGTCGGTCAACAAGCTAAAGCCAAGTCTACCATTTAGGTGCTCCAGGCTAAACCCTGCTCTATCTTACCCCAACTTCTGCTCCATGGTCAAAACATACCTGGGACCTGACGACTTCCAGCCTGCATTGCTACTCTGGTCCAAGTGGGCAACACCTGTGCTCTGGATTGCTGCAAGAGCCTCCTCTCTGGCCTCCCTGACTCTGTCCTGGTCCCTAAAGTCAACTCTCTACACAGCAGCCATAGCCGCCTCGTTTAGACAGAGGTCAGGTCATGTCACCCTTCTTCCTTACACTGTCCTGTTGGAAGCTCTGTCAGTGAGCACTCCTCACCCTGTCCCTGACTCCTCCAGCCATGTTTGCCTCTCCCCTTCCCTTGAGGGACTCCTAGCTACTCCCCGATGCTCTCCTGGGCACCGCAGCACCTGTGCACTTTCGTTTCTTCTTTCAGGAACAGGTCTTTCTCCAGATAGCCTCTCACCTCTCTGGGGACTGTTTGGACATTGTCTTCTCAGAGGGGCTGTCCCAGGCATGCTGTTAAAGCTAACTTTGCCCCTCAGCCCCTTTTCTTGCTTTATTCTTGGCCCTTGCACTCAGCCTTCTGATCACTTAGTAACTTGTGTGTGAATGTGGGGCTGGGGTTTGAACTCAGGACTTCGAGCTCGTAAAGCTGGCTACCCTTGAGACACACCTCTTAGTCCATTTTGCTCTGCTTATTTTGGAGATGGGGTCTTGTGAACTCTTTGCCTCAAACTGTGATCCTCCCAATCTTAGCCTCCTGAGTAGCTAGGATTTCAGGCGAGGGCCACCAGTGCCTGGCACTTAACTTTCTTTCCTCCCTCCACTCACATGGACGATTCCCAAGGACAGACTTTTTTGTCTGCATTCTTCTCCATCTGCTCTATCCCAGAACTTAAAATGGTGTCCAGTGAATGTTAGAAAACCCTACAATAGGAGCCCCGGAATAATGCGATTTGGATGGAGGTCGGCTGGTTCTCGGGACCTTGGCCCAGGACCCCTTCTCAGGATTACAGGGCAACACCTGTATCAGACTGAATTGTCAAGGCCCTACCTCTAGGCCTAGCAGTGGGGCTGGGGGATGTTGGGGGGCGGGGCAGGCCGCTAGGGGCGGGGCAGGCTGCAGGGGGCGGGGCAGGCTGCTGTGGGCGGGGCAGGGTGCAGGGCAGGCTGCTGTGGGCGGGGCAGGCCGCTAGGGGCGGGGCAGGGTGCAGAGGGCGGGGCAGGGTGCAGGGGGCGGGGCAGGCCGCGAGGGGCGGGGCAGGGCGGGCTTACAGGACGCGCACCATCTCCTCGTGCAACTCCTGCAGTGATTGCAGCAGGCCGGGCAGCATGAGCTGGTGGTGGTGCTGGTGGTGCAGCTGCGCGGCCCGCACCCCCAGCACGTAGCGGTTGTGATGGGCAAACAGCTTCCACAGGCTGCGCACATACTTGTCCCTGGCCTTGTCCCGGTCCTTGTCTGCAGGTGGGAGGTGTGCAGGTGTATACATGGGCCAGCACAAAGGGCCCGCAACCCCACTCCCTGGATTCCTGAGGATAGTTCGGACAGGTGGGCACTGGCTGGGGACTCCCCCGTCAGCAAGCCAAGCCACAAACCTTTGCTGGCCTCTTGGTACTTGCGCCTGGCCTGGGCGCTGTCCCGTGCCAGGGCTCGGTACTGGCTCTTCAACTTCTCAATGTCTTGGCTGTGGGTCTGGGGACAGAGCAGTGACCCAAGCATCGGAGGGGAGATTCCCACCCAAGGTGAAAGCCTCTGCCCTCCAAGTGGGCAGCACATCCAGGCCTGCCCTTCTAGAAGAATCTGGAAACTTCTGGGGAAGCTGGCTCCTAAGGTTAGGTCAGCGGCTGAGTTATAGAAAGGAGGCACGGGAAGGCCACAAAAGTGTCTTTCCATGGCCAGAGAGCCATGTATCCCGGTGGCAGCTAGGGCCAGCTTCAGTGTGTGCAGCCTGTGCGGGCACGCGGGGCTCCCCATGCAGAAAGGCCTTGGGCTTGCTTTTATGGTCTACTGTCTCCATATTGAAATCCTTCATGACTTCTTAACAAGGGGTCCACATTTTCATTTTGCACTGGGCCCTGCAAATTACATTCCTGGGAGATGGGAACCCAAAACCAGAGTTCTCACCCCAGTCCTGTTTAGGTGCTAGGATCCGTTGGGAAAGCTCCATGCTGCTCCTTTGAGTCTCAGTGTCCCAATCTTTAACTGAGCTAAATGCACAGACTTGACTGTTCTTCTTAAAAGGTCAGTTAGTGAATGTTTTAGGCCTGTAGGCCACAGGGTCTCTGTCATAATTACCCCCACTGTGTTATTGTAGCTGTCTAGTCGCCATAAATGATGTGAAAGCAAATGGGCTTGCCTGTGATCCAATAAAACTCATCTATAAAAATGGGCAGACTAACCGGGCGCTGGTGGCTCACACCTGCAATTCCAGCTACTCGGGAGGTGGTGATCGGGAGTATTGTGGTTCAAGACCAGCGTAGGTAAAAAGTTATACGCAATCTACGTGGAAGGTATAAATAAGATGCTAGTAGTCCAAATAATTAGAGCAAAAAGGGCTGGAGATACGGCTCAAGTGGCAGAATGCCTGCTTATCAAGTGCAAGGTCCTGAGTTCAATCCCCAGGACTGCCAAAACCAAAACAAAATAACCCACTTCAGCACCTGAAATTTATAGGACTGGGTGTGTGGCTCCAGTGATAGAGTGCTTCCCTGCCTAGCATAGAGACAGCTGAGCTAGGCCCTTGGTTCAATGAGGAAAAAGAGTGATGCTGAGTCAGCCACCAGGGGTCACTGTGGGCCCGCGGGCTCTGCATAGTGGAAGGGGTGTGGCGCGACGGCCGACCAGCACAGCAAATGGGCAGTGAAGCTCCAAGCTCAGCCTATAATTGAGGAACTGCTGGAATTGCGACCTAGACTTCACCCCCACCCCGTCAGGGGCCCCCTGCTGCTGTCCTGTCTCAGCACTGGGGAGGAATCACCCTAGATCAAAAGGCAAACAGACTGACCCTCGTTCCTCTGCCTCTCAGACCCCAGAGCCAAGCAGCGAGGCAGCACCCAGATCTGAGCTCCTCCAAGGCCATGTCAACCTCACCCATCCTGCATGCCCAGCTCTCTGCCCAGGCAAGGACAATGCATGGACGGACAGGCCCCGCAGTCTGCCAGCACAAGTGGGGAGCAGGAAGGGAGGAAGCTGCAGCAGAGCCGGACAGGCCGTCCTGGTGCCAGGCCTGCGGTCAGGAACTTCCACTTCCCCAGTGAATCCAAGGAGGCTCTTGTGCAAAACCACTTTTTTTTTTTTTTTTTTAAGGCTCCATATTGTGCCAGAAATGGCGGAAACCTGGCTGCGCCCCTACCTTGGTGAGCTCCTGCTGCAGCTGCTGCCACCGCTCACTGTAGGTCTTTCGTAACTGCTGTCGCTCCCGGATCAGCAGGCTCAGCTTGCTCAGGGGCCCTGAGTTCAGATCCTCTGCATGCTGCCGCAGCACCCTGCTCAGGCTCTCCGTCTGGCTGGTGATCTCGGCCCAGGACTATGGCACAGTGAGGGAAGGGAGAGGCAGGGAGGAGGGGACAATGGTTCCCAAGCCTGGGCCTGCCAGATCTCCAGCCCTATCCCAGAGGGCTTTGGGACAGGACCGGGGGCAGGCAGAGCCCCACGGAAACCCACCTGGCTGACTGGGCTGTCAGGGCTGCTGCTCCGGCTCTGACCTCCACTGTCCTGCAGTGACATGTGGTGAAGCAGGCCTGCGTATTCCCGGTCACTCTTGACCCTCTGGGCCATCCATTTCCTCATGCCTTCCAGTAGGCGAAGCTCAGCTTCCTGCATCTGCTGCACTGCCCCGTGGCCCTGGGGACTGCACAGCTCCGAAGAGAAACCCATAGTGGCGTCCTGGGGACAGAGAAGAGGCCATCACTGGGGACAGGAGGCAGCTGGAGATCGAGGGGTGGGACAAAGAGGCTGAGGGCTGCAGACAGGCAGGAGGTGGGTGGGGTCCTGCAACAGCTACAGGACAGCAGCCTGGCCTGGCACTGGTTCTGCTCCTGTGCCTCTGTGCCCCAGGCCAGGCCCAGCGCGAGAAGGTCCCCTTTCTAGTCCTGGAAGAGGAACCAGCTTGGAGCTTCTCTCTGAGTCCCTTCACCAGTGCCCCTTTCTGGGTGGTGTGCCAGGGTCTTCAACAGAGTCCAGTTCACCCCAGCTGGAACCTCAGGCAACTGCTGAGGTTCTGCCCTCCGGTGGCCTCCCAACCCCACCCAGTCCAGTGTCCCGCTCTCAAAACGCCCACATGGCCTCTGTTCCCCGCCTGCCCACTGCCACCCCCCGCTCCCTGCCCCGTGTCTGTGTCCCTCGTCACCTCCTGGACTTCAAGGCTGGAGTTACCACGCAGACAGCTGCTCCTGGGGTGGCAGTGGCTGACTCAGGCCCTGAGTAGACCCCTGGCTAGTTGGCTAGTTCCTGATTCTGGGCTTCCTCCTCCTGCGGTTTCAGTTGGCCCAGGCCCCAGGGCGGGCCGTGGAGGGGAAGGGGCGGGCTGGGCGGCCCAGGCCCTGCTTGAGCACCGCCCGCCCGCAGGCCCCCCTCGTTCCTTGCTCTGGGCCTCTAGGCCACGGAAACGGAAGGGAGGAGGAGGCCGGGAAAGAATGGCCATGGCCTTGCAGAGAGTGGCTTGCACACCAGGCCCTCCCCAGGGCCCAGCACCGCCCTGGAAATGTGGGGAAGGGGCCCAAGGTGGAGGTAAGGGTGGGTGTATGCGAGGACCAGCAGGTATCAGTCCCTGGGCATCTTAAAGGCTAGGTACAGGCCTACAGCACACCAGGGAGCCAGGGTGGCCCAGAAGAGGAAGGGGGAAGCCAAGGCAGGCCCTCCCCACCCCACTGGATTCCCTAAGGAAAGCCCAGGCGCCAGCCTCCGTTTGAATAAAATTTCCAAGTAAATATCCCAGAGGCCTGCTTCTCAGATAGCACCACCCCATCCCCCTAACCCCCAGCAGAGACTTCCTTCCCAAGGGAAATCTAGGGCTGGCAAGGGACGGGGCAGGGGAGAAGTAAGCAGTTTCCTGAGTGGGACTTGGGTTCCCTAAAGCTAGGGCCCACTTAGGCCTCAGTCCTACAGCTGGTGGCCAGGGGGTCACTTGTCCACCCCAGGGGGCCTCCAGCTGCTGTGTTCTTGCACAGGCTGGTACATGTGCTTCCTGCAGGAGCCCCTTTGGGACCGTGACTTGGGCTTTCTGACACGGGTCTACCCCTAGCAGGCAGGCAGGTGGGCAGGCCGGCTGGCCACCACAAGGCCTATCTGGCCCCAATTCCTACCCTGCTCCCCAGCCAGCAAAAGGTCAGCAATGTCATCACACCGGAGACCAGGCCTGGTTTGCATAGTCTGCACGTTTAATCACTTTAAAACCTCTAACATTATCTGTGTCCATTAAATAGAACCAACAATGCTGGGCCTGTTTAAATTACAAGGAAAAAAAAAATCATTGTGCACCAACCCAGTATCTTACAAAACCAGCTGGGCTGGCCACGAGGGTGGGGGGATGGGAAAGAAGAGGAGGGGGCACCCCTGGGCAGGTGGCTGGGTACCAGGAAGGGCTAGGGGAAATAAAAGGGGGCTCCCAGATGGGAGGGGACTGATTGTCCTAATGGGAGGGGTGCAAAAGGCACGTCAGAAGAGGGGATTTGGGGGCCTGATAGGTCAGTGCTTTCTCCACCAGGGCACAGTGTTAGAGGGGGCTTGGTGCCCACCTGCCCAACCCCGAGAGCCAGTGACCCATAAGCCCTTGGCACAAGCCCCATTTGAAACAGATGTCAGTCTATCCCTCCCACTTTCCTGGAGTCCCTTTCCTGGAGCCCACCTGGCTGGCTTGCCTTTTTGGGACTTGGGGCCCAGTCACTCCTCACTCAGCAATGTACTTTGGCCCCTACACCTCAGGGCTGGGCAGCCAGGGGGAGAGCAGGGTGGACAGTGGGTGTGAGGAGTGGGTGGTCCAGCTGCTACCCCCGTTAAAAAATACAAAAAAAAAAAAATCATCTAAAGTGAAATAATCACAAAGTGAAAATATATCCTCAAACAGCTCCTGAGATCCCCACAGGGGAAAGCAGCATCGGGTGGGAGGCGAGAGAGGCCGGCCGGGCCACCGTCCCTCCCCACCACCCACCCAGGGGCTCGGGACTGTGAGTGCCAACAGCCCAGGCAGCCCCGGGCTCAGAAAACAGGGACTTGGGCCCTGGCGGGAGGGGAGGGTGCCAGAGAGGAGAGGGTGGTCAGGACACCAGTATGGGGCTCTGCCAATACTGGCAGTGCCAGCCAGCTTAGCCTGGCAGCCAGCTGTGGTGGAGGCCCAGAGCGCAGAGACAAGCAGGGATACAGGCACACACGTGCACACCTGCAAACACCTGTCTTGCCTTGGTCCCTTCCTATGATCTTGGCTTCTGCCACCAGAGGCTCACCAGAGGTGCAGGACAGGATCGGGGTGCAAAAGCCCTTAGGGAGGTGGCTGCCTCATTTGAACACCACCTAGGCCGGCCTCCCTGCTGCCTGGATGGGAACCATTATTGCTTTCGAGGGACAGGGAGGGGCCAGCCTGGGTCAGGAGCCCCAAGAAGGGCTGCCCCTCTGCTCCGCAGGAACTCTGGCTGAGACCTTGGCCTTGGAAAGCTGCCCTAAGGATCTCACTCTTTTCTCCATGTGGAGGGTACTAGGCTGAGGTGAGGCCCTCTCCAGCCCCTAGCTGGTCCTGGGGTCCCACCTCAGGCAGCCAGGTGGGAAGCAGCCTCAATCCCTCTTGCCTCCCCGCTGGGGTCCAAACCCAGTCCCAAGATAAAAAAATACTTTGGTGAATTAAAAAGTGCCCAAGGAGGGGGTCAGCTTGAGGGGCGGGCAGCGGGCTCGTCAAAGGGCGCTCTGGTCTTTGATAAAGGCGGTCCTCTCGCCCCGGCCCTCATCGTCCTCTGAGTCGGATGGGCACTCCTCCTGCCAGGCCTCAGGGGGCAGCCCCTTGTAGGAGATGAGGCCACGGTCCATGGTGTACACCTTCACCCCCCGGAAGCTGAAGCCTGAGCGTAGCTGCAGGACCAGGAAGACAGTGACAAAGACCAGCACGATGAAGGCGCAGCTGAGGCCGGCCACCACCTCTGGCAGGTGTGAGGGCAGCAGTCCAGCCTGCAGCCGTGGCTCCACCTCCACCTCCGGGGGCAGCCCGGGTGGCGGCTGCTGCGGCCGGGACTCTCGGCTGCTCTGGCTTTGCCGGGAGCATGTCTGCTGCACAGGGTCCAGGGAGGCGTGGCTGGGGCAGCTGAGGCAGTCTGTGGGGGCTGGACCCTGGCACGTGGAACACGAGGCATGGCAAGGGGCACAGACACTAGCCCGGATGGTTTCCACGTCATTCTCTGTGCTGTAGTGTGTATCAAGGACTTGGGGCGTGAAGCCTGGTGGGCAGTGCTGGACACAGCTTTTCTGGTGCAGGGAGAAGCCTTCCTCACACACTGTGGACGCAGGAGAGAAGGATGGGTGTCAGTGGACTGTGGCCTCTGGTCCCCAGGGATCTACCACCTAAGCATAGTCACCCCAGCCTTAGGAGGTCCCTTTAATCCCAGAGGGGGGCTTTGGGACACAGTTCACTGTTCCCCTCCCCCCACGCCCCATAGCTCCCACTACTGACCCACACAGGCCTGGCTGGACGTGAGGGTCTTGCAGCCGCTGCTCTCGGGAGCTGGGGGGAGCCCCTCAGGGGCTGTGCCATACAGGACAAGAGTGAACTTGGTGAGCGTCCCTGTTCCGGGGTGAGGGGGAGTGAGAGTCAGGGGAGGCTGGTACCACGCCCGGCACCCCAGATTCCGCCAGCTCTCCCCTCGCTCCACTCCTCCCGCGCCCCAATACCATAGTTGTTGGCTTCACTGGTGTTTTCAATCTCCAGGGCCCATTCACCAGAGGGGTCTTCGTCCCAAGAGTGCGTCGTCATGAACGCCCAGTCATTAAAGCCGTCTGCAGAGTAGTCGTGTGGCCTGGGGAAGGAATTTCACAGAGCCATCTGAGGCCTTGGGGAGACCGCAGGCCAGGGGACACCTTCCCCACACCTAAACCTCATGCAGCACCGACCCCCTGGACTGGCAATGCCTGTGGCCCGGCTGTTCCCAGTGGGTCAAGTGTTCCCAGCCAGGGGCTCTACAGGAGCAAGGGCAATTCCTAAGGGACATGCGCTGCTAGCGTTGGAGAGCAGAACCAGGGACTCCTGTCACATGAGACGACGACAGTCCCCTCACCGAACACCGTTAGGGTGTGGGGGTAAATGATGGAATGAGTGTGGGGCTGTGGGGGACAGAGGGGCTGAACAGGATGGACAGGGAGCAGGGAAAGTACCTGGCAGCCAGCAGGGTGGAGCGGGTGCCCATGGGGCTGACGAGGTGGATGGCCAGGTCACCACGGCGATTGTAGGACAGGGTAAGCCGCGCCTGAACGTGCTCCAGCTGGGTGATGTGGCTAGACTCACCAAAGCACGCCGTCACAGTCTTACGCACCTCCAGCCGCTTGCCAATATCCCTGAGCACGGAGCACCGTGAAGGTGTGTCAGCCTGGCCCCGTGAACAGCGGGCACCCTGTGGCTCAGGCCCCACTCCCTCCCCCCTTCCCTCCCTCCTACTGGGGCCCCATCCTCACTTGGGCTCAGTGAGGAGGTCAATGATGCACTTCCGCTGGGGGGCCACCGTTGTCCAGTTCTGGGCCAGGGCCACCATGGCACCTGCATCCAATAGCCCATAGCCATACGAGTGGCTCACTGAGGGGGCAGGGAAGACGGGGTCAGCAGGAAATAGAGTGCCCCCCACCTGTCTGAGCTCAGCCCACTGGTCCATCCTGCCCTGTCCTCACCTTTGCGGCCCACACCATTGGTGGCCCAGTCATTAGCGTTGAGGTGGGCTGGCTTTGAGGTCTGCACCACCAGGTGCTGCATGTCCCGCCAGGTGAGGTTCTTACTGCGGGGAAGGGAGAAGCCAGGACTCAGTCTTCTTGCAGAGAAGCCGGAGATGAAAGGCCACCTTACAGACAGCACTAATGGGGACAGGGCTGGTGCTCGCTCACTTACTTGGCCTCCAGGGTGAGAGCGATGATGCCAGCTGCTAAAGGGGCAGAGGCCGAGGTGCCCGTGTGAGACTCTGTGCACTTCTGCCGCAAGTCAGTGGTCACCTGCCAGGGGACAATGGTGTTGTGGCCTGTAGTGAGTGAAGTGGGCTAGAGGGGCCACCTGTCTTCCCTTCTGCCATGGGTATCACAGATGGCATGCTGAGCCAAGATCAAGACACCCGGGCCAAGCACCAGTGGTTCACGCCTGTAATCCTAGCTACTCAGGAGGCAGAGATCAGGAGGATTGCAGTTCGAAGCCAGCCTGGGCAAACAGTTTGCTAGATCCTATTTCAAAAAACCCTTCAAAAAAAAAAAAAGCCACTGGTGGAGTGGCTCAAGGTAAAGGCCTGAGTTTAAGCCCCAGTTCAAAACAAAAAAAAAAGACACCTGAGTCCCAGCTGCTGCCTTCCTAACATCGTGTGGACAGGCCAATACGTGGTCCCTTTGGGCCTCGTTTCTCAAGGAATAAGGGGCTCCAACCACACAGCAATGCAGGTCTTTAGGAAGCATCTACACGTCTCAACCTTCCAGGCTGAGAATCCTGAGCTCGCCTTCCATGAGACCTGAGTCACTCTCACCCAGCCACACCGCGTTGAGAGCACATGGTGTCCCACGAGGCCCTGAGGAGAGCCAGCCACCAGCCCCACCTCCCACCTCCCAGCCTCCAGCTCTGGGCGAGACTCACGATCTGCTTCTCATTCTGGTTGCCACTGCTGTAGGTGGTGGCCAGTGTGGACGAGCAGGCCTCGCTGTACCACGGCACATTGCCGAACTGCGTGGCGCTGCTGATGGACAGTGTATAGATGCTGTTGGTGTAGCCGTCACAGTTGCAGCTGTCATGTTCCCGGCCCCCGTTCCCCGAGGCCCAGACAAAGATGGAGCCCAGTCCCCCACGGCCCTGTGGACAAAAGGGGGCTGGGGTCACTCAGGATAGGGACTTGGGAAAAGACCAGCAGGAGGTGCTGCTTCAAATTGAGAAGGGTGGACTCTCATTCTTTGGGGACATCATGTCCTCCTCCCTGGTCCCCCGTGAACCCTGGTGGATCAGTATACAAAATTTATAACTGCACAGAATAAATCACCACCAAACTCCAGGGAGTGAGGTTATGGGTGATTTTTATCTACTTTACCCTTTTTCTGTCCCTTAATTTTAGTCATTATTATTTAGATAGTGTTGGGATCAAACCCAGGGCCTCAGGCTGGGAATATGGCTCAAGTGATAGAGAGCGTTTGCTTATCACATGTGAGGCCCTGGGTTCAGCCAACACTGCAAGAAAAAAAAGTCAGGCATGAGTGGCTCACGCCTGTAATCCTAGATCGGGAGGATCACAGTTTGAGGCCACCCCAGGCAAATACTCTTTGAGACCCCCATCTCCAAAACAGCCAGAACAAAATGGACTGGAGACATTTTGTTCATGGCTGAAGTGGTAAAACACCTGATTTGCAAGCACAAAGCCCTGAGTTCAAACCCCAGTCCCACCAAAAAATAAAACTGCACTCCCACCCCCACCCATTAACGCTGTAATAAACGTGCTTTGTGTAACATTAAACACAAAAGTAAATAAAACCAAACAAAACACAAGGAAAAGAAAGAACTATGGAAAAGACAGCACCCAGCCAGTCCCTAGAGGCGGGACCCCCACCTCACCTGGCTAACCCCCCGGAAGAAGGCCTCCTCTGCCAGGCGGGCTGGCCCATCCACTGTCTTGCCGTCATCCTCAGGGCCCCAGCTGGCGCTATAGATGTGGATGTGATTGGGATTCAGGCCCAGCGAGCGTGCCTCCACGGCATCAGTCACCTCGCCGTCCAGCATGCGTACCCCTGGCCACAGAGGAGGGGTGGGAAGAAGGGTGTTGCGTGGGTCCAGCTGCCAGAGGCACCCCCGGGGAACATGGCCAGCCTACATTCCAGGGGAAGGGCAGGGCTGGTGTTGGAAGACCCTGAGCCCCAACTACACTCTCCCTCTGCCTTCCCACAACAAGACCCAAGGAGGGGAAAAGGATAGCACCTTCTGTTCCCAGCCACCAGAAAGTGTTGGGTCTCAGAGGAGAAGGTGACCCAGGCTTGTGTTGTGAGGAGTCAGAGAGACTCCTGCTAAGAGACCCACCCACCAGCACGGGGAATCCATTCTCTGAGTCACTGAGAACCTGATGGAATATCCATGCTGTCAAGAAGACGACCCAGAGGAGGAGGGTGGGGGCACTGGCCAGATGGGAAGCAGCAGGCAGAGAAAAATCCCATCAAAGGGCCCTGCCACCTCCAGAGTGGGCAGAGGGCCAAAGCTCACCTACCTCCAATGCGGGCGTTGTAAGCCACGCCTACGCCACAAACGCCGTTGTTGGCCACAGCGGCCACTTCACCCGCACAGCGTGTACCGTGCCTGCCAGGGTCGAGAACACAGTGTTGGGGGGGTAGACAGAGCACAGCAGATGCAGCCTGAGGACAGGAAGGATCGGGCTGGCCCCTCTACACATCCACCATCCCACAAGCGTGCACGACCATCCCCACACTCCGCCAGGCCTACAGCCATCTCTGCTCTGGCCAAATCCCCCCAAGGAGTCCCAGATGGACCATGGAAAAAGACTTCAGCCTCTGGAGTGGGGCAGGTGGCAGCCAGGCCCAGTCCTGAGTCCTCGGTGGAAGAGAGGAAAAGTGGGGGCAGAGGCCAGAGACCTGCCATTACTCACCTGTTGTCATTCATCTGTGTGTACCGAGGCTGGGGGTCAGGGTCCTGGTCATTCACATCAAAACTGGCCTCAGGATCCTGGAAAGAAGCCAGCACCAGGAGCCAGTGAACCGGGTGCCCCTAGACACCCTTCAGCAGGGATTGCCGCCCCCCCCACTCCAACCTCCCTCCCCGACCTCCTCACATAATTGCCTGCCAAGTCTGGGTGGTTCTTCTCGATACCGTCGTCCAGGATGGAGACCACGATGCCTTGCCCTGTGAAGCCCTGGGCCCAGGCCTCCTTCACATTCAGGTCCCGCTGCGTGACACCAGACTGTGGACACACCCGCCCCCATCACTCAGGAGACATCCGTGGTAATGTGCGTTTGTGGCTAACTTGTAAAATCCCTAAACCTTTCTCCACCCATCCCAGCTCCTGAAATGTCCCACAGATGGCCTCTGAGGAAATGTAAAGGACTCTGGGAGAGGAGAGCAGCCCCAGCTTGGAGGAGGGGCGAAGGAGAGACTGCCCAACAGGAGAGAAGCCTCCAAGTCACCTCATCCACCCACAGGACCTCATGGTGGGGGGTGAAGCTGGGGAGGGCCAGGGCTCACGGAGCTGCGCACCAGGTACCACTGCTGGGGAAACTTGGGGTCGCTGGGTTCCTGGTACACGTCCCGCTTGCTCCGTCGTTTTGCCACCTGCTGCTCCAGCCACAGTACCTGGGAGGGAGCAAGAAAGAGCTGGTGCAGGGCTCCAGAGAGCAGGAAGGAGGGGGCAGCAGGAGGCTCTGCGTCCACACTCACGTGAGGCTCTCTCTGCAGCCGGCTGTGCCGCAGGCGGTGAGGCGACAGGGACCGCTTTGTTACCGCTCGATGCCAGAAGTGGTAATAGTCACCAAAGATCTGCAAGGGAGCAGGGAGACGGAGATGGGCTCTCCATCTGTCAGGCCCCGGAGAGGCAGGGATGGGGGTGGACAATGGCTACAGGGAGGCTCACAATGGTGGCACAGGACCCAGCAAGAACACAGGGGACAGAGGGGACTTACACTCACTGGGAGGTGCTGGTGGTCTCAGCAGCCTATGTGAGGAGCCCGCGGGCAGGACAAGCCACTGGCCCCATCCCACTGGCCACCCAGAACCTGCCTACTCCCCAGATGCCCTGAAAGACAAGCCTATAGGTTCCTGCTCTCTGCTGCCAGTGTCCCCATCCTCCCCACCCCAGCCCTGGGCAATACCCTGTGCCGAGGCCAGCTGGCCAGGTAAGAACACCTACCTGGCCCAGGTTGTGGAACCCATGCTTTCGTGCCACGCTGTCAGCCACGGCCAGGCCTCCGGGGATGTGCACGGCCCACGTGTTGGTAAAGATCTTCTGGCCACAGGCATCAGCCGCCAGCAGGACTAAGATTCCTGCTGCTGCTACCACCCATAGCAACCAGGGCCTCAGCTCCATGGGGGGTCAGGTGGCCGGGACCCCAGAGCTCCCGTCTCCTTGGCCTGGTCACAGGGCCTCGGCTCCCGCGTACTTGCTCACTGCCTGTGGCCCGGGGCTGACTGGCGGGGGCATGGGGCCGGGATGGACCGAGCTGAGGGGCAGGATGAGGCCTGGTGGCTCTGAGAGGAACAAGAGAGAAGAAAGGGGAGTCAGTCCCTCCCAGCTCTGCACTAAAGTCACTCTTCCTATCCCCGTGGCTCAACCTGGGACTAAAAGGGGCTCTGGGGAGAGGGGTAAAAACACTTGAGTTCTCTCCAAAAGAAATCCCCCCCCCCCCGCCGAATAGTCAGACGGATAGACAGACACATAGCCCTCCTACCTCCTCCAAGCCTTTCTCCACCAAGAAAGTATAACCCAAAAGTGGGAGGGAAAGTATCAAAGCTTGAGTCACTCCAAATCAAACAAATAAAAACTCGCCATAATCAAAGAAAGATACACTTTAAAGCAAGCCGTATGCACACACGATCCCATTTTGTTTTTAAAAACTATTTATACATGCATATTTATACATAACCCAAAACAAAATCTGGAAGGACACTGGCTAAAATGTTAACAAAGGTTCTTCTAAGATGGTGAGAATTACAAGTAGTTGTTACTTTGTGTCATTGTGTATTCTCCACAATGCCTAGGTATATTTTATAGAGGCATAAAATGTTGGCTATTTAAAGGCTTTTAAAATGATCAGGGTCTTCCAAGTTCACGAGGGTTTCCTGTTTTTGTTTTTTTGTTTTTTTTTCTTTAAAGGCTCATAGTCCCTGGGAGGAAAGGGTGGGCACCCTAAGTTGGATGGGGGTTAGGAGGTCATGCTCAGAGCTCAGAAAGTCCTAGAGGCTTCATCTCCCTCTAAGGCTGCGATAGCAGCTATCGTTAAAGTCAGGGCACCAGGCTCTTTTTTGCTGAGGCCATCCAGCTTTATCCTGCCTGGGCCTGGGGGCCTCCAGCAGCCCTCTTGGAAGATCCAGGCCCACCACCTTGCGTAATCTGAGCTGGGCAGCCAGGGCAAACACTGCTGAGCCAGGAGCGCCAAGGTGAGGCTGAATCAATAGTCCATGTGTTGTTTTTCCTCCTTCAGCAAACAGACAGCAGGACCTCTCTGCCTGGGGCCACATAACTGTCCCCAGTAGGGCCCCTGACTAGCCAAAAATCAAGCCCTGGGGTGGGCAGCAGCTGGGAGAGGTCCCAGTGAGGCTGCTGGGGGTACCTGTCTCCATGCCAAGCTACTTGAACTGCTTTCTCCCCTGCCACAAGGCCCTACCATTTTCATGGCCCAGCCCCAAAGGAAGCCACTCTGCCAGATGGCAAAATGAAGGCATCCCAGCACAGGTAGGACCACGGAGCCTGGCAAACGGGCTAGCCGCTGGGAACCCCTTGCCTCTCAGGGGGCCTCCCTGGCTGTTACAGTCCCACCATGCAGGCTGGGGGAACTCCACACACAATTCCTGGAGTATTTTCAGTTTCCAAAATAACCTGACAGCTGATGGCAGAAGACATCCACCAGGCAACTCCTCCACACCCTGACGGTTGCCCGTAGGGCTCCAGAGCAGGACTGGGAGCCACAGCTCCACGTTGCCTTGGGCAGATAAAGCGAGTCTGAGCAAGAACGGGCAGCCTGATACCCTGGCCCTAACAGTCCCAGCCCTAAGAGACGAAGGGACCCCAAGCTCCACTTAAGATGTGGAGTAAAGGGGCAGAGCCATATGGAAATAGGACCTATTCTCCCCTTGCTGCCACAGAGCTACCTCTTGGGTCCAGATGCTACCGGAAAAGACCCACTGACAACACTGTGTGAGCCCTACTGGCACCTCCAAACCAAGGCTGGGTGCGTCTGGATGTAGCTTAGGTTCCAACAACCCTGTAGGTGGAGCCACAGCTGTTTGGCATTAAAGGTGATTAACCAACTAGTTAATTACCTTGTAGCACCCAGAAAGAAGGCAAGCTTCAGGCACAACTGAACAGACCCCCCCAAGGAAGAGGGCCTGCACCCCTCTCCCAGCTTCTCCAGTGATTATGACTTTCCGAGCCCAGAAGTCCCCTAGCCAGCTCTCCCTTAGCATCAGGGACAGAGAGAGGACCCCCCCAACACATACACAAAGAGCAAGAGCTGAGAACAATGAATGAACGGGCTTCTCCCCACCCCCAGTCCAGACTCTGACTCACCCTCTGAGTTCCCAGTTGTCTCAAACCGGGAGGCTGCCTGTATACTTCCAGCTTCCCTTGGTGGGTCTCTCCAGAGTGCTGGGTTTGGCCAGAGAGGGCTATGCACTCTTCCCGGCTGTGTTCTCTTTCTCCAGCCCCACGACACAACTGGCTAGCCCCAGGTTGGGCTGCTGTCTCCCAGGCACTGGGGATCTGGCTGGGACACAGCCACAGCGCAAGTCACTAAGGCTACTGTGAAACCCAATCAGGTCTCTTTCCAGCAGGGACCCCAAGCCAGGTCCTCTTAAATGTGACTCTGACTCCTTGACTCTCTCAACTACTATTTGCTGTGTGATCTTAAACAAGTCACTTCCTCTTTCTGGGCCTCAGTTTCCTTGGTGGTAAAAAAAAAAACTGTCTGACCAGCGCTTTTCAAAGTTTGTTTGTTTTTTTTTTTTAAAGCCACAAAATCCTCTTTAAAAAAAAAATCCAAATCCTACGTGGAAGCCGCTGTAGGCACTAGTAAAACTATGGGCTGCTGATTGACACTGTCCCTTGCTGTGTCCACCTCTGGCCACCACCACCAGTCCTCACTAGGCCCATCGCCCGAGTCCTCCCGGCACTTCCCAAGTCCTCCAAGAGAGAGCGAAAACCCGAGCACTCAGGTAGACAAGGCTGCTCCCCCAGACGCAAGGGGCAAGAGCCTGCCCTGCCATCAGACCTGTCTGGAGGGCAGCAGGCCACCCCTCGGTCCACCACCCCCACGGGGACAGCGGGGACTCGGCCAGGCCTGGCCGAAAGCAGCCCCGCACCTACCCTAGCCAGGCAGCGGGCACACGACGGAGCTGCAGCCGCACAGGTGTGCGGGAGGGCGGGCGGAGGGAGGGCGCGGGCCAGGCGCAGGGCGGCCCGCAGCTCCCCTCCCCCGGCGGGACGCAGGAGGCCCGGGCCGGGGGGAAGGAGGGTGGCCGGGCGGGGAAGCGGGAGCACCCAACGCCTCCGGAATGGTCTCCCCGCCCGGCCACCCCCAGGCCGGGGCCCCGCGGGCGCTTCCCGAGGTCAGAGGGCTCGGCCCGGCCCCAGCGGAAAAGTACCGGCGCGGCGGGGCCTTGCGCTCAGGTGGGTGGCGGCGCCCCCTCCGGCACCCGCAGCTCCGCCCTGGGCACCGGCCCCGAGCCAGAGTCCCCGAGCCCGCGGCCGGCGAGGCCCCGGGGCAGGGCGATCGGCAGAGGCGCCCCGGACGCGCGCCGCCACCGCCACCGCCATCGCCGCCGTGCGCCCGGCCCGCGCGCCCTCGCCGCTTACCCTGGGAGCCCAGGCGGGGAAAGTTTTCCAGGCGGGCGTCGCGGCGGTTCGGCGCCCCTCGGCCGATCGGGGCCTGGGCTCGGGCGGGCCCCGCGCCCGGTGGTGGCGGTGGCGGCGGCGGCGGTGGCGGCGTCACGGCGCGGAGGCGGGAGGCGCGGCGGCGCGGCCTCGGCCCGGCCGGCGACCACGGCTAGGCTCGGCCTGGGCTCGGGCCCGGCCGCGCGGCGCGGCTTGTTTACTCGGGGCCGCTGTCACGGCGGCGGCGGCGGCGGCGACGGCCCGGCTCCTCCCCCTCCGCCGCCGCGCCCCTCCCCCTCGCGGCGCCACCTCCGCGTCCCGACCGCCGCCGCCGCCGCCGCCGCCGCCGAGCATGCCATCGCCGCCCAGTCCCGCGCGCCCTGCACGCCGGCCGCCGCGGCCCTGGGGGCGCCCCTGTCTCCAAGTAGGGCCAGGTAGGAAGTGGGGCCGGCGAGCGCTCAGCCCCGGCGTCCCCCCCCCCCCCCCCCATCGCCACCACCTCCACGCGTCCCCTGCTGGGCCCCGAGCTCCCGGGGAGACCCGAACTCGGAACCCTCAGGAAAGCATGGGAAGGAAAGGCAGGGCCCAGCCCAGGATTGTGGCAGGCCGGCCCTCTGGGCTCCCCCATTGTCCCCAGGCCTCAGCCTGCAGTCGGGCATAGTCGGTCAAGTGTCCTGGGTGGACAGACCTGGGGCTCTCCACTCCAGTGCCACTCTCGACCTCCGGTTGCAGAGCAGACCTCGTGGCCTACTGTCGGGAGGGGAGTCCGGGTCTCACCTGCTTCCCTGTGGACAGGTGGATATATAAGCAGTAGCCTGCTTCCTTTTAATTTTTTTTAACTTTTCCACCCCAATGGAGAGCCAGGCACTGGGCCAATCACTACATTATCTTGTTATGTACATTACTTAATCCACATAATCCCTTCAGGCTGACATTATTAATCCCATTTTACAGATAAGGAAACTGAGGCCCACGGTTTAAATAATTTGCCCCAAGTCCCCACAATTTAGCAGGCCTCAGCTTGGAAGGGACCTGGGGTTTTGGCAGAGCCTGGGTCCAAGCTCCTTGCAACATACCAACCCGAGCCTTTCCCTCCCTGGGTCCCTGCCCCAGAAAACGTCTGTGCTATTTGGCTGAGCTTGACATTGCTTAAGCTGCAAAAGAAAAGAGGGAAAACATGGCCAAGAGCCTCCCAGGCGGGGTGACTCCAAGGTCGCCAAGCGCCTCTGCACATCCCTTCCTGTCTCCAGTGAGATGAACCTGGCAGCACAGTCCTATCCTGTCCTTCCTGTGTGACCTTAACACAGGTTCCCCAGTAGGGCTTCCTTGGAATGCCAGCCCAATTCTAAGTTGTTCTGTGTGTTAACTCATTTAACCTCACCATAAAACGCATCATCGACCTTACTGTACAGAGAAGGAAACTGAGGCCTGGAGAGGTTAAATAATATTTCTAAATTATGTAAACCCGAAAATTTGGGCTCAAGCTGAGTGCCGGTGGCTCACGCCTGTAATCCCAGCTACTCAGGAGGTAGAGATCAGGAGGAACTCTGGCAAGTAGTTCATGAGACCTTCTCGAAAAAACCTAACACAAAGAGGACTGGTGGAGTGGCTCAAGGCATAGGCCCTGAGTTCAAGTTCCAGTACAAAAAAAAAATGTGGAGTCCTTAAAGTCCATAAATCCAGTTAGCTGCCCTCTGATCGGGGAGCTCCCCCCGGAAGGAATTGTGGGGTCACTCTGGGGTATCCCCTACATATTTGGGAGAACAATGCTGTAGCACTGAGACTCAGGCAGGAAGTGAGTCGCAGTTGTTTCCGCACGCTATGAGCAAGAGAACCCCCATTGAGGGGAAATAGGAACAGGGCTGGCCCCACCTAGCCTGAGAGTCCCCCGTGCCCCTCCCAGTTGTCCTCTGGCCTAGAAGAAAGGTCAGCCCAGAAAGAGAGCAGCCTCAGGTGCCCCACCCGCCCTGGGGGTGGCCCGGGGTTTCTGGAGGAGGAGGCTCTGATCCTTTCTCCTGCCAGCTTGCCCCTCTCCCATCACACCTGTGGCATAAAGGCGGCATTCATTAAACTTGTTCACAGGTGCGTCACTGAGGGGAATGATGACAAGGCGAGCAGGTGAGCACCTGCCCTGTTTCTCCCATTGCCTCTCAACTTTTGTCCCTCTCACATTTTAAGGGGTTCACGTAAGATTGTATTTTGCAACAATTCTCCGGCTAGCAAGAATTGGAAAGCCACTCTGAGAGAATCCCCTTGTCACCGCAGTTTATCTCTGAAACCAGTCCTGTGGGCAGGTATTCTCTTATCAATCTCACTCCCAACAGATTGATTGGTAAGGCCTAAGGGCCCAGGAAGCTGAACTGCCACCAGAGCCCAGGACTCCAGGACTCTTGACTTAGCCTTGGAGCTCCAGGTCCTCTGTAGTGACAAATTTATCAGTTTTACACAGCAAGTTTGTAGGACAAGCCAGGAGATGGGAGGAGCCTGATGGGTAAGGTAAGGCCCAGGGGCAGGGAGGGACTCGGAGGGATATCTGGGGAAGGGTCCAGCCAGCCAAGCCTCCCTTTACATTCTCCCCCCCACCCCGTACTGGGGTTTGAACTCAGGGCCTAGACCTTGAGCCACTCCACCAGCCCTTTTTTTGTGATGGGTTTTTTTCGAGATAGGGCCTGGCAAACTAGTTGCTGGGCCGGCTTTCAACCTCCATCCTCCTGACCCCTGCCTCCTGTAGCTAGGATTACAGGTGTGAGCCACCGGTGTCCAGCTCCCCATATTCTTGGATTTGGACCAAGTCCATGAGGTCTCCTTAGTAATCGTAGAGAACCACAGACCTGAATCTGCCCAGTCCCACTGTCCCCCTGGGGTGCTCTGGGAGTTCCCCTTCCCTCAAACCTGTTCCCCACCCCAGCACCTCAGAGACAAAGCCGTCAGCAACAGCACACAACACCTGGTTTTAATCACAACGTGTACAACATCCATGCACTCGAAGACGGGCAAAAGAAAACGTAATTGGTGCTTTCTCAGAAAGGGTAAGACCTGAGAGTGTTTGGTTTAGTCTTTTTGCTTACCTGCATTTCAGGAGCGCTTGCAGCAGCTCTCATAATCCCGTAATGAAACCTTTAAGTCATGCAAAGTTGGAGAAAGCACTCCCATACTTCCCCACGTGGTTGCAGAACACCCGGGCTCCTTACCGCACTGCGCCCTCTCCCAGGGTAGGGCCCTTCCAGTTCTGGCTGAACCACTTTAGGAAAACCCCCTTTATATGACAGGGCAAACTGTGTGTCTGTGGGTGGGGGGAGGAGCTGGAGCTAGCTGTGACTTGGTAGTGACATATCTGGTCACGTTGGGACTGAGCCCTTCTCGTTTTTCCATTTATTGGGGTGGGTCTGCACTTTGATTGCCTGGCTCTGCTGAGCTCCGGGCACCTGTTGTTTTAATAGCTTCCTTCAGCCAGCTCGTGTCTTCTGCCTGGCCTGTGCCCAGCCAGTGCTATAAATGACCAAGCACCTACGAATGCTTTGGGTGCCATCTTGTCTGGCAAATGCTGGGCACTGAGGTCTCAGAGCTGGATCCCCTAGTGCTTGGCCCTAGGACGGCAGAGGCTGCCTTGGGGAGAGTTGGGAGAGATCACCTGAGCCACATCAAGATCCTCTGAATCTGTGACCTCCCTGACCTGGCGGCTCCCACAAGCTCGCTGCCCTTCCTTCGTCCCGTTGATTCAGAGAAGTCAGACAGCCGATCACCACAAATTCTTGTTGACTTTACCAATTGGTTTCTCAACCTCGGCTCTGTTGGCATCTTCAGTGGGACTGGTCTTCCTTGTAGGGACTGTCCTGTAGGATGTTTGGCACCTCCCTGGTCTCTAAAGGCTAGACGTCAACAGCACCCTCCTTCCTCTGATAACAATGAAAAAGGTCCCCAGACATTGCCACAGCATTCCCAGTGACAAAATCACTTCCTGTGGAGAGCCACCAATCCACCACGAGGACGGGATGTCACGGTGGGGGGAGGGGTGCTGCCATGGCCGGAGCTGGAGGGAGCTGGGAACTGAGCACCAAGGCAGCTCCTCGCCAGGGGCTGGTGGAGTGGCTCAAGTGGTAAAGCACCTGCCTAGCAAGTGCAAAGCCCTGAGTTCAAACCCCAGTACCGCCAAAAAACAACACAAAACAATATGAAACAGAAGCTCCCAGGCCACTTACTATGGCAGTGTGACAGT